GGGGGGTGAGGAATGGGGGGAATATAGTAAAGTTAAGGTAAGATAAGATAAGATAAGATAATATGGCTTCCTTACCTGTTTCGGGAAGGGGGGGAGAGAGAGAGAGTGTGAGAAAAGCCCTATAGAGCAAGATCAAATATGTCCTTGATATATCATATATGTATGTATTCATTCAAACATCATACATATATATATATATATATATATCTACAATGCCACCCTCCCCTCCTCCTTTCCTTCACTCATTCCTATTTCTAAAAAAAAGGTAGGTTCCCGTCTAAGGTAGGTACTTCTTATATTAAAGTAATCAATTTCTATTTCCCTTTCTAGCTTGATAGCTACCTTCTAATACCCCCTCCATACCGCAAATCTTGATAGATTACAGGGATGATTGAAACGCCGTCCCTAGGTAGCTTTGTTCGCTATTGTTTGTTTTATCTTTGTGTTTTTGATCGTTTGGTTTTTTTCTTCCAGTTTCTTTTTTTCTATAGGTGCGAGATTGAGGTGTGTTCACATGCCCACCACCAGCATCAGGCCGTAGCCGACGGAGATAACGACGAGCAGCGTGATGATGCTAGAGGGGATACCGCGACTGATGAAGTGCTTGACCTTGAGGTAGCGCTGGCCCGTCTGGGAGTCCTCCATCATGATGGCCGCTGTTTTGGAAATCCGTTAGTGAAATCTGCTCTCTCTCGGTGATGATCGAGTTACGTAGGGTAGGGTAGGGGGGACTTACTCATGTTGGGGAATCCGCTCGTGGGCAAGCCCATGGCGGCGCTGCACATCAGGGCGCTTCCCATGACTAGCAGGTTCGGGTGCGGCTCTTCCATGCCGACGCCGACGCTGTAGACGAGCGGGAGGATGATGAGCGCGGCCACGGTGTGGGAGATGAAGGTTGCTACGACGAGGATCAGGCAGGCGAAGACGACGAGGACGCCGTACAGAGAGAGGCCTTCGACGTTTTCTGTAATCGTGCCAGCGATCGTGTGCAGGAGTCCCGAGGAGTTGACGGCTCTCCCCAGAGAGAGGCCGCCGGCCGCAAGGATGATGATGGTCCATAGGAAGTTGTTGAAGTCTTCCTTGGTGAGAACGCCGGTGCCGAAGAATAGGAAGAGCGGGATGATGGCTACGACGCCCATATCGCCGAACAGCCATTCGAGCTGGTGGCTTAAGCACCAGAGTAGGATCGTGCCCAGTGTAGTCAAAGAGATGAACCATTGGATGCCGGAGAATTTCTCCTTTACAGGACGGATCGGCACAATGGTTGTACCTTTCCCAGGCTTGAATGAAACGAGGAGAAGTATCCATATCAGGATAATGGAGATGATGCCGACGGGGAGAGCGATGAAGAACCAGACACCCCAGGACGGTTGCGGGGACATGGTGTCGAGGGCGACGATGTTCTGGGGCGAAGCGATGGGAGATAGCATGCCACCGATGTTCGAAGCCAGAGCGATACCTAAGATGAGCGCTTTGGACATGTCAGAGTCGGAGGGTAGGTTTCGTAGCATTGGCTATGTCTGTCAGCAAGAGAGATCAAGAGCGGAAGATTGGATAATACCTGAATAATAGAAAAACACAACACTGGTGCCGCAACATTACTGATCCACATACTCGCGAACGCAGCCACGAACATGTTTGTGATGAGAACAGTCCGTGGTCTTGTTCCCGCCTTGCTGAGAACAAAAGTAGCAATCCTCTTTGCGATATCGTATTTTGATAGCGCGGCAGCCACTGCGAATCCACCAAGGAGCAGCATGATGACCGGTGTCCACATTGCCGAAAAGATGTATTTCGCTGCGGCACCGGCATCCAGCCGATCGTGCGGTTTACTATCAGACCGCACCACCCGCAAGAGAACGCAGAGAAAGGGTATCATGAGAGATGTGACGAATAGGGGTATGACCTAGGAGAGTCAGCGATACGTTCCCAATGTGCGCGAGCCCACTCACCTCAGTAGCCCATAACAAACTGACAAACACAAGCATGGCAAGACAATTCTGCTCCTCAGGCTTATCAAATATCGGGATATATAGCAGCACGAAGAAGACTGTGATGATGATGACAAGAGTGAGCATCGTTGAGCTCAATAGCCAGGTTGGACATGCCACTCTCCCAACCGGAGTCTGCAACTCTTTCATGTCTGGCTCATTATCATCATCGCCCTGCAGTCGAGCCTTGGTTGGGTCGTTATCCGCACCCAGCAACGTTCTCCTTAAGCCCATGGTAGCAGCTTCGGCCTTTCGCTCGATACCGATCATCTCACGCCAAACTGTGTTCCTCTCCCAAACAACGTGCTCACGCAGATGTAAGCGGAGCTCCTTTTTCGCGACGGCCACATCGCCTTGGGTAACGACATCCGCATAAGCCTGCTCCATCCGGTGGATGTTCTCATCCAGACGGTTCATAGTCTCCGAGCTGAAGGGATATGCCGGGGCGACGAACTTCTCGATGTACCTCTGCTTCAGATTCCGGTTGCAGATCTTGTCATATTTTTTAAGGACCTTGCTGAAGCCCGTCTTGTTCAGCTGGGCGAATGATTTCAACTCGCAGAGCTGCACGTAGATACTGGTAGCCCGCTTCTTCAATGTGATCCCCGACGAATAGAAAATGGCGAGTTCATCGTGGGCGTAATCATCGTAGGCAAGACTGTGGCGCCGTATCGATTTGCTGGGTTCTGAAGTCTCTACCGCCCCATCTCCTCCGCCATTCGCATCATGTGGTGTGCTCTTGCTTCGATCTGTAAACGACAATCTGGATCTCTGCAGAGCAGTACTTTCATCATCTTCGTCGTCACTGTCATCAGCTCCTCCGTCTAATGCTTGACTGATCGTGCTTGCCCGTCGGGGCCTGGTGAAGTTGCGGAATAGGCTGGTCCGCCTTGGATGGTCGCCCATGCGACTGCCCATATCCAGCCGTCCATTTTCTCCCTGCCCATCTGTTTCCGCCTCGAAAGCCGCCTTCTCCCTTAGTAGATCTTCTACCTCGCCGTATATCTCCCTCTCCTTGATCTCGTAGAAAGACGATACCTTCTCCAACTCTACATCTAGCGCGCGCTGAAACACCTGGTCCGGATCATCGCTGGAGCGTATCAGGGGAGCATGTTCAGCGTCGTCGCCTGTCTCGGCTCGATTGATGCTCTTCTCGAGCTGGTAGATCCTTGGGAGAGTCAGCACTGCGCCAATACTAAAACATCAGCCGCCTTCTGCACGGAGAGAGAGCTTACAGCTTCTTAAGGTTGCTGTAGGCGATGTAGTGACTACTCCAGTCCGGCACGGCGTTGAACTGGATGCTGTGGGAGAACTTCATCTCGTCTGCTTCGTCCAGCTGGCGGATCTTCAGCTCCGCCCGCGTGGCTCTCTTCTGTGCCTGCTGGTCGCGACGGCGCTGGATGCGCACGTAATCAACGAGTTCGAAGGTCTCGACGTCGTTGTCTGCGAAGGATCGGCTGAGCGCAACACGACTGACACGACTCCCCCCTCTTGCCAGCCTTGTCGAGGACTGAGGATCCGTACTGAGAGAACTTGCCGCGCGGCTTATGTCGGGTTCAGAGGAGGGATTCGCTGGCGACGCGGCTGAGGCTATTGCGAAGGTGGGCAATTGATAAGGAAAGTGGTATAGTTCATTACATGGCACGGGGTGTCAAGCATTGGTTCATTGGTTAGGCGGGAGAGAGCCGTGGAGTCGTGGACGCTTTGGGTTTGCGGGTGGGGCCAAAACCGGTCTAGACGTGATTCGCAGAGCCTCTTCAAGGTGCAAGGTTCGCGGCTGAGAGTATCGTCCAACCAGATAGAGCGTTTTAACAAGAAATGGGGCTGCTGTTTACTATTGACGGATAACAGGGGTATTGACTGGCTTTTGCCACTTGACCTTGACGTATTGTTGCGACTTTGCACTGAGCGTTCTCTTGTAACTGGTTGCAATTCCGGTAATACATCTGGCTATTTTTCGCTCTGCTATCCTTCAAAGTACTTATCAACATCTGTTTAACTATTCAACAAGTGCTTTTAGAAGACATCTCGGCTCTTCAAGTTTCTAAATTTCTTTTATTTGTTTTGATAACCTCGTCGTCAATTCTCAATTCTCAATGCTCAAAAGGGTCCCAATGGAAAATTTCCTACACGAGACGTCAACCTTTCAAGTATTGCCTGCATTATTCTTCCCAGTCTCTAGCTTTCCTCTCATACCGCTTTGCTCCTGTTTTCAACATTGGTTGTTCGGGTCAAGGACTCGACGTAAAATACAAGAAATAAGTATGCAGGTGGCTTGAAGGCACACTTTTGTCCAAGAGAAGCAGTGAAGCACGAGCTCTCATGTTTAAACGTTATTGATTACTGATCTATGATAGACTGTCGGTTCATAATGATGCCGTTTCCATTTCAAGCTGGAGTTCGCTCCAGAGGCGTTGCGTAGCCTGCCATATCTTCACCATCAGGACCTGATAACCTCGAAGCCTACCTAATATCCGACCTCCTCGGACTCTTATCCACCCCAATATTACAGCTTCGACACTTTAATATCAGTGCTTGCACTTTCCTTGTCCGTCATAACCCACATCCCATCGGCCTCAGAGATCGCCTCCCCATCTTTGTCTTCAAAGCGGCCCTTCACGAAGATCTTCTTGCCTTCCCTCTTATGTACCCGTCCACGCACGGCCACGACTTGTGGTGTGTACAGCGGTTTCTTGAACTTCACGTTCAAGTACACCGTGTATCCGACATGATCTGTTTCATCACTTTAGCCAATCTGTTACTTATCCCTCTATCGGCCACATTACATCCGAATGGACATCTTGCTGAGGGGAGGGGGGAAACACACCACTCTGCGCTTTGACAGCCGACCCCATCACCTCATCCAACACGACGCCAAAGAACCCCCCGTGCGCTGTTCCGGCAAACCCATTCACACCCTTGCCTAGATCTAAGAGGGTTACCAGTTCTAGGAAGGGCTTCTCTTTCGTTTCCCCTGCTGCCAAGCTCTCTTTCGTAGGTTTGATGTACCGCAGGAAGACGATGCATGCTCTGACCGTCTCCATGGTATTGAGGGTCTGCCGCACGAGTGCGGATTCCGAGGAGGCGAGAGGGGTCCGGTCGGGGATCTGTATGTCGATCACAGAGCGGTCGGTACTAGAGGTCGAGGAGTCAGTACTTCTTTCCGGGTCTTGGATCATGTGAAGATGGTGTTGAAGTTAGGTAAGGTCTTTTGCTGTCATGGATGGACATACAGAAGTTTTGCACACCAGGGAATGGCTTTGAAGTGTGCCACTGGATCCTCGATAGGTTGGTTGTGACCTGGTACTATATTGTTCATTTTGTGACTCCTGTTGCTTTCCGGAAAGCAAATCCTAACTCAAGTCTCAGGACGTAGGAAAAATGACGGAGAACGTCAAGGGAAAGTCGGAAGGTGAGAAATATAAAAGTACGAAGAACAAGGACAATAACCTAATCAAAGCAGCTTGAATGCAATGGGAGAGAATCCCCCTATGCTAGAGAAATTGATGGGCCGGGTTGGGGATCCTTTAGGTTTGAGGAGTTTTGAAGAAGCTGAGCTGCTTGTTGGTTTCCGTTTGGGAGGAACTGGACGTAATAATAACGAGCACCCCAACTAACCAGGATAGCATTATGTTGAGAGGAAAGCAGTGGCTGCGTGGGCACCGTCCATAGCAAGTGGGAAAGCACGACGCAAGAACATCATCTCCAGCCTAAGGTAGACCATGACGAAGTCTGCCTCATACTACCGCAGACCATGTGGAATCATTCAACCCTTCTAAACTCTAGCAGTATCGATGGTCAAGCTAATACTACTGTAGGCAAATTCAGTTAGAGAATATATCAGGTGCGAGAAATGTGGTTTGGACCCGAGCTAGGAGATCGATGAGCGTGGTAAGACCCATGACAACATCCCGCTGAGGTTCGCCGAGCCTCAAAGTTATTGCTTCTTTTGTCCGGGAATGACATGCTAGGATTTCTTTTTACTTTTCTGTGGTGCCGATGATATATTAAATTCTCAGGCTGGCTGGCGCCGAGGGAAGAGCGACCCCTATTCATCATAGATAGGTAGGCTGATTGATAGTCCGCTCAACATACATCACGCATCGATACTCATGGCAAGATCAACAACATGGTTGGTCAACTTCGCTTGGTTACTCCTATGCTTGATACATGAAATGTATATTTGACAATATCTAGTAATGTTCCCGTCAAATTCCATCAACGATGCAGAGCTCTCCTTGTCATAGTCGATGGAATGCCTTAAAAGAAAGAAAGATTAATAAGGGATGAAAGGAAAAGGAGAAAACACTTCAATCCCTCTTCCAGCCCGCTCGTGACATCTCATCACTTGACTACTTATTCATCTTGATTGCTCCAGTCGGTTGCTCAATCAGCAACACCGGTCCAGCAATAACAGACTCCTTGTAGGGTGCGCCCGGCGTATCGGCAATCACGCCCACAATGAGGCCCTTGTTCACCTCAAAGTCTGGAATCGTGGTGGTATTCTTTACCGTATCGAAGGGCATCGTGACATTCTGAAGTCCGTGGAAGAACACTGCATAGTATTCCCTGCCGTCCTCCCACGCCGGTGGCGGCGTCGTGAAGACGAACTGCACCTCGGTGCCGGACGTCAGTGGAGAGCTCGTATGGGCGTTGTATGTGAACTGTGGTATCTCCTGTGCGGGATACGGATACGATGGGTTCTCTTTCGGACAGGAGCCTGGGACGATGAATTGGTTGGTGGTGTAGAGGATCTGGTTGGCATAGGGGAAGGACGTGTCGCTCGGTCCTCCGAAAGGGTTGACTTTCCACAGGTCCAAGAGGGCCCAGGTCTCGTGGCGAGTCTCCGTTTCAGCTATGGCAACCAGGGCTCCCCGTGTTGCGTTTGTTTTGGCTTGTTGGACGAGGCCGGTGAGGAAGGCCATTGATGCAATCTCGAGGAGGGTGAGAACTTTGATAAAAGACTTTGCATCCTTGAAACCGAATTGGTACTCGCAAGGCCCGGGCTTCATTGAGTTGCTGGAAATATGGTCCCGGAAGAGGACGAGATGGCCAGCCTCATTGTTTCGGATCTCTTGGATTCGCTCGTAGGTTGTCTCTGGAAAACCGATCTCGGTGAAGGACTCGGTATCAAACATCTCAACGCCTTTCTGGTAGAAGCTGAAGATTGCCCATTCTGCAGAAAGTAGGTTCTGGAACAGCACATCGTCGGGGCCTGGTGGACCATCGGTTGTTGCCATGATAGGCTCTCTCTCATATCCTGGATATGGAGTAATTGTTCCGCGGTAGTGACTGAAGTAATCGCTGGAGCCTGGCTTGGGTTTGAATGAAGCAGAAATAACGAGGGGGGCAGCAGCAACTGCTGAAGCAGCGGCCAGGAGGGCCAAGGATGTACGGATTGAAGGCATGATGAAGAACACGGAGCTCTGAATCCAAACAAGAAGTGGAGGAAGAAAGGAAGGAAGTGTCTAGGGATCTGAGATGGAAATAGGCCATATATGAGTAGTTTGAGAACCATGGTAGACTTGCCCAACTTCTGCGAGCTTTCTCGTTCGAAACAAATAAAGTCCAAGGACGGACCGCTCTGGCTGGTCTGCCTTCGTCAGTGCCTGCTTTCAACAATTTTCCTCCTATCTTCACTTGAAGCATTCCGCCTACTTAACGACCGCTGTACACTATGCCGCATGTTTCTTGACTCGAGAAGCTGCGCACCCTTTTAAGTTGGAGTTTGCCTAGTGCTTGAACTGAGGCTGAACTTTAAGCCACGCCAAGGTCTTCAACATTGTTGGTGATCCGGATCTGGCTAACTGCTGCGACGCCGAGCTGCGGATAGATACAGACGGCTTCTATCACTACAAGTAGGTAAGATCGTTAGTTGCCTATGACAACATCAAGTTGACATCGGAATACTCATCATTTTGATATCTCGGTAATTATTTGCTGCCCCCCCTGCATCCACCTCTCGGAAATAGCCTTCTTTGTAGGCCTGTACTGTGTACATACCTAAATACCCTTGTGTACCCTTTGAGTAGAGGACAAAAGGTCGTGGATCATATATTCGCAGAAATAAAAATTATAAAATACTTCTAGTAAAAGCTTGCAAAACCTTCTACAGATTCAAACCCTTTCCTGTAGAGTAAGTAAACAGGCCCCTAGGAAGATTATAAGTACATAAGGTACCTGGGTATCTTATTCTACTATATAGACGTCTGTGTTTAGTGTATTATATGTTTTTTTTAAAGTCTTTGTTCTTTGTCTAGAATCTTTAAAAACAGGTGCTTAATCAATCAGGCACCATAAGAAATTTAAGGATAATCCTAATTGTACTTAAACATCTAACTTTTCTACGAGATACTATACCTTTTCGAGAACTTTAAAGGGGAAACAGTTTTGTTGCACATCTAAGTTTTCGAAATCCCCTTTTAAGAGCTTACCTAGGTAGTTACCGTAGTTTAGAAGAGAAGTCATTTTGTTACACATCTGACTTTTCGAAATGCTGTTCTAGAAGCTTGCCTTAGAAGAGAAGTAGTTTTGTTGCACATCTGACTTTTCGAAATCCTCTTTTGCGAACTTGCTTAGAAGAGAAGAACTTTTGTTGCACATCTGACTTTTCGTAATCCCTCTTTACGAACTTGCTTAAAAGAGAAGAAAAGTTCTTAGTTTTGTTGCACATCTGACTTTTCGAAATCCCTTTCTAAGCACTTACTTAGAAGGGAAGCACTTTTGTTGCACATCTGACTTTTCGAAATCCCCTTCTGCGAAATCCCTTTCTAAGAACTTGCTTAGAAGAAGAGAAAGATAGTTTTGTTGTACATCTGACTTTCGAAATAGACCCTAATCTAAGGTATCTTTAGAGACCTACTATAAGATATAGGTTTTGTTACACATCTGACTTTATCTCGAGAAAACGGTTCTTGTATTTTAAAGAGCTACTAGAATGTTTTGTTACACATCTGACTTTCGATTTCGTAAAATGCTTTGTAAAATCGATATACCCTCCTAGACGCCAGGAGAAAAGCACTACTAAACTGTATATACCTAGGTTTTATTACATACCTAGCTATCTGACTTTATTTTTAAATAATCTCCTGGCTTTGTTTGCGGCCTCTTTGTTCATGGCTTCTTTGTCTACAGCGCCTTCTGAGGTTCCAATATCACGTGTTAAGCCTTCTGGTTTTCAGTAGACAGGTAGTATTTCTCTAGGATCTAAGGTTTTTAAGGAAGGATAATCTATATTTTGTAGTCAGAGGTTACCTGACCCTAAAACTGCCTACCTATGTACCATGTCATACACTCATATTAAAACATCACAGAACTTTTACAACATGAGAGCCAACAACGAGCTAATGACGGCAATTATACCAGCGTTTGGCATCTGGATGCCAGCGGCGCTCTTGCTCGAGGTAGCCTTTCCGGTTGCGGAGCTTGTAGCTGTGCCGGTCTGCGATCCGGTCGAAGTCGCGGTTGGCGTCTCCAAGCTCGCGCTTCCACCAACGTTGTTTCCAGCCGCCTCGTTGTATGGGTAGACGTTGGTGTAGTTGTCCGAGCCACTGCTCTTTCCCCAGGTGTTCACAATTGATTCCAGGACGCCTTGTCCAGAAGCGCATTTAGCCTCGGTATCAGGGGCGGGCCAGACGGGGAGGTACAAGGCGTCCGACAAGGGGCCGGGGTAGGAGCTGTTGAAGAAGAGGTTGGTGGTGTCAACAATAGAGTTGTCATACTTGGTTGCGTTAGCTACGGTCTCGAAGACGTTGGCGTTGCAGTCCCAGCGGCCGAGGGAGGGAAGACCCCAGTTTACAGAGACCGAAGAGATGGCGGAGAAGTGATTGTAGAAGGTATTATCGGTAGTGCCATGCAAAGAAGTTGGGATAGCTCCTCCGAGAAGAAGGGTGAAGACCTTGTTTTGCGTCGTATAGGTTTCGGTCTCGTCAAAGGTGATCATGATAAGGGTGTTGTTCATGAAGTAGCTGTTGTTCAGCAAAGGCTCCAAGAAGCTGCGCGACCAGGAAGCAGCGACGGTGATTGTGCTGTCGTGACCATCATTCGTCATGTTGGGGGTGATGAACATCCACTGGGGAAGAGTCTGGGCCTGGAGGTCAGACTCGAAGGAGGTGAAGTTCTTGATGAGGGAAAGGCGAGTGGCATTCGAGGTGACGGATTCATAGAGGATAAGGGGGTTGTGCTTGCGGACATAGTCGTTTGCGTATGTCTCTTGGTTGGAGAAATTAAATCCCTGGAATCCTGCATACGGCATGTGCTCTTGATATTCTCCCCACGAGATACCCTTTGTATCCAGCAAATCAACGACAGTAGAGATGTTGGCTGGGACCTGGTTGAAATCATCCGCATCCATTCCAAAGTTGTCTCCACCCACTACAGCACAGTAGTTGGGTTCTGAAGGGTGGGTTGTTGCAAAGTAGTTTGTAAGCGTAATTCCTTGGGTTGCAAGCCATTTGAAATTGGGGTCTGCAGCGGCTTTGTTGTAGTCCTATGATTTAAATATTAGGATTTGATAGGGTTAGAGAGATGTAGAAGAGCGCCGTACGGTGTTCTCAAGCCAAATTTGGACAAAGCGGTCAAACCCAGCACCCTTCACATTGCTAACGGGGGACAGCGTCGTCTGGGTAGCTTGAGCAGCAAGGACTTGTGTGAGGCTGGGCTCAATGGTTGAGTAGGTAGGTCTTGGGGGGTAGGAGGATGAGGCCGCCAAGACGGCATTTGCGCCGGTGAGGGCGAGGGCCAAGGCAGAGCGCATTGTTGATGAATGCGGGGAAAGATGGAGCGATTTAAAGGACAGAAACTTGAACGATCTCACGGCGCTCCAAGACCGAGTATGATATAGATGGATGTCAGGATCTGCGCATCAACAGAGTCACAATGCTGGGAGAGCTCCAAATACTTTATAGTCGGAACTCGGCCCTATTGGCATGTAACCCGAGCAGCGATCTATCAATCCATCGCATCATGCCCCTCGAGTTCTCGAGGGGCATGGGAAACGTGAATGAGTTATCTGCGCGATGATTGGTCGGAGGAAAGGAGGACCACAAGCTGTGAACGCTAGCCAGAACGCAGGAGCTCGAATTGCAACACCTTGAATACGGAGACATTCTTCCAGGCCTACTGAAATCCTGCGCGGGAAGAGAAGCTTGAACATGCTCCGTAAGGGAAGGCAAGGCGAAAACAACGCAGGGCAACACAGCACAGCGCGGGCGGGTAGAGTTTGAACGACAGGGAAGAGTGACAGCTGCGGGCCAAAGCTATGTTAGTTACGTTGGTTAGGAACTTGAGGCTTTGGTTCGGGGGCGCCCGATCCTCGTCGCCTTGCCCACGTTGTCTCGGCAGCGGTTTGCATTCGACGACGACGGTCCCACGGGTCAGGGAGGCCACGCTCCTCCTCGTGGGGATATCCCACTTCCATCGGCCAAGCCGGCGAGCCACCGAGCCATGGGATGTGGCGCCGTAGATCCATCCCTCTTGGGACGCGAGAGATGTCGCCGCGATATTCTGGAAGTAGTCGGCAGATGCTGGGAGGAAAGGTCAGTCAGCCGTCGACTATCGTCCATTGAGCAGGGTCTCGAGGGCAGTGCGGGTGTTGCTTGTCAGAGAAAGCCAGAGAGCCAGAGCCAGAGCAAGAGAGAGGTACAATTACCTGACCCTTACGGTCATGTTGGCGATAAGTGATACACTGATACGGAATAAGACAGGAAATGATACGGAATCGGAATGCTCTCGTATTTACCCGGACATTAACCCCACCCGTCTCCAGGATGCGGATACGCCTATCGAGAGGCTAGTCCCAGGCAGGCTCAGTCGGCCAACCGAGATGCAGATGGATCTGATGGAGGCACATCCCACCTATCTAACCTTACCTTACCTATCCTTCCACCACACACGTGCCTCGTGATATTGAACCATGTTCTCTCCTCTCTTCTCTTCTCTTATCTTCTCTCTTTCTTTCTCTTCTATCATCTCCTGGTGGCAAGTGTTTCCATGAGATTATGAAAACTCACTTAGTCAAGGAGTTCTCTTGTATACCTACCTCTTATTCCCTTCACCCTGTTATCCCATGCTGCCTTGCTCTCCTTGCCCTTCGTTCCCGCGCGACTCGCACGGTAACCCTCATCCCGGTTGAGAATCTCTGATAAGATGTGTGTTTAGAAGGACCTGAATCCGCAGGTCTTCTTGTGCTCCTATTTCCTCGACATGTCCAAGGAACCGTTACCAATGCAGACGGGGGAGCTCCAGGCGTCTCCAATCGGGAAAAGAAAGTATGGGCGCCCATTGCTACTACTTGTCGGTGCTGCCATCGTCTTCGTTGCCCTCGCTCTGGGACTGGGCTTAGGCTTAGGACTTGGTTTGAAGCATCACCATCATGCCGCATCGTCGTCAACGTCAGGTCTACCTCCATCATCAAACCCCGCCAATGTCTCAAGTACTACTGCCACCGGAGCCGTGCAATCATGGAGACGGGACACTGCCGAGTACAATCTAGACATGAACTGGGATATGAATGCCGCCCCGACAACACGGGTCTTCAATCTGACGGTCAGCGAAATCCAAGCTGCTCCTGATGGTGTGTTGACTTGCCCTTCCTATTCTCATGGATGAGTGCTGACCGTCTAGGTGTGCTTCGGCCGGTACTGGTCTTCAATGGGCAGTTTCCGGGCCCGGTCATTGAAGTAAATCGCGGGGACCGTGTACTGGTCAACGTGACCAACGAGTTGGCGAATGTAACAACAGTGCATTGGCATGGCTTGTATCAAAACGGTACGAACTGGATGGATGGAACCGCAGGCATCACCCAATGCGGGATTCCACCTGGAACGAGCTTCTTGTACAATTTCACAGTTGACCGTGAGTATGGCACCTACTGGTATCATTCACATGAGTCAACGCAGTACACCGATGGTCTGGTTGGCCCATTCATTGTTCATGCGCCGGAGGAAGCCTCCTTGCGGAAAGATTACGATTTTGATCAAATCATCCTCCTCCAGGATTGGTATCACGACCTGAGCACCGCTTTGCTACCAGGTTATCTTGCTTCCGGGAATGAGAACGCTGAACCCGTTCCTGACAATGGTCTAATCCAGGGTACCAATTTGTAAGGGTCTTTTGTGGATTTCATTATCACGTGCTAATATCTCCAGCTTCAACTGCTCTTCATACGGGGCTGACAGTGGTTACAACTGTCAAAATAACTCAACACAGGCGACCTTCGTAGTCGCTCAAAACAAAAGATACCGTCTACGAATGATCAATACAGGAGCTTTCGGTGAATTCCAGGTCTCGGTCGACAATCACACTCTATCAGTGATTGAAGCAGACGCAACCCTCGTCCAACCCGTGACCGTGAACCGCGTGCCCATCGCTGTCGCCCAACGCTACTCCGTCATTCTTCACACTAACCAAACCGCAACCAACTACTGGTTCAGGGCTCAGATGAATACCTATTGTTTCACCTCAAACAATGCTCCGGTCCTGGATCCCGATGTTCGTGCCCTCTTGACCTATACAAACACCACGGACGAACCTACGCACTCAGCGGATTGGGCCACAGCATTAGAGCTCCAATGCCAAGATCTCTCCAGCTCCGATCTGGTTCCGCTTGTCCCCGAAGCCGCTCCCTCCCCTGATCAAACCTTCGTAGTCGATGTCTCCTTCCAAATTGGAGCCTACGCTCTCGACAAAGCGTATATCAATTCCACGACCTGGGTTCCCTCAAAGATCCCCACGGTCAACCAAGCTATTTCCGGCCTGCACGCCGACAACAGCACATTCAACGCGAACGGGCTTAGCAGCGCCTTCGGACCCTCCCAATTCGTCATCAGCGTCCCCGAAATCCAAGTGATCGACGTCCTCGTCAACAGCCTAGACGAAGGCGCTCATCCCTTCCATCTCCACGGGCACAAGTTCTGGATCATGGCGTCGGGCTCCTCGGGCGTCTTCGACTGGAGCACCTACCAAGATCTCAACACCACGAACCCCATGAAGAGGGATACTATGACAATCGATGCGTACGGATGGGCGCTGATCCGATTCGTAGCCGATAATCCCGGTCTGTGGGCTTTCCATTGCCATATCAGTTGGCATATGGAAGCCGGGCTGCTGATGCAATTCCAGACGCGCAACGACCTAATGAAGGACTGGACGCTACCCAGTGACGTGGCGGCTTTATGTAATGGATGAGAAGGGAAACAGGCGTTTTAAAAAGAAAGAAAATGTTGTTTAGGAAGTTCTCGATTTTATTATATATTACAATATAGAGGATTATATATATCATCACCCCTAGCCGTTCTCCATTATTCCTTCTTCTTCTTCGTCATCTCTCATATACCCACCTATCTTACCAATCCCTCCCCTCCCCTCCCCTCTCCATCCTCCACCCCCCAAAAGCCATATAAACCCACCCACTCCACACCATAGATCCAAGACTTCCCTCACCCACTCACTCGCTGATTCACTTACTATATGAATGAATCAAATCCTCCAATCTTCTTCTTCTTCTCTCCTAAGAAACCAACCCCCTTTCTTAAATCATGAATCTTAATCCTCACCCAGGAGCAAAACATAATCTAGAAAGGAGGGGAGGAGGGGAGGGAAGAAAAGAGGACTGGGGAGGGATAGGTAGGTAGGTAGGGATATGTGAGTTGGATGGATGGATAAATGCTTGGCTACTAGTAGGAAGACAGGAAGGTGTCGGAAGAAATTCCGAGAGAAAGTGGGATTAATCGTGTGAGAACGATATGATATGATGGGGTGTAAAGAAAGGTAATTCACAGAAAAGTAGAGGTTCTGTAAATTCAATAGCTGGGGGACTGGTGGTGGCTATTTTTTGGAAACAAGAAGACTTCGGATTCAGCTATGTGGACGATTGCTATTTATTCTTGCCATTTTTTAGGTTCCTCTCTTACGCCTCCTTGTACATACGACGTAGCTCGCATGCTCAGAATCGACAATTAGGAGACCTCTTGGATCAGCTTCCCGCCCATCCCGGCGGCGCCGCTGGACCGCTTCACTCCGCCGTGGAACATGGCGCCGACTGGACTCTCCAACCACTCCTCAGGAACACCAATGCGGTTTCCGTCTTTGTTACTAACCCATCTTACGAACAGGGGGTTCGGTTTCTGGCTTTCGGCATCGGGCGTTGTATCAGCAGCGGTGGGATTGAAGTCCTTTCGCCGGGCATTGGTCTTGGGTGCTTGTTTCTTGAGGAGTTTGTTGATGGTTTCCATCTGAGATATGTGTGAGCAGCAGGCAATGGCCAAGGATAGAAGCTGGAATGCACATACCTTTTCTTCTTCGTTGCGCTTTTCGCTCAAGTTCTTTCTTCGGCGCGCCATCTCCGCGCGCCTCATGGCGTGTTCTTCTGCTGTTAGATGCTTCTTGACTTGAACCTCTGCAAAGTATTAGCACTGTGTGTGTCACGTGTAAGTCGTAACTTGCCATCAGGAAGTGCCAATAAATGCCCGCTGCCGCCTTCCTCCAATCTTGCCCGTTGCCTCTTGGTCAATTTGTTGAGATCCGGGGTTGAAGCTCTGCTGCCACCACCTGGGGTCTCATCGTCACTGTCAAGGTCGTCCTCATCGTCCTCGGCTTCAACCTCGAGTTCTTCCTCCTCGCCCTCCGCATCTTCCTCATTTCCAGTTTGCATTGCTTCTTCTTCCTCGATTTCTTCCCCAACATCGCTATCGAGCTCACTCAACTCCTCATCGTCGCTCGCCATCTCCACTTCCTTCTGCTCAACACTCATGGTGTGGGCTTTTGCTGGCTGTTTTGCCGCAATTGTTTGCTTTTTAGGTTGGGATTTGGAAACTTTAATCGTTGATGGCGGAGGCGCAATGTCCATATCGACGTCAGCGTCCGCATCTTCATCTCCAAGTCCATCGTCCTCCTCCATCTCTTCGTCGTCTTCATCACCCTCTGCATCATCTTCAACTACATCGTCCATCTCCTCGTCCTCGTCCTCTTCCTCGTCCTCGCTATCCGAATCCAGGACATAGCTACTCTTGACATTCCTCGCTCTCTTCCCCTCGAGAATTTCACCGCCGACAAAGTGATCTCGACCATTCACTGAGATGGTCCCTGAACTTGTACGAGTGGCCTCACGTAGTTTGTTGGATGATGCCTTTACCGTGAGCCGCATTGACTGAGGACTCCTCGACGCAGCTGTAGGAGGCCCACGTGAGACGGTGGCGGTAGCCAGATTGTCCGATGCCGTACGACGCGACCGTGATGTTCTATCCGTTGCACCATCAGCAATTGCCCCTGAGGTCCTCACCGCCGCCGAGCGCTGGCTTCGAAGTGATGGCATGTTGGAAAGGGTGATGCGAAACAACAGGAGATAAGTGGCAGAGAGGTGGGTGGTAGATTGTTGGGTAAGGGTGAAGACGATAATTGTATGGAAAGAAGAGACGAGGGGAGGTTGGACTTGAGTTGAGGTTGAAGCAACGTGACAAGGGCTGACGACGGTCGGGTCACCACAACCACAACGAATAAGACGACGACGACTAACATCAAGCAAACCGACAAAGGAAGCGCGTTGTTAAGAAGCGCAAATGCAAACGCCGTGGTCATCCAGTCGGCACGTATCAACGCATCAACGCATTAACGTATCAACGTATCAACGCATCAACGCATCAACGCATCAATGTATCGGGTCTGGCCCACTTGCCCTTTGTCTCTTGCCTCTTGTCTTTATGCTCCTCGGTTTTCTCGTCCCGTTCGAACACCAAAAGCTTCATGTAACAAAGGCGGAAAGACAGTACAATACAGCAGAGAAGACAGTCTTATCACTACTGTCACGGGACCAACCACTGGTGTACAACGGTCCCAGACCCGCCAAACGGAGATTCTGGGACTTCGCGTCGGGAAGAACAAAGTGTTGCTCGCTGCTCATACAAGTAGATAAATGAAATGACGGGAGAAGCGCTTACTCGTTGTCGCCCGCCGTGGCTTGTCCAGCGGTGCCAGCTTTCCCTTGCCCTGGCCCTGGCCCTTGCTTCTGCGTTCTCCGATCAATCCAATCGTTGCCCTCCGACGTGCCCTCGGAATCTGTACTCAATCTGTGGGGTCGTTGACCGGCCTTCCCGGACATGGCGCTCCCTTCTCTCTGGATGCTGGTACGGGGAGTGGCGTAAGTGAATATCGAGACTGAGATTGGACCTTTGGAGGATCCTTGGTGGCGGGGTGCGGTTGTTGTAGCCTATTGCTGGAAGACGACTCTGATCTAATTCAAGACTTTATATATGATAAAAGATATAATCCAAAAGGGTCCACGGTGGTGAAGGCAAAAGCAAGATAAGATACTCGGGCTTCGAGACACCACCGCCCATTTCGGCCAGTGAGTCGTGAGCAGTGCGTTCTGATTGGCTACATTATGATTAGTCAGCCAGGCCTTTGATGCCGAGGCTGAGATGGTCGACCGACAACCAAGAAGCTCTGGATGCGCCAAACATTGCTGTTCAACCACCAACATTCCATACCATGAGCGACTCCGACCCGAGCCAGAAGAAGCCCGGAGTGCCATCATGGCAGCTCAGCTCGAAGGATACAACCCCGGCCGAGGCGGACACAGATGCAGAGAGTGAGGCAGGTGCAAAAGCAGAGACACAGCGAGAATCGCCCAGCCGAGAGTCAGTGATTGAGCAGGCCAAGAGGTTCCTGCAGGAGGACGAAGTGCGCAATGCATCAACCGACAAGAAGATCTCTTTTCTCGAGAGCAAGGGTCTCACAAGTGAGGAAATCCAGACTCTGCTGGGAGTAACGCGGAATCCAGAAGCATCGGCCCAAGCACCAGCCCACACGCAAGATCAAGTCAGTTCTACATGTGAACCATTGTTAGCCAGCTACTGACAGCCTCGCAGAACTCTTCACCATCCCCACAGTCGCAACCTACATACTCAAGTCCTCCACCACGCGATATCCCCCCTATAATAACCTACCCCGAGTTCCTCACAACCCCCCAGCACCCCACACCCCTCGTAACCACTTCCCGCCTCCGCGCAACTCTCTACCTCTTCGGAGCTCTCTCCGCCCTCATCTACGGCACAAGTAACTACCTCGTCACACCAATGGTCGAAGCCCTCACCGCATCACGGTTATCTCTCGCCGAGACCGCAACTACGAACCTCTCCAAACTAATAACCAAGTTAGAGAGCGTGGTGTCAGAGATCCCACCCGAAAAACCACGTTCGCGTGCTGGGAGGACAGGAGAAGGGGAGATGGAGGTGGATGAAGAGAGTGATGAAGATCCTACAGAGATGTTCCATAGAGATATCGGCATCCAGACGTCTCTGCCCCCTACTCCCTCCTCGGGCCCCGCCTCCTCCCCCCCATCCTCGTCTAGCGCCATCAACGACCAAGCCACCCGTCTGAAATCCATCTCCACCTCAGTGACCAGCCTGCTAGAGGACAGCACGAGTGAGGGGCACGATATATCTGATCTCAGCACGACCGTTGGGATCTTGAGGGAGTATTTGGACGGCCTCGCGTATGTCATGCCCAGTTATGGGTACGGGACTGGGGGCTATGGCAGTGGGCCGCAGGCGGACGATGAGATTGGGAAGGTCAAAGCGAGCATTAGGAGCGTGAAGGGGGTGTTGCTGAGTGCGAGGAGTTTCCCGTCGGTCGTGAGACCGGTGAGATGAGACATACGATTGCTCAGATAGCATGATACCAAATGCCACAGCTCTAATCCATGTAGGTCCAGGTCCAAGATATGATCCTGATCGATCCGTGGATACCTATGAATGGCTTCTAATAATCCACCCCAAGAAAAGAAAGCAGAGCATTTGAAATAGGGAATCGGGGGGACGCAATTTATATTATAAGGTACCTAGCTATCCTATATTCTCAAGAGACAGCAGTACTGCTCATTTCCAAAAACGGAAATCGAATGCTTTTTGTTCGCGAGATAGAGAGTGGGAATAGGTAAGTAGGACGACGTGAATGAATCATATTCCACTCATTGTTTTTTTATACTCGATGTCCTGGTGAAAGATCATATCGTAGTCTCTCTACCTTATATCTCTCTATATTATCTCTTCTTCATATTGTCCCCTCCGACATCGCAAGTCTTCCTTTGTATAGGTAGATACGATAGCATCCGTGGATTCGACCAGCAACATACAGAGAAAATAAGTTGACCCAAGATCATGACTTTCCCTTTATTCTGTTATGCCTGTATACTAGGTAGGTAAAGAAAGCTTCATCATGGGTCGAGGAGGCATGTATCTTTTTTTTTTTTTTTTTTTTGTAGAGTAGTGACTATATATATAATTATAATTAATGACCAAACCAATGCAGCAGCAGCAACATGTATACAAACGCCGCTTTACACCCCTGACAATCTAAATCATCTATCTAATCCAAACACCAACCATGCGTTATTTTTCTAACCACCGCGAGCGATGTGCGCGAGCAGCTAGCTGCGTGCCCGAGCTTGTCCTCCCCTTCCTTCAATTACGATTACCGTTCGCCGGCTCCTTGTCCTTACGGAACAGGATCTTCCGGATACTCTTCTTGATGTCGATCCCCTTGGCCGGTTTCTCTTTCTCGCCGCCCGCCTTCTCAGGATCGGGTTTCTGGGGCTCCTCTTTCTCCTTCTCCGCCTCCTTCTCGAAGCTGAAGAAGCCGGCAAGACTCATCCGCCGGCTCGCTCGTCGCGGCGTCTCGGTGGGCTTGGGCGGCCATTCGCCGTCCCGCTTCCAGCCTTGCACGCAGCTCCGCGTTACATCCTTCAGGTTCATGGGGCAGCTTGGGGTCAACTGCTGGATAATTACTTTGTCGTAGATCGTGTTGTAAGCGGCAGGCGTGATGCTGGATCTCATGGCGTTCTCGGGAGGTAAGATGGGTGGGGCGATAGGGATCTCGGTATCCAGCTCCCATTCCGAGTCTTCCTGTTCAATGGCCGTAGATGACCCACCGGTTTCTGGGGTAGAGGCCCGATCTTTTTGAACCGCCGTCGTCTTAACACCCGTAGAACAACCTACACGCCGTGCACCCGTCCATGCATCGCGACGTTGAACGAAGCAGCGTATTCCGTCATTCCAAGCCATCTCTTCGGCGAGACGCTTCTTGTGGCGGCGTTTGCGCTCCAGCTTCCTCTTCTTGATAGTTTCATCTGTACTAGTGGTAGGTCTGGAGCTGACGGCGTTTTCCCCGTCAATGTGTGAGTCTTGCTTGTCCCCAGATATCGCAGTCGATACCTCTTCCCCAGTCTCGCTAGCATTACTCGACCATTCGTCTCTCTCCTTCCACTGGTCCTCTGTAACGGTTTCTGAGAGACCTTCAGGGCTCCCTGGCAGAGGATCCGCAGGGGACGCCACTTTATCCTCAAGTGGTGGCCATTCCCACTTCCAGTCATTCTTGACTCTTTCCGCCAAATACCTCTTCACTGCCTCCTTCTGCTTCGCGCGGTCCCGACTCGTCAAGTCAGCTTCGTATTCCGTCAGGGCCCCTGTATTCGCAAATGCCCGGCGTCGATGCGCGGCACTGCCTGCGCCATTTGGACCAAATATCATTTTGCCCTCATCCACGCTCTGTGGTCCCGTCGCGGCGTCGGGCTGCGAAGCGGGAGCGGCAGTCGATGTGGGATCAGATTGTTGTTGGGAAGAATTTGCGGAGGGAGGGAGCTCGTCTGCTGTCCCCCCAGTATTTGGACGAGGGGCTGGAGCCGGGAGGGGATCACGGGGTAGAGACGACTGGGGTGGGATGGATGTTGAGGAGGGCTCGACTGCGCGGAACCAATCAGTTTGTTTTCTCTCTCTGGTAACAATGAAGCCGTAGTACTGTGTGTGCACACATGCTCAATCAAAATATACTGCTTACCGTTGTCTGGCTCGATATGCCCATTCGCCGCAGCGACTTGATTTGGTACCGAGTCAGGCGCAAGTCCCGTTACCACCGTATGATTCCCAGTCGCCACGGCATCATGCGACGGGTCTCGCGGTGGTCTGTCAACCAGGTTCGAAGACGGCAGTGTCTTTTGTTCGCGCGACTCCACCTCCTGCGAACCGCTGGTAGCTTCCACCGCGTCCACCACTTGCGCCTGAGCCTCAGTGGCTTCCCGCTCGGCCCCGTCAACACCAGACATGTCGTGTGCTACGTCTCCACGATCTGCGGCGCCCAGGTGGAGGGCGGAAGCGTCTCGAGACATATCGCATCCTCATCAACCCTCAGTGGTCATCGCAGCCGTCGAGATGAGTGTCGGTGGTTTGGGGAGGATGGGGAGTGGAGAAGAAGGAGAGAGTCGAAAATATTGCGCGCTCTTCTGCTCTTGAATCATGCGATTTAGCATTCGGTAATCCCTGTGGGGATCGACACCCTCGCTTCGTGCCGCATCTGGGGAACTGACGCTGCGTACAGCCTCATTTTCTGCCCAGCTAAGCTAGAGATCTTGATACTCTTTCTGCTTTGATTTGCTTACTTGGCTGTGGACATTGAGGCTCTTCATGCATATCAGTGGGAGTCCATCCTCCATGGATATTCTCCAGTCACTAGAAGCCCGGGCGTCGATGGACTTGCGTGGTTATCGAGCCTCTTCAGTCACGAGAGCCGGCTGGCTGGCTGATTTATAACTTCCAACCGTCTCTTTTAGTGTGTTTTGGTGAGTGATTTCTTATAGGACGAGTTGATGTCGACAGATTATGGCTAGGTGGCTTCTCTTCTGATACGAGATTCTAGTTCTCTTCGAATGCCTCGGGGTCGGTGGTCCTGGTCCTATAACCAGAGAGAAGAGCTAGGCTTGAGCTGCTCTCCCCCTTCTACAGAGTAGGTCCCAATTCAGTTCTAGGCCTTCCATCTTGCAGCTTTCCGGTTGCCTCCAGCATCTGTCGGATACGGGGTCACTGATGATCTTTCGCCTTACAAGCCTGAAATCTTGGATACAGCCTGTAGTGTGACGAGATTCCATGCCAGAGGTATACTTGCCATTTACTTGAGAGTGTTTATACACTTGAAAAACCATGTGCCTATTATTCAAGAAGTGGGCCTGCAAGCTGCAACGAACATCGAAAGAGACAGACTTGGTGTCTGTGTGATCTTTCGATATTCAACATTGATATCAGCCCTAATCTATCTCAACATGTTCAGCCAACTCCTAATCCTTTGAGGGGACAATAGCCAGCATGCATGCTCAATCTTCGACTTCGATGCGATGAGCAGAGCCGATTGACCGTCCATAAGAGGCCACCAATATCGGTCAGCGCAAGATCCTCGGACTTCCGTGCTCAATATCCTATCTAGTATCTCCGGTTCCGGGTTATTGAATGTTCGTCCTCAATATCCTAACCGTTTTGTACCGTCCCTGGAGGCCTTGCATAGGATATCTATACTTATATATATGCCCTGATCCGGATGATAGCGATGTTCTAGCCAGCAACACTGAAGACATCCACCTCTAACTATGTCGAGAGAGCCATGGTAGACATGCAATAAAGCTAGTGTAGGTAAGGTCCCGTATGGCCATGGACCGGTGGAGGATGTATGTGGTGGTGTTCCTCGCGTCGGCGGGCCCAAGCTCCATCGTCATTCGCCGAAAACGAGTGCCACTGTCCTAGATACACTTGCACCCCGACGCAACCCCAAGATGCGCCGCTGAATGATGAACGCACAACGCGACGCTGTATATCTCGGACTTCGATGAATGTCCCTTCAAACACTGGGCGCCAACCTACCTCACTGAAGCTGGCACGTTGTCGCCATGCTTTCCGCCTTCACAGCTCGACCCATTGTTGAGCTCCGGCAACGGGACAAGTCGAAGATCGAGTCTATACTGGCCCATGGTCGGTCTGCTTCCCCGCCAGTTGGACATAGCTGACAACATCAGACGACAGACTTCTGGTAGGATTGAACTCTGGGACTTTACGGATATATCGGGTCAACGAGCATCCAGAAGAACAAGGGAGTCATAATGGCGCGGCGAAGCCAGATGGCAAGACTTCATCTCCCCCCAGTCCCTCTCCGCAGAAACCGACCGATCTGCTGCGGGAAGTCGAGAAATTCTCTACCCGGGCAGTGGAACAACTTGCGATCATAAAGCCGGCTGATATGTTGATATCTTTGTCGAATTCCCACGTCTCGATACACGACCTGCAATCGTTCTCCCTGCAGGAGCTGTTAACGAAGACAAAAGGTGCTACAACATTTGCCGTTACCTCGAATATAGAGAAGGATTCCGCAACTGGGATACCGGAGACAATATCTAGGCTGGCAGTGGCTGTCAAGAGGAGATTATTACTGTGGTCATGGCATGAGGCCGAGCTGTCGCATGATGTCACTGAGATCACGCTGGCCGAGACCATGAGGACGGTGACTTGGCTTTCTGCGACCAAAGTAGTATGCGGGATGAACTCAGGATATGTGATAGTTGATGTGGTTACCCGCGAGTTAGAGGACATTGTTGGGCCAGGCGCTATTGGAGGAGCCTCTGGAGCGCAAGGTGGGCGATTTGGCGCAGTTGGCTCAGTGAGTATGGGATACATGGGTCTCGGGGGATATATGCCAAAGCCTCTGGCAACAAAAGTCGCCGATGGAGAGATGCTCCTTTCCAAGGATATAAACTCGTTGTTTATCACGTCAGATGGAAAGCCGATTGAAAAGAGACAAATACCGTGGCAGCAAGCACCGGATGCTATAGGGTACTCATACCCATATATTTTATCACTCCAAGCACCCTCGAAAGGTATTCTGGAAGTCAGAAATCCAGATACGCTGTCTCTTCTCCAATCCACATCATTACCAAACGCAAGTGTACTACATTTACCGCCAACCACAGCCAGCCTCGCACAGAAGGCGAAGGGGTTCCATGTTTCCAGTGACCGTTGCATATGGCGAATGGAGGCAACCGCTTATGATGCACAGATCGATGACCTTGTGAAAAACGGCCTGTATGACGAAGCAATCAGCATACTGGATATGTTGGAAGATGGCTTGTTACAGCACAAGCAAGCTCGCCTCCGAGAGGTCAAGATCCAAAAGGCACAGGTTCTTTTTGATCAGCGAAATTATGACAAGGCAATTGATATATTTCTGGAGGCGGAAGCACCCCCTGAAAGGGTCATCAAATTATACCCAAGAGCTATCGCAGGTGATTTGTCCACCTTCGAAGACAAACAGCAAGATGTTGATACAGATAACGAAGAACAAAATGAGAATGCAAATGGGGATACAGCTGCCAACGGAGAATTTAAGCAAGACCTTGTGGGATCACCAAAGCCGGCTGCCTTGAATAAACTATTGAAGTCGCATCAACAAGCTACGTCAGATACATCATCTATCAGATCATTTATGAGGCTCGATGGAGGTGATTCTAGCGACACGGCGAATACCAGACCGAAGCCGAAGGATGATGGACCGCTCGAGGGGAAGGACCTGATCACAGCAACTCTCGCCCTCACTGCGTTCCTCGTCGATAGTCGGAACAGGATGAAAAGGTTCCTTGATGCCGAAACCGGGAAAATGATACCACCAAAACAGAACGGACAAAACGGGTCATCACACGCCGCTTTCGAGTCCCTGCTCATGGCGCCAGCATCTGACGAGGACAAAGATAGAGAACAGAAACTGCGGGAGACCGCAACACTTATTGATACAACTCTATTCAGGTCAAATATGCTCGTCAGACCTGCGTTGGCTGGCTCACTCTTCCGAATTCCTAATTTCTGTGACCCAGATGTGGTCAAAGAGAAACTGTTAGAGACCTCGAGGTATAACGATCTGGTCGATTTCTTCTACGGCAAGAAACTGCATCGTCAGGCACTCGAATTACTCCAAAAATTCGGAATGGCCGATGAAGAAGATGAGAATGCACCTGCACTCCATGGACCTCAACGAACCGTCGGCTATCTGCAGAACCTACCACCGGAGATGATTGATCTGATACTCGAGTTCGCGGAATGGCCTTTGAGAGTGAACCCTGATCTTGGCATGGAGATATTCCTGGCAGATACTGAGAATGCCGAGACATTACCAAGAGACAAGGTGCTCAACTTTCTAGAGAAGATTGACGTTGGTCTCGAGGTCAAATACCTAGAACACGTGATCAATGAACTCAATGACCTGACACCCGAGTTCCATAATCGGCTGGTTGGCGCATATCTTAAGGACTTGAAGGACAGAGAAGATAAAGAATCTGAGGAATGGAAGGGATTGATGGAGAGACTAGTTGACTTTCTGCGGTCTAGCAAACAATATTCTCTTTCGAAGGCTTTTGGAATGATACCCAGGGAAGGTTTGTGCCCCACACCGACGAGAGAATGATATATGCTAATTTTTCAGATCCTAAATTTTATGAGGCGCAGGCTGTTGTTTTGAGTAATATGGGTCAGCATAAACAGGCGCTGGAGATTTACGTTTTCAAGCTCAAAGATTTTGAAAAGGCGGAAGAGTGAGTCTGATGGCCAAGAGATACATTACGTTGACTGACTCCTACAGATATTGCAATCTCGTCCACCTAACACAAGATTCCTTGGACCCCTCGTCAGTCCAAGTCCGCCAAGCCTCGACCCCAGAAACAGATGATCCCGCCCCATCGATTTACCATACCCTTCTTTCTCTCTATCTCACACCACCAGCACCTCATGAACCAAACTGGGGACCAGCTCTTGACATCCTCTCCAAACACGGCTCCCGTCTTCCGGCAGCGTCGACCCTAAATCTCGTCCCTGATACACTGCCAATCGCTAAACTAGAATCATATTTCCGAGGCCGTATTCGCGCGGCTACTTCTATCGTAAACGAAGCCCGCATCGTGGCCGGACTACGGAAGAGCGAGGTAGTCAGTGCGCAGGCTACATTGCTGCTTGGTGACGGGACGCAGGGCGGTCATGGAGGGAGAAATAGAAGAGTGGTTGTTTCGGAAGAAAGGGTCTGTGGTGTTTGTCACAAACGACTTGGTGGAAGCGTGGTCGCTGTCCAGCCAGATAATTCGGTGGTACATTATGGGTGTCGGAGCCGTGCGGGGCAAAGGCGTGCCGGTGGGATGGAGACCTTGAGGACAGGGTCGGGGTCGTGGGGAAGGACGTGATACGCTGGGCCATGGTGATTGATACATAGCGATGGAGTTTGTGACGCTGTATATCCGTGTAACTTGTAGAAGACAGGGCTCATTCTTCCTCTGCAACCTCTTCGCCGTAATTGTCTTCCTCCTTGGCCTCGTCCACACCCTTCGCCTTTGCAAGCCCGTTCAGGCCCTCAGCCTCCCGAGCCTTGTCTTCCTCCATCCGCAGTGTAATCTCCTTGTTGATCTGCTCCTGCATCACGGCGGTCGCCTTTCGCAATGCACCGAGGTAAGCGGTCCTGTCGGCGGTCTGGGTGCTTGGAGGGGTGGGCAGCTTTTGGGTGTATGTGAAGGCTGCATTGTGGGGTGACCGATATGTTGCTGAGAGGAGCTGGTACCCCTGCGTAGCTTCACTCTGAGCATCGGACGCTGCCATGGTTCTTGGCTCTTGAGCAAGGGTTGGTTGGAGATGGAAATGGAGGAGGTGGTGGTGGTGTAAAGTTGGTGGGAGACGGGAATAGCGAGGCTTGTTTTTCGGTCCCAAGCGACGGACGGCCTTGGTGGTGTTTACAACTGGGTAAGATCTTAAACAGATAATATACGACTGACGTCTGAGCCTCAATCCACCCTCAGTCTTAACCCTACCATCGTTCACACTTCTCTCTCTTAAGAATGTCGAGACCCCCAAGTCTGCCATCTTTCGCTCTCAACAGATAGCCCCGCAGTACGAGTTATGCGAACGCTCTGGGGCCATTGCACAAACCGCGAGCCATGTCACAAACGCCAGGGCAACCAACACGAGCCCCCGGGAGCTTCTCTCCTGCGATCCCAGCATCGACATCGACAATCCCGCGCCGACCTGTCCAGAGAATTGCCTCCTCTCCTGATGAAGAGGCAGGTCCTTTGACCGTTGCCAAGCAACGAGCTCCAGCGCTGCAGAATGCGCCCGCCCCTCCGCGTCCTTTGTATGCCGCATCCGCCCAGGCGAACACCAGCACCTCAAGTCTGCAGAACTTCTCTCGACCGACGCCCACTCCACTGCGCACCGATCTGCCACAGACACAGACACAGAGGGCGGGCTCACCGTTAACCGCTTCCGCGAAATCCCCGGATAGTTCTGTCCACGGTACGCCCCACCGCGGACACGGGAGAAAACACTCGAAGACGCAAGGATCCTTCGAGCCGTATCTTCCCACGGCTGCTTTCTCGAATATGGGCAATATGGGAAACCTCGATAAGGCTCTGAGTGCGAGTCAGATCGCTGCTCAGGCGGCGATGCAGCATCAGGCACAACATGTACGGCAAAGGTCACAAACGATACCCATCCCTGAGGACACAAAGTCAAATACTGGCAGATCTATGAGGGCGCCCACTTCCCCACCGCTCTTGAATTTAACGGAGGCTTCTGCTCCAAGAGAACCGAGTTTTGGGGGCCAGATATATCACAATGGGTTACTTGGAGGGCATGGAGCAGCTCAAACAGCTGCAAACGCAGCGTTTCCAAAGTCGCCTGGATCGTCACCGGTACTGCCACCCACAGATCACGAACAGCATCGGCTGCAAGCCGAAAAGCCGAAAGCAGAGAAGCCCAAAGTCAAGTTGTTTTCTCGGCCCGCGAGGATCGGGATTAGCAAGGATAAAGATGGAAAGGCCGGAGCGCTCCCGAGCCCGAGTAAGATGGCATCCTACTCCCTTGGTGCACTATCGAGAGGTAATGCGAGTACCAACAATTTAGCAGATAACTTATCAAGCGCCGCGAGCATATATAGCATGGCGAACTCCTCTTCAGCAACCATACGAGCCGATCAACCGGAGAAGGAAAAGGATAAGGAAAAGAAGCATCACTTTCTTTCGAGACAGAAACACAAATTAAGCAGCAAAGATGACTACCATCTACCGTTATCATCCGCAGCGTCGAATTCGAAGCCCGTGGATCCGAGCGCCCCGAGCAGTTTATATAACTTCAACCTACCGCAGAGTCCTGGACCGAACAGTACGAGCTTTGCGAAGTCGATGAGCGGGTTGGATTTGAGACACGGCGGAAGGGCATTGAGAGAGAAGAAGAAAGAGGAGAAGGGTGATGCGTTGAGAGAGACTGAGTTGTCATACCAGAATAGCAATGATTGGCCTGGTCCATCCAGTCTGGGTTCTGCAGGAGCGAGTTCACATCTTGCTTCTGCGACCGGTCCTTTTGGCCATCCTACTGCTGCAACAGATATTCAGGATTTTGCCAAGTTTGGACTGGCAAATATGGGACCGGATGATGCGTGGCCGTGCTTGAAGGCTAAGCTTCTGGTAATCTTCGAAGGAGAAGACTTGAGGTTACCAGTGGAGGACTTCAATCGCCTCGTTTCGTAAGTAGCCCCTTCTTTGCTCGACATCTCATGCTAACAACGGAAACAGGACACACTTCCAACGCTGCTTGCAAAAAAGAGCTCCAAACATCATAATCGACGACCTCCGCGATCTTCTTACAACGGGCTTCTCATTACTCGACCAAACGCTCCGTCGCACACCCGATGAACGACTCATCCCTCATCTCGTCGAGATGTGGCTCTTCACATTCACATCTATCCTCCCTTACGTACAAGCCGTCTTTCTTCCTCTGGATCTCGAGTTTTCTGGAAATGGACCCCTCATGTCACCTGAACAAGCTCGAGAGTTCTGGGGCGCATTGCCCGCCTCTACTGCATCCTATATTGGAACGAGTGTTCCCGCCTCTCAAGGTCTGGAAGTTCGCCGGATCGTGCTCATAGCTTATCGGGACACCATCATCCTCCCGCGCTTCGATACCCTGAAAACGCTCTTCTCCCGGCTCTCACTAGATAGCATAGCCCTCAGTATCCCATCCTCCGACACCCTCTCCACATCCCCCGATTCCTTCTCCAACATCTCTGGCGGGCGCCCCTCAACTGCCATGTCCCTCGACCCATCCCAAGCGTCCTACGGCTCCCAATCAACAACGCTCTTAGGCGGCGGCTCTTCCGGCGACGGCAGCGGTAACCGCTCCCGCACCATCAGCAACGTCTCGCACGGCTCGGACTCCATCCTCTCGGGCCTCGGGATCAACGTCCCCCCTCCCCCCGCCCGTCCCTTCACCCCCAGCAGCACGCACCCCTTCGCGCAGACGAGCCACGGCAACCGCGGCGCCCGCGAGCGGAACGTCGAGGATAGCAGTAACCGGGTGACGGAGCTCGTGGGCCGCATGCTGCAGTGCATGAGCGTCCTGTCGAGCGTGGGAGGCACACCGGGCAGTGCCAGCACCGGGGCGGGGGCGGACCAGGATAGCCAGCAGAAGATGGAGGAGCTGTGCAGAGGGCTGAAGTTGAATTGGTTGGGAAGGGGGAGGATGGGCAGGAATAGGAGGGGCTTGGTGGGCGCCAGGGTTCCGGGCGGGAGTAAAGGACAGGAGAGCAGGCCGGAGGGTATTACGGTCTGATTAGAGTGGCGCTTTGATTTGGAAGGGCGCGTGTATTTGTATTGGTGTTAGGGATTGGTCCTGCTTCAGGGCGTATTCATGTTGGCGTTTGCTTTGGGGTCGGTGGGACGATATACGATGTAAAGATAGAAGGATAAACATGCATAAAGGAAAGCGTTGCACTTGTATTCAACCGTGTACAAAATACTGGGTGAGATAACATGCCATGATTCTATATAGCTATGAACATCTACGTCTACTAATCCTCATATTACTGCGCGACAACCTTTTGACCGCTCAACACCCGACTTTTCAAGTTTCTAATTTTATGCTTTCTGATACCCTAGAAGTCTTTTGAGCCATCAAATTAGCAAGGTTCCTCCATAGTAAACGTTTGAAGGAAGAAATGTGAATGGATAAGCTTAATCAGACATCCAAGGAAGATTATACCCTCATCTGTCCCGGTTTAGGTTCTAAGTTGGGACTCGAGTGAAAACTGCGAATGTGGTATGTGTTTCATCATGAAAGCTTGGGGTTGGGGCAGGGAATGGAGAACAATATGGAAATGAGAACTGACCTTTGGCAGTGAGACCCAGCTAGAGAACTAGGAGGATATTTGTTAGTTGGCGGAGTGTACAGCAATGTATCGAGCAGTTATAAGCTCTGCATGAAGAGTTGATGCTGGTGACGAGGCTTTGTACAGTGCAATGCCCAAACAAATTTCGACAGATGGGAAAAGATTTTCATCAGAGTTTTCCAGCGGCCATGTGCGAACCTACAAAAACTTGTAATTGTCAGTCTCGGTCCGAGAAGAAATGGGAGAAAGACAAAGAATAGAAAATAATCTCTCAGACACAATCTCTGGCTTAAGCAACCCTCCCACGTATGGAAGAATCGAACAGCGTAGACTTCAGCATGGTCGAGTACAGTTGGGAAAAGAAGTATTTTCGAAATGTCATCAATGAGACCTGGAGGGGAGCGGGTGAGAGAGGAGACGTACCATTTTAGGGACAGCTGGGAAGCTTAGTAGGGAAGAAAGATTGCAAGAATATAGGAAGGAATATAGATAGATCAGACAGCTTGCAATGCTGCATTCACCTACAGCGCAAAGCATCTGCTGCTGGGATACCTCTATGGAACGACAGAGGCACAGAGCACTGCAGACTGCAGTCCGCTGTTGGAGAAGTTGTGTGGGAAAAAAAGAAATCTTGGAAGATGAAGCTGACGGCGGTAGAAATACTCTGGAAATATTTCGAAGCCGCGTAAGATTACGTAACGCACGCTAGCCCAGAATGTCTCTAGCGCAGCACTCGTAATCACCTGACACTTGACTATTCCCTTTCAGGACGGCCCGCCCCAAAATCGCCCGCTCGACGGCAGTTCCCCCAAAACCCAACCCAAGATCAGACCAAAAGGCTATCGCCAGGACGAATGGATGACGGAAGAGGGCACATCATGCTCCTTCGCTCCCTTCTCTGATATCTCGGAATTGCTTCATTTCTCCAAAACTTCTTCTCTCCCCCAAAGTCGCCCCAATCCTATTCTCCAATCCCCCCCCCCCAACACGCGCGACTGGCCTAGCCGTTCTATCAAAGCTTCTTCGTCTCCTCCCTATGCAGCGCACGCCGGTTCCTCGTACCGCATCGTGAGTCGTGACAGGGCCAGGGCACACGAACCGCAACCAACGCCGCCGAGATCCTCCCAAGCATCCGCATTCCGACGACGATCCCCAAATACTCGAATGCGCGTGGCCAGGTAGCCGGCCACCTCTCCAGCCTTTTGTCGTTGGACTCGCTGATTACATATCGCCAAGTTGAGCTGCGGCGACCACACGGCCTTGACCTACGGTGTACGATTTAAGGACCAATACAATACAGACCACACTGTCGCGCGCTGCGGTATTTTCCGGTCCCCAACTCTCCGACATCATTTACCCAAATCGCACGAGCATCTCCCTGCCGCGCCGAAACGGCCCAGGTTGACTGACCATCGAAAGGCTCCTCTCTGTTGAGTGTGTAAGCGGACCTTATCCTCGCCTGTATAGTCTCGCGACAACACAGCACCAACGCAGACTCGCCAACTCACCGCGATCTCGAAAGCTGTGCAGCTTCGCAATTGGCCCGGTTTCTGGCCAGAGTGAGGCGAAGACAGTGGGAGGCATAGTGATCCTGGACGACGGTGGAGGTGGACTTCGTACCACAGGGCGCATGCAAGGTGTGGGGTTGGTGTGCATTCGGCGCTGTGGATAATCTACCTTCAGCAACATGATGAGCCTGGCTCAGTCACACTCTCCCTATCCTGCGGGAATGCAACAGCACCCAGGTGTCCCCCAAGGCCATCCGATGGCTGGAGTACCCCATAACGCCGGCCCGCAGGTGCCAGGCCAACCCGGCATGCCTCAGCAAATGCATATAGGAGTGTCTGGTCCAGGACCTCAAGTCAGCCAGGCAGGAGCTTTGATGGCTGGGATGCCTCCAGGAGCGGGTGGACCAAGTGCGCATGCGCTACAACATCTAAACCCGGGGCAGGCCCAGCAAGCGCAAATGTATCAACAGCAGATGGGACAGATGGCTTGTGAGTGGCCCCATATATGTAGCATATATCTCTGGATCCGCTCCAGGTCCTTTGCTGTACTTTGAATTCCGCGATCTGAAGGCTGACAAGACAATCTGATGCTAGTCGCGAATCCTCAACTTCAGCAACTGCAACAGCAGCAAATGTTGCAGCATCAGCAGAGACAGCAAGCGGCGGCAGCACGTCATGCTATCATGGCTCAGCAATTTGGGGGCATTCAGATGGGTGTGCCAAACGGGATGGGTCAGATGAGTCCGTCGCAGTATACGGCAATGCGAGCAGGAGCTCCCATGCGGCCTGTCAATCTACCCCAGCATCTTCAACAGGCCCAGCAACAAGCCCAGCAGAGCCTGGAGCAGCAACAACAGCAGGCTCAACAACAGCATCAAGTAAGTAGTTATTCCTTCAGCATGATCTTTCCCCTCCAAAATTTCCGCTTTTATTACTGTGAGCTGAACTAACGTACCCTGCAATAGCAACATCTTATACAACAAATGGCGATGCAACAGCACGCTCAAGCTCAAGCTCAAGCTCAGGCTGGAAATAATAACCAAGGACAACCGGGTCAGATGGGCCCGCAACAACTCCAGAATCTTCAACAAGCTCAAATCGCAGCTGCGCAGCAACATCATCAGGCGCAAGCCGCTCAAGCTGCTCAGGCCGCTGCCGCGCAACAAAATCAACCACAGTCGCAGCATCAACCTCAACCGCAGCAATCGCAACCAAATTCCCAAGCCCAGACACAACAGCCTCAGCCACAAGCGCAACAACACCCGTCCAACATGCAACAGCAACAAGCTGCTGCAACAGCGGCCATGCTACAAAACCAGCAAAGAGTAGGAGATAAATTCAAGGGGCAATGTCTGATGAAGTTGATGCAGTTCGGTGACCATCTAAGTAATTTTGGAGTAATCTCGAAGCCATTGGAGGCATACATGGCCACAGGAGCTCAGCGACTGGCTGCACAAGGGATAAAGCAGCGAGATGATCTAAACTACTGGCTAGGATTTGTGGATCGATTCTTCTCTCCAAAGGGTGTTTTGCGACACTCTGTCTGGCTTGCCGAGGAAAATACAGGCAAGCAGTATGAAATCACATTTCCGGCGTTGGCTAGGTACTTCCATACTCACTTCGAGAGCGGCATCAAAAATATGCAGATGATCATGGAAAAAGGATCTGAGAAGGAGCTGCCGAACAATGGTCACTACATTGAGAACCAGAAGTCGAGTTTCGTTTATTGGTTTGATAACGGGTCACAGGTAAGTTTCCTAGACACCATACTTACTTTGTTTGATACGCACCTACTAACAACACAAGTTAATCGCAAACGGCACATTGCGAGCTCATTTCGATGAGCATCAGAAGATTGAACTGCTAGAATTTGTTACCAGCAATCATGAAGAGTATATACCACGCAGCATGGTGATTGAAGCAGCAAGGCCCTTGCATGACTGGGGAAAGGAGTGGAAAAACCTCAACGCACTACAGGATGGGAAGCAATCACCGGAGATGAATAAGAAAAAGGCCAAAGCCGTCAAGTCGCCGGCGCAACCACCACCTGAAATCGCGATCCCTCAATCCAAAGTCAAACCAAGCATGGGGATTACTCCTTCGCTATTTCAATTTCTAGAGGTATGCAACCCTTATAAACACGCAAAATATTCTTTCTGACACTTTCTAGCTTGCTGAAGTTATGGGGCAAATGAACCCACTCTTCCAGTACTCTCACCTAAATGCCTCTCTTGCACCTTATGCTGCTCTCGATCAGTATGTCGCCACTGTGGCTTCAAACGGTGGCAACCCAAATGGACAACAGCAAAACCTTAATGGGCCACGCACACCTGGCATGTCCAATTTCCCAATTGGAGCTTCCCCAGCAGCAGCGCACCTGAATCTTCCAGATGCTTCACCGCATATGGGAGGAAGTCCGGCCCAGGCACCAGGCATGCAACTACAACAAAGCCAGCATGGCACGAGTTCCAGTGGTCCGAGTGCCAACACAAGTCCTAATGCGAGTAACAAACGAAGGAGGCCGAGTACAGTGAAGGCGGAAGAGGAGAACCAGGCGAATGGTAATCAGCCGAAACCGAATGTGAAGCCTAGTCCAAGGATAGGGGGCAAGAGGCAGAAGGGGAATCCTGCTTGAGGAAAAGTATAGTAAACCGGTTTAATGTCGAAAAAGCGGATGAAGTCGTGCCCGCGCCATTTACCGGCTCAGAAGAGTTTATGGAGCCCACGATTGAGTGGATCTTGTTCGTTGCCGATGATATCGCCGTGCTCCTCGGACTGCTTACTCCCGAGGCTATCATTATCGCATCCCAGACCTGAAAGCTCCCTGGAAGGGACCAGTCTATATCAGCATCGGCGTTTGTCGCAAATGGGATGCAACAATTATGTTTATTGTCTCGTCACTCATGCTCGTTTTGGCGGACAGCGGGAGGGTGTTGGAAGGAATTAATCTTGTACCATATTTTGTGCTCATGTTTTGCATTACTGTTATACCCTGCTTTGGGGAAGGCGATAAAGGTTGGCGGTTTCGGGAGGGACAGGAGGACATCTAAATAAAAAGTTGTTTAAACTCAAACTGAGTATAAGCATTCATGGGATTGTGTCTATTTTGCGATGCCCACAGATCCCCGTTTGCAGATCTCTTGCAGATCTCACCCGTCCAGGGCCGTCCTCCTCATATCAACACGTGATGAATCTGACCATACCTACGTAAAAAGACCACCTCAAACAGAACTCCAAACATATGTCAGAATCCTTTCTTTCAATTCTATCTCTCTCTTTCATCACATTCTCTCTTCCTGTCTCTCTTGTCTCTTGATCGTAGCTCTGGCACAAACCGCGGCGATGCGCCGGCCCATCCTCATCACAGGCTCCACCGGCAAACAAGGGCGGGCGCTGATCCGGGCGCTGCTGCACGGTCTGCCCCCCATCATGCCCAGCGCCGAAGATGAATATCGCATCTACGCGCTGACGCGCTCGAGCTCGAGCGCGGCTGCGAAAGCATTACGGGAGTCGGAGAATGAAGAGCGGCTGCAGATCGTAGAGGGCGATCTGGACGATCGGGAGAGCATCGTGCGGATCTTTGAGAGGGTGAGCGGGGAGGAGGGCGGCTTCTGGGGAGTCTACTGCGTGCTTGAGTTTCCGGGCCTGGGCGCGGATGCTACGGGGGAGGAGAGAAGGGGGAAGGTTGGTTTCTGTTTTTCTTTCTTTCTTTCTTCTTTCTTGTCTTCTCCCTCTACTTCAGTTCTGGGAATGGGGTATTTCGGGTTCAATCTTTTATGTAAAGTTGGAGTGCTAACGGGCAAATATCTAGTTGCTTGCAGATCTAGCGCTCAAGTATAAAGTCCAAGCATACATATACTCGAGCGCCATGAGATCAGGTCCTGAACATGAGGATACACTTATTCTTTCTGGACGTGCGAAAGCAAATGTGGAGAATTACTGCATGGTTTTGGGTGAGAAGGGGTTGCCTTGGACGTATGTATGATTTCTTCTTTTGACCCCTTTCCTTTGGGCTTTAGCAGTAGGAACGAACAGAAAGAAAGAGGGAAATGGAAGAAAATGCCTGAAAGATCTCCAAAGGAAGCTTGATAGCAAGGGACGTAAAAGTGTTAATTTGCCTTGGATGATGTAGGATTTTAAGACCCGGATTTTTCATGGAGAACTTCGATGATTTCCTAGGGAGCATCGCAGTCGGTGTTTTGAAAAGCGGCTTGAAGAAGGAGACTACAATCGGGATAGTGGTGAGTTGAACTCCTAATCCTTCTATCCAACCTCCTAACATATAAAACACGGGCTTCTGAAGATATCGGGTACGTCGCAGCAGGAGTCTTTAGGGTGTGTACCTTCCCCCCCCCCCCCCCCCCCCCCAAAAAAAAGAAAAAAGACATCTCTTTGATACCCATTCTACAGCATCATGAGATGTACCGCCAGAAGATCCTGACCCTGGTCTCTGAATTTGCAACCATGACACAGCTAGAAGACTCCTACCAGCGGGCTCTAGGGAAACCCCTCCCCTCCGTCCCGGCTGCTGTCGCATGGCCCATTATGAAGATGAACAAGATGATCAGATGGCTGTACGTATCCTCAAAATCCCTTCCTTTTCTCGCCGAGTCGCCTGGCCGCTAATGAGAAACGGGGACAGGATCAATGATCTGGAAAAGAGCCACCGTGCAAGAGTCGAGGGTGAATACCCACAGCTTGAGAATGAGGTGAGCCTGGCGAATGAAGTATTTGAGATAAGGATGATGAGGACCTATTACGACTGGCTGCGGACAAGGAAGAGACAAAGAAGAATGGAGAGACTCGGAGAGTCAAGGAGCAGAAAGGCCAAGTGGAATCAGTTGAGTTTGGGGAAGTTGCTTACGGGAAGAGCTTGAGGCCATCCATGGAATAGGAGTCTGGAGTCTTGGTTTGGAAGTGTAGCTGTTCCACAATCGAGACGTGAAGCAGATCAATAGAGACAAGGCTAACATGCCAACAAATCAACTCACTCATCTTTGATGGTCTAACGGTCATGATTTCCGCTTGTCATCTAACTGGCAAAGCGCGGGAGATCGGAGTTCGACTCCCCGTCAGAGAGTCTTTCTCTTGAGTTCACGACCCTAAGCATTGCTTAGATACCAACTCACTTTTTGTCTTTTATTTTTCTATTTTTTGCTTTACCTTTTAATTGGGTTAGCGAACCTTGACGTTAATGACTGACCTAAGCGCCTGAGAGGAGCACAAGCCCTGATCTCTGCCACTTTTTTTTGGTTACGACGATTTAATTACCTCGACGGGTTCGAATTTCGGTGTCTCTTTTTTTGACAATAGCGTCATGGGCCTGCTGTTCGGGTGATCGCGCATGCGCACCGGGGTAGATCCTCGGCAGTAGACAAGTCGACGCTCTGCGACAGAAGCTTGTTTGGCTTTATTTCCCTATAAGCCAGGGGGAGGTCAGGTCGTCCAGAATATGTGGATCTGCTCTAGACAAGGGCATTGTAATGTTTACATCGAATCCAGATCAAGACCTCTGATAGCAGGATGTTTACATGTGGCCAGCATATCAATCTTAGTGATGCAGACTGCAGAATTCATTATTTGAACAGTAGTCCAATATATTGTCTCCTTTATAACGACCCAGAGCCAGGAGACGCGATCTCAATTTTTGTTTTGGCGCCAGTCACTATTCGAAGAACGAGCTAGGAAGTCTTTCTGGTCTGATCACGAATTATCCCTCCGACCCTCTGTCCCTCTATTACTCTCAAGCGTCATTAGAGGGTATCGATAGAGTTGAATGTTTCTACAACGATGATGATGAGGAGGACGGATCTGTTCAACCTTGTATCGGCGTTTTAGTTAAGTATTCAAAACAAACGTCGAGCTGCTCTAGGTCAGTGCCGTCCGTATTGGGGCCGTTAAAACCGTCCAGGTTATTGCTCCAGCTATGCTGTCTGTACCTTAAGCCAGTAACCAATATAGGCTGGCATTCCGGAGTCTGTTTTACATCAGAGAGGTTAGAGGAACTAAGGTAGAGAGAGTCTTGGCTGGGAAGGCAGGTAGATGGAAGGAAGGAAGTTGGAACCATGACGTGGTGGTTTAAGTAAGGTATGGTTCGATGGCAATCATTCATTCTGTAAGAAAGCAAGAAATACTGGCCGTTACGTTAGACAAATCTAAATCAGCAAGAGAGTGACCAAGAACTGCCGTGAACGTCAAATCAACTCGCAAATTCCCTATTCCTAAATCCTTATTTCTCCTTCCCCTTTCCTCCCTCCTTTGTTTGCCCTTCGGGGACCTTCGTCTAGCACCTGAACTCTTCCCCTGTCAGGTGTCCAAGTCCAGAAATGCTTCCTAGTATTCCTTCCTGTGTAGAGATAGCATGGATAGGATATTGTCGAACGGAGCTAGTTATACAGTGATTGATATACAGTGATTGATATACAGTGATTGATATACAGTGATTGATATACAGTGATTGATATACAGTGATTGATATACAGTGATTGATATACAGTGATTGATATTCCCGCGTTCAATAGTCTCTGTTGGTTCTGTTGGCCCCTGTTGTCAATATTCAAGGGATATCGCGCCTGTCCCCGTTATTAGCACTCCTTTTGAGTCTATATAGAGTAGCTAGTTACCCTTCTTTTCACTTCAATCAAGTCATTATCCTCTGTCCGATCCCTCCCGGTTGACAGATATACACTCGGAAGTAGTGGCTGAACTATCGCTGGCTCTTCAATCCAATCGGACCATGGAGAATTGTCATCCCTCACTAGCTGGACCTCCACAAGGATTGCCGGATACATGCCCATTCCCCCATTCGCAAAACGAATGCCAATATTTCCAAGCCAGCCCGAATAACCTTGGAAGTTCCCAAGATACGGTAGATCTGTATGAAAAAGCGACAAGATATCGGACCCAGTGTCATTCATCGCGATGATCCCATGGACCGTTCCATCCCCCCCTTGACCAGGTTTTGGCCTAAGCAACACACGAAGCTAGAAAAGAAATTATTATGATGAAATTTTAGAAAAGCTGGATTCTAAACTTCGTGACAGTGAGGTTCAAAAGGCCCACGACTTCAAGAAAACCTTTGGGCATACTGATAAAACACTCCCTATAGTTTTGATTTGTTAGATAAGTTTCGTATAGAAGTAAGGAATATGATATGAGAATGTACCTCCAGCCACGCCCAGGCCATTCCTTTGTTGGAGACTTGCTCTCGAGTAACAATTTTGCCATCCATAATAAAAACATGCTGTGAACCATCGATCTTCCCCTCTTCATAAAGCTTAATGGCAGCCCTAATGTTGGTATGTTGTTCCTTTCGTTCGTATTGGGGATCTTCTGGGTCGAGATATCTGTGAAGTTGTCTGATGCGCTCTTGGACATCAAAAACTGGAGGCAAAGGCATCGCAGGTGAGAATTCGATTTTGGGCGCCATTATCCAGGTGGCTTCTGATGGACTAGGCTCGTATTTATGTGCTATTGATAAGAGCAGTGGAGCTGTGTTGGTGATGGAAGGAGGAGCCGGGGGTGGACGCGGGGGGAGGCGCAAGGTGACCGATATTACAAGACGAAGCGAGTGGCGGGAGAACCTAGCCGTGATGATGATTATATGATGGGATCCGAGGTTCAAAATATCAATTACTCAGATTTCTTTGATGGTCTAACGGTCATGATTTCCGCTTGTCATCTAACTGGCAAAGCGCGGGAGATCGGGGTTCGACTCCCCGTCAGAGAGTTTCCTTTCTCTTGAGTTCACGACCCTAAGCATTGCTTAGATACCAACTCACTTTTGCAATTTATTTTTATTTTTATTTTTTTTATTTTTTTTTTCTTACTTCTCACTAACTTCGTTAAGCGGAGAGAAGCTTGCCATTGTGATTAAGCATCTCCCAACATCAAATAACACGTCTTTGATGGTCTAACGGTCATGATTTCCGCTTGTCATAACAGACAGAGCGCGGGAGATCGGGGTTCGACTCCCCGTCAGAGAGTTCTTCTCTTGAGTTCACGACCCTGGGCAGTTGTCCAGATACTCATCTTTTTGTTTCCCTTTTACCTTTTGCTTCACTTTTTTAGGGGGGTGCTTTTTATAAGGAAAGGTTTTGTGGAGAGAGCTTGTCATCAAGCGAGTTCTGATAGTCAACGCGGGGTTTAACTCCTTTTTACACCTTTGAAAATAGGACTTCGGCCCACTGACCAGTGACTACCACTAAGCACAGAAGTTGAAGAGCGACGAAGAGGTACATCCTATTATTACCTCCCAAGTTCCCATATCCAACGCCATTGCCCGAATCCAAGCAGACATCCATCCCACCAGCTCACCATCCGTTGAACCCGTCCTCAGCAACAGCTCTCTGAGCAGCCTTCCGCTCCTTCTGTGACATTTTTTCCTTGACTGTGAACTGCACATCCGGCGCCGCAATATCCTCAATGCCCGCCTCTTTGGGGCTCGACTGTCCTGGCTTGGGAGGTGGTTCCAAGGTTCGAAATTTCCCACAGATCTTCGGCCCGAGCCTGTTGCAGTGGATGTGCCAATGGATCTGAAACTGGCCCTTGGGGGTATTATCGTATTCGAGAGCGCACCAGCGACACATCTAGCTCAAAACGTATAATGAGTAAGTATATATGCAGCCTGACTATTGGAGATGCGATGCGAGGAGGAGGAGGAGGACTTACGGAATACTCGTCCCTTCGCTCTCGTTTGGAGAACATGCAAGGCTTGTAATGGCGGCTACAATAACCGCATTCCCTAGGTAGGGGCATTGTTAGTGTCTTCTTTGGGAAGAGTGGTGGGCGGATGAAGAGCGGGAGGATGACGTACTTGGAGAAGATATTGGTTTGGTTGGTGGAGGAATGGAGACCGAGGATAATCTCCTTGTTGCGGAGGACCCAGTGCAAGTTTCGGGGGCAGACCGATGCACCTTCGAGTTCCTCACCAGGAGACTGCGTCTCTTCTGTTAAAGTGTATTCGACAGAGCCCCATCCCGTCATCTGAGAAGGCATCTTGCCGCCCTTATTATACTGGCGAAGTGAGGGTATGTATAAATCAAAGTTTCTTGAAGGCTAAGACTGTTTAGACAATGAAGGTGCAGGGAGGACTTGGAGGTTTGGTCGACCGTCGGGTATATTGCTGTATGTACTATAGTTCCTTGTTGTATACCTATATATATACCCAGCTTCTCGGGCTCATGGTGTCATACCCGCTCACCTTGATCGGTAGCGAACCGTTGCTTCCCCTATTCAGTCCATATAGCTAAGCGAGAAGAGTTAATGGTCCAAATGCCAATCACTCACTTACCTTAGGCATCTTATACGGGTGTATCATTCTTTCTCTCAGGGCGAGCCGTGTAAGTTGTAACTCTAAACTTGCCTTGTTAAGGTAGGTGTCACGGATGCGGGATTGATTGCCAGGTGACATCAGTCTTATATTGAAGTTATTGAATGGTACTCACCTATCTATTGTATCCTTTTACTTTCTATACCAAAGCAACTACCCTATGCTTCAATGTACTTCTTCAGCTCCCTCAGTCGCTCCTTCGCTCTCTCCAACACCTCGTCCTCTTTGCAGACCGCAAACCGCAGCCAATCCTCGCCAATATGTGCGTTCGCATCCGTGTAGAATTCCGTGGGCGGGATAGCCGCAACACCAACCTCCTGGATGAGGAACCAGCTCAGCTTGAAATCCCTCGGTCGGTCTGCGACCTGAGGAGGGAAGGGGTAGTCCGCCGGCACTTTGACCTTCTTCATGTTGACCAGCACAAAGTATCCTCCTTCGGGATCTGAGAAGGGGAGATCCAACTCTTTCCAGATTTCGTTGAATCTGTCCATCTTGCCCTTCATTTCCACCTTTGCGTTTTCCCAGAAGTTGTTGGCGTCAGCTTCTTCGAAGCCCACAGCTGCCGCCTCTTGCAAGGGCGACACAGAGGAATAACAGATTCTGGTGTGGGCTGCCGCAGCGTATGTGATCAGGTCTGGGGGTCCGATCAACCATCCAACACGCCATCCAGTTGCATAGAAATTCTTGCCAGCGGAGCCGACGGTGAGAGTTAACCTCTCGATTTCAGGGGACAGTGTAGCAATTCTCGTAAATGGCGTGTAAAACAGACGGTCATATACTTCATCAGAGAGAATAATGATGTTGTTCTTGACGCAGAGATTGCCGATTCTGAGCAATTCCTCTCTTGAGAAAACTTTGCCAACCGGGTTGTGTGGTGTATTGATCACTATCATTTTAGTCCTAGGAGTAATTGCAGCTTCGAGCTCAGCGAAGTCAATGGTCCATTCGCTCGCCGAAGTGTTTTCGGTGGCTCCTTTTGGCGGGGGATGCAGTGGAACGTAGACAATCTTTCCTCCTGGCATCTCGATGTTACTTATGTATCTTGGAAAAATCAGTATTATGTTACAGCGTCAGGTTGGTTAGCTTACTGATCAAAGAAAGGCTCGAAGATGATAACCTCATCCCCCTCCTCGATGAAGCCCATAAAGGCACTTAGCATCCCTATCAATGGTCAGACTATGGCACATGCGAGAATCCATAGTATCTTACCCTCATTTGCTCCAGTTGTAATAGTAACCTCGGTCTCCGGATTGAGTTGCCGTCCCCATAACGGCGAGTACGCATCGGCAATTGCCTTCTTTAGGCGCGGGCGACCCTTTGTAGGAGAATATTGATTGCAGTCGACTCTATCAAGAGCGCTCTTTGCCGCCTTTAAAATGAATTCTGGTGGGTTGTATCCAAAGAAACCCTGGCCCATATTCACAATGGGCTGCTTGGGGGAAGCGGCAGCCGCTTCGTTGACAATCGACCTGTACATGCTTATCAGAAACAGCACTGAATTGTTCTCGGAGAAAAAAGAAAGCTGATTCGTGAGGAGATATAAAATGAGCTCTCCGAGTCAAATTAGGAGCTACCCCTCCACCAAGTACCGGCCACAACTCACTGCGCGTGGCGCGAAGATAAACAGGAGAGAAGAGGGAAGATATAGACATGGGCATGAATCTAAAAGCAACCGCCACATACCATACATCTTGCTTCCTCGCCGCGACTCTCGCAGCAGGCTTTACAGGCGCTCCCATTTTGCTGTGGACGAATCGGGGTCTGGAAACGGAGGGATATCGGACAGGGAGTTGAAGGCTGCTGGTACGTGCCAGTTGCAAGATTGACGCTCGAGATTTCATACGGGCATTCCACCACGGCACTGTTCTGCAGGACGGGGCGTATGGCGAAGAATTGCGAGGGGAGAAAGTGAGTAGAAGCTGACAAGAAGGTCAGCATTCACGAGATGTTCAAGATTCCGCTTACGGCTGCCCCTCTGATGGTGCAATTGCCGGGGTCCTTGTAAGGTGGGCAGCTCTCCGTAATAAGGTACGGTTACGGCATGTAAATCGGACTTATTACTAAGAGATTTACCTCTTTACCTCCTCAGGTAGCTTATTTACGACGTATTTACAGCTCATTACTACCGCAATAACTTATCTCCGCGTCTTGCGCTGCTTGAGCCTCATCTCACAACGGAGGAAGAGTACACATTGCCGTCTGGCCCATCGAGGATATTGACTTCCCAGGACAAGACATGCACAATCCGACCATGTGGCTATAGCTTGAGAGGTGAGCGGTTGACCTTGACTCTCCCGTCTCCATGGCTTCTTCGATCGCCCCAGATACCGCGCCCGCAGCCTCAACTCCCCTCTATGTGACCATTCGCTTTACGACCGCGATTCCTGACCTTCCTCTGGATATCCCAGAGCCGCATGGAACCACGGTCATCGCGCTGAAGCATCTACTCCGGTCGAAGCTTGATCCGCAGACCTCCAAACATCGATTCCGCTTTATACATGGCGGTAAATTGCTTCAAGACGAGGATCTCCTCACAGATGTCCTGAAGATACCGCATGCACCCCCTCGAGCTCCAGATCCTAAGGGGAAAGGCAAGGAGGTCGAAATCCCGCCTTCCCGCGTCTACATAAATTGCTCCATCGGGGATGTTCTTAGCTCTGCTGAGCTTTCTGCTGAAGCACTAGCAGCTGCCGAATCATCCAACAAGTCGAAGAAAGGGAGGGATACCAAGAGCCCATCCAAGAATGGAGCTGTATCGCAGTCGACAACGACGCCAGCCCCTCGCGGCTTTGACCGGCTCCTCTCTGGAGGCTTCACTCCTGCAGAGGTGAACCAACTCCGGCTGCAATTCCTTTCCATCCAGGCAAGTATACACACTCCAGATACTATGCCCTCGCCATCTACATTACGACGAATGGAGGATGCGTGGATCGACGACAATGCGGGACATGCGGGAACAACGAGTGGTGATGGCGCTTTCGACTTTGGAGACGATAGTCTGGGTGGTGGCGCGTTGGATGACCTGCTATGGGGAAATATCATGGGCTTCTTGTGGCCCCTTGGTTGCGTCGGGTGGATCATTAGGGAGGGTGGCGTATGGTCGCGAAGGAGGCAGATCGCTGTCATCACTGGCTTCATGCTCAGCATTTCATTTGGGATCCTGAGGGTTATATCGTGATACATGCATGCACCTGGGGCGTAGCGCACGACCGGAGTTGGTGAGTAACATACGTCTTGATATCTTCCATAGTAGCAGTGGACTTATGGATATCAAATACGCCAAAGCTTCCATCCCGTTCAATCACAAGCTTGCCGCTTTCAAGGTGGTCGCATGATTGAAGTCTAGATGGTAGCACTGGATAGGGAAAAGAGCACCGGAATAAAGGGATGATAATAACGACCTCAGGGCCCGGTAGTGATGGATATAGCATAGCAGTGGATGGCAGAAAACAAATGAAGAGGTCGGGAGCGAGAGAGAATCAGAACTTATGAAAATGTTCTTTCAAACTCTACGTCCAAACTTCCAACTGATAGATATCACTCGATCACCGCCAGTGGGTGGTTCTCGAGGCTTTCGTCCGGAACCACTGCCCCTCCAAAATATAAAAAATATAATAAACAAAATAAATTTTCAGCAAAAAAAAAAGAGGTGTTCTATAATCAAGGTGGTCCTTGACTCGCAGATGTTTGCGGCTTCTGTGGATCGAACACAGTGCCTCCAGATATAATGGTCTGAAGTTGACTTCAGTCTGGCGCTCTCCCAAGTGAGCTAAAGCCGCCTGGGTATTTGTTGTGTTAGTTTCTCTCCCGAGGGAATAAATACAGCACCACAAAACAAGACGGCCAGAAAATTCAAAAACAGAAAAAGAAAAAATGTAGAAAGCAAAATTAAAAAAAAACAGATTGCGTTCAATAATAATTAAGGGCTTTTCTTTTCTTTACTGAGCCGGTTTTGTCCCGTTGGAATAGATGGAGATATGGCTGTTGCCATCGTCAACTATTTATTCTCTTCTAGACTGGACTGACTGCATGCACTTCGGCTGAGATAAGTGATTGGGAGGTAGCTATCCGCGACCCCTACTTCATTGCTAGATATCAAGTTCACAGACCTCCTATGCTCCTGCTACGCGCCATACACCTTGCTAACAACCATTTCTTGACCTTCACTCCCAGCTTCACTCCCGATTGCTAACGCCGCGCTCGCTGAACCATAAATAGCTCCTCTATCCTCAGGATAACCATCTGCAAAACCATAATCAAAACTCTCAACAACAGATCCCGAATTCTCAGAACCGGTGTCTCATCTCGGCTGAACGGGCTATCCTTGAGCTCGAATGGCAGCTTCGCTCCGAGATGCTCCTGGGCGACTTGCAACCCGCTTGAGAAGCCATCTTCATGGAACCCGTACTTGGTCCACGCACCACAGTAGCTGATGCCCCTGGTGTTTTGGATCTGCGGCAGCAAGCTCTGCGAACGGATGGCGGCAGAGTTGTAGACAGGATGCGAGTATGTGTAGCTGCCCTGAACGGAGCCCGGATCTGGAGGGTGTAGCGGGTTGAGAGTCACGAGGACGGGCCCAAAGGCTTCCTCGGGGATCCGTTGGAGGACATTCATGTTGTAGGTTAAGCATCCTCGATCAACATTATAAGATGATGCCGAAGACGCGGTGATGGAGTTCCACGATGACCAAGCTTTCCGGGATTTGGGCATTAGGGAGATGTCGGAGTGGAGAAAGACAGTGTTTTTGCTGCTTTGGAATCCGGATAGAATGTCACGCTCTTCATAGCTGGCTTCGGGCAGAATGAGGTTGTGCGCTTGGTTGCCATGAGTAGCTATTATTACATGGTCGTAGAGATCTGTTCTTCCATTCTCCAGCTGGAGGCGGACACGGCCAGAGTCGCTGTTGATTATCGATTTAACAGGGGTATTAAGAAATAAGTGATTAGGAGGGAAGCCTCTCATCACGGCATCAATGTAGCTTTGAGCGCCATATTTGAGAGTGAGCCATTGAGGTCTAGTCGACGCCATTGACAGGAGATGGTGATTCCACCTAGGGATGGTCAGTATAGGTAGGACTCAAATCTAGTGACATGAATTCAAACTCACAAAAGGCGCACCAGAGTCACAGCTGGGAATTCTAGTAAGCATTTATCTGGACTGGTACTCCACAGAGCAGCAGTCAGAGGTATAAGATAGTCATCTCGGAATGCGTCTGAGTATCCTTCTCGCTCGAGATACTGTCCAATGGTCTCCTGGCGCTTGGCATACACACCGCTTCCATTTGTGCAGTTTGTGTATTCTTCACTCTCTTGCTTAAGCCTCAGTAGATCCAATGCAAACTGATTGAATCGGATTACGTCGAATATCATCCTCCACATCCGTGGGGAGAGGAGGTTTCTACGCTGCGTGAAAACCGCCGAGAGGGATGACCCCGCCCATTCGAACAATCCATGATCTCGAGAGACACCGAAGGTCATCTCAGTTGGTAGCGTCGGTACATTTACAGCTTTTAAGAAAGCAAGGAAGTTTGCTGCATAGCATTAGCTCAGCTGAATATGGAGAGGGAGTGCAAGGTAGGTCTACGGTAGGTAGCGGTGTTCAGGACCATGAAGCCTGTGTCCACCAGACTTTTGTACTTATCATGCTTGAATTCCACGGTATTCGTGTGGCCACCGAGTCGATCAGCGGCTTCGTACAGGTAGACATCGTGGTGGGTTCGATTCAGGGCCCATAGTGCACCTATTCCCGCCGCACCACCACCGATAATGGCAACCTTCTTTCTAGGCACAACGGGTGTTAGGGGAGCCATGATGGCAAAAGGAACAAAGAGATATAGAGAGGGGGAGAAGCATAATCACAGATTATCATCGGGGTCCTCCACAACCCAGCGACTGGACAATGCGGGGGACTGTAGATCTGACATTGCTGATCGATGCAGCTATCCAGACAGTACCTCGGGTATCGGGTCGAGACTCCATGTATGAAGGGCTGAAGCGTGGCTTGCAGATAATAATATGATGCTTGAATTTGATCCTCTTTTATAAATTTATAAATACATGAAAGATCAAGATTAAAACCAAGGTCCAAGGCCCTTTCAATTCTGGTGCGCTGAGTGTCTTGTATATACGAAGTTGGTCGGGAGGTCCCGTCGAAGCTTAAGGTAAACAGCTCCATGATATAATTGTAATATAATAATTGGACGAAGGTATTCCGTACCTACTTTAATATACCTTAGGTACCTTACCTTACGTTATTACCTTAATCGTGGCTGAGGTCAAATCCTTCTTCAAGTAACCTGGGTACGACGACTTATTACAGTGCCTTGTCATAATACCTGCGTAAATACTGTACCTCTTGCTCAACCTCAGCTATTCGCACCAAACAAAGTACATCCAACAGATCTCACCACGGCATCAATCACCTCAATAAGAGACGGTCGCAAAAGGATCAGGAAATCGTCTTGTCGGCTGTCAAGACGATTGGCAGACCCTTGTTGCAAGCAAGGCAGCAGATAGCGACCGCACCACCGCCGTCATCCATCTCAGACATCTATCTATCTCCATCCGCCAAACCAACCCCCCCACGAACGAACCCTCCAAAAACCACCGACAATGGCGAATCCCCTTGATACCGACGCTGGCTCCGAGCTCTTCAGCAGCTACGAAGCGGAGCTCAAGCTCGTGCAAGCCGATCTCAACCAGAAGCTGGACCAGATTCCAGATCTTTCCGGCGAGCCCCGCAAAGCAGCCATCACGCAGGCAGAGCGGGCGTTGGAAGAAGCAAATGAGCTGGTGAGTCGTCCGCCGTGGCAATGATCCCGTCAATATGATACTAACAAGTCCCCCCCCGTGCAGCTCGATCAGATGCGCCTTGAGAAGCAGAACATCCCTTCGGCGACCCGCACCAAGGTAAACCAGCGATTCCGCAACCACGAATCCGACGTCGATGCATCGAAACGGAAGTTGCGCACGCTCTCTGATGACCGCTCGGCGCTGTTCGGCTCGCGATATTCCGACAACCCAAATGATGTCCAGCTGGAGCAGCGACAACAACTCCTGTCTGGGACTGACAGGCTGGAACGCAGTTCCCAGAGGCTGAAGGCCAGTCAGGCACTGGCGAATGATACAGAGGCAATCGGGGCGAGCACCCTTGCTGATTTACATAGGCAGAGGGAGGTGATTCAGCATACGAACGATACGCTGCTGGAGAGCGAGGGATACGTCGATAGGAGTGTGAAGACATTGAGAGGGATGGCGCGTAGGTAAATCGTCCCTCAAACCATGTTTGCAATATGCCCCTTACAGAATCTCTTGGGAAGAAACTCATGTCTGACGCGCCTCTCTCTTGGAACAGGATGGCTACAAATCGGATTATAACAGTTTCAATCATCACCGTCTTGGTCCTTCTCATCATCGCGGTTATCGTCAGCAAGTTTCGATGAGCTGGATCTCGTCCGGCTTTTGGCGTTGGGGCGTGCCTTGCTGATATACACCTTCTGTCTGTCTGTCTGTATTCCAAGTCTAATACAAGAGAATTTCACAGCATTCAAGAAGTGAAGTGACGAGAGGAGGAGGTTGGGATGTGACGTTTTGCTAAAGGCTCTTCTTTCAAGAACAGCGATGCCTGTCTGTCTGAATTAATACCATACCTAATACAACATGAGACGATAAATTTCAACTTCGCTTTCTCACGGGTGCAATGCTTTGGTCAAGCGTCATAAGTCAAAAGGGAAAGTCTCGATTATTCGAAAAGTACTTCAATATAAAGAGATTGCTGTTCTCCCGACAAACCTCTATTCATTTACCCCCCCCCCACCCTTCTCTCCTCTCCTCTCTCTCTCCCCTTCTAGACCAAGCAACTGCATTCATTGATCATTCTAACTGCATTCATCATTATTGTATTGTATCGTCGCATTGTCAGTAATGAAGGGAGGGGATGTGCTTCACACTGAACCATTTGCTTGATATAAAATAGGTAGTCGGGTCTTCTGCATAAGGTTCTGTGAAGATTGGGATATAGTCACTTAACATCATAGGTATTATCGTAGTAGGGCAGCTTGATATGATATACCTAGCCAAAAAAGAAAATACCCCATGCTCATCATATTCATAACTATCTTTTTAAAAGTAAAGTAAAGTAAAGATTCTGGTAACTTTAAGCAAAAGAGCACACACAGAACACCGTCTACCGAAAACCGTCATTTAGATCGCCATAAAGAAGCTCTTCTCGCCCTCCTGCGGTTTTACAAGCACCCTCTTCAAGATAGGATCTGCGCAAGAAGTCCGGATTCTCTCGGGCGTGGCGGGACTCTCCAGACATAGGAGTCCATCGCCTTTCGTGTCCTTCCCTAATTCGGGTTGGACACCATACTGTTTCCGTGCCGCCTTCAATGCATCGCGGATCGCAAAGAATACCACACTACCCATGAAAAGTGGTGGTTCACCAACACCTCTACTTCGCTGGATGGTTTGCAGGTTCTCCCACTGGACTCCTTTCAGCATGGAAACATTGAATTCCTGTGGGATATCTCGGAATCCAGGGATTTTGTAGGCACCAGGCCCGCGAGTGGCGAGCTGACCTTTCATCGGTCCGCCACGGAACCACAAGCTTTCTTCGGTCGTGAAGAGGCCCACCCCTTGCACGAAGGCGCCCTCAATTTGGCCGTAGTCAATAGACGGGTTGATGGAGCGCCCGATATCCATCTTCACGTCAGCTCGCAAGCAAGTCCAGTCACCAGTTAATGTATCAATCTCGACTTCTGCGGCGGAGACACCCTGAGTGAAGTAGAAGAACATTTGTCCTGTGTTTGCACCCCACTCGTAGCCAATATCAGGCGTCTTATAGAATCCATTCGCTGACAGGTTGACTCGATCAAAGTATGCAGCATGGGCAAGTTCTTTCATCGTCGCATCTTTGCCAAGCTTCTCCCTGTAAGGCGCCAATCGCTCATTGATCTGGGCACAGGCGTTGAATATCGCGTAGCCGTTGAGATCTGAAGAAGCAGATGCTGCCGTTGACGAGGTATTTGCGACAGTGTTGGTTGCCGTCTCTGAAATAAAGACATCGGAAAGTGGGACTCCGAGAGCTTCGGCAGCTATCATCGTCATCTTCGTGTGTAGACCTTGTCCCATCTCCGTACCACCGTGAGCAACCAGGACCGAGCCGTCATGGTAGACGTGAACAAGAGCACCTGCTTGATTGAGGAAAAGAGCAGTGAAAGAGATACCGAACTTGGTGGGTATGAGAGCTAGACCACGCTTCTTCCACTTATGAGTTGCGTTGAACTTCGTTACCGCCTCTCGTCGTTCTGCGTACGAGAATTCGTCTTGGACTTGCTTGTACATGATTGGTACATGCCAGTCTTTCAGGCTTTGATTGAAATGGGTTTCTTCGTTCGATTTGTAGAAATTGATCTCTCGCAATCTCTCGACCGGCATCCCAAGCCGATCTGCTATCTCCTCCATGTAGGACTCGCAGATCCAAATGCCCTGTGGACCACCGTAACCACGGAACGCAGTGTTTGATGCGGTGTTCGTCTTACAAAGACGTCCTCGAACGTTAACATTGGGGATAAGATAGCAGCCATCTATGTGTGATAGTGCTCTGTCGCAGACACCACTACTGATATCTTGTGACCATCCAGCATTGCAGTAGACGTCTGCATCAAGGGCTTGGAGTTTCCCATCCTTATTTACTCCAACCTTCCAATATGCGAGGAAGGGATGTCTCGCACCAGATGTGATCATATCTTCGTCCCGGTTCAGCATGCAGCGGACTGGGCGACCCATTTTCTTTGCGGCAAGAGCAGTGATACCGCTCAATTGAACAGAACGGGTTTCCTTGCCTCCAAACCCACCACCAATGCGCTTGACCCTAGAGACGACCTTGTTGGCAGCGACGTTGCATACTTGAGCAACATACATTTGGCTGCTCACAATTAGTTACGTGGATCTACGTGAAAGAGAGAAAGGGTCAAATAAGACTACTTACGTCTCTGTCGGATTTTGAGTACTGGCGAAAACCTCCATCTCTCCGTCTTCTGGCTTCGGTACCGCAACGCAAGCTTGGGTCTCGAGATAGAAGTGCTCTTGGCCCCCCATTCTGCTAACACCGGTGAAAACATACTCAGCTTTCTTGAATGCCTCGTCTGTGTCGCCTTTTTTGATATATCGGTTATGATCGTAGAAACTCTTTTGTTCAATCGCTTCCTCCATCGTAAATACCGCAGGTAGCTCTTCGTACTCGATCTTGACAGCCCTCGCTCCAGCGGCAGCGTGAGCTGCACTGTCCGCCAAGATCATGCCAATTGGTTGGCCAGCTGTGTAGACTTCGTCGACTGCAAGGAACAACTCATCAGCGACAGGAGCCCCCCAGTAATTGGCTTGCGGACTAGGCATGTCATTATGGTCCACAAAATCGACCACTCCAGGAAGTTCCATGGCTGGAGAGAAATCGACAGAAATGAGCTTTGCACGGGCTTTGGTTGAAAGCACCAAACAACCGTACAACTCATTCTTCTGAACTGGAATATCATCGGTGTACTGAGCTTCTCCACAGGACTGTTTGAGAGCAGCAACATGAGGATTTGCCTTGCCGAGGATGTTTTGTTGGTAAGCAACTGTTGCGTCTCTATCTTCCTTGCCGGTTGAGATCATTCTCTCAATCTCCGGGATAACTTCCTTGTCAACTTCAGTCTCTTTAACCTCAAGCTTCGAAAGAACGTCGTGATAGAAGCGATAAAAAAATCCAAGCGCCAATGACTTTCTATATGTGGCCATGCCACCTGGCACACTAAATTTGAGATCGAAATCGTGTTCGAGCGCATTCATGGTGCCTTCAAGGGTTGAAGGGTCAGTCAACTTCTTCCCTACGAGATAGGCATTGGCTTTCTTGGCAGCAATCGTAGTGGGAGCCATTCCTCCGTAAACAAGATCTGCGCTCTCAACCACGTGAGAGTCGTTCAGAGAAATTCGAAGTGCGGCGTTGACAATAGCGATGTCGTCGTCTTTGCGTTTCGATTGCTTGTACGCCTGGAAATATTCCCCCTTCGCACTAGTTACTGGGATTCGGATGCTGGCTATGACAGCATCTTGAGGAAGAGCGGTCACCCGATAACCCTTGAAGAATTGCGACATAGGAATTTCAGTCTCCTTGTCTAGTGACTTGGCCACCAGTATCGCGTTTGATGCCACGAAGACGGGGTTGAGATCGGATATAGGAGATGCAGTTGCAAGATTTCCGGCTGGGGTGCCAACGTTTCGGATTTGACGGCCAGCAAAGTATCTGAGCTGCTTGTGAATAGCAGCAAAAACTTGGCCTCTCTCAGGGCCATAATGCTCGACGGCTTTGAGGGCAATCGACTCCAGATCGGTAAGAACGACATTTCCGCCAATTTCCAAATGATCGTCTTTGAAGGAGAATTGACGTAGTTCCGGGATATCCCCTACAAAAACCGATACGGGATATTGCATGGCCTTGAACTTGATTTCAATTTGAGTTTCTGAGCTTCCTCCGATAATCTTAGCTGAAGGATAGACGCTTTTGATCTCTAGAAGCTGTTCCAGGGTGACGGGGCGATACCACCTCTTTCTCTTATTCCCAAATGCTAAAGGCTTGAACTGATGTTTGACAAGTGCAGGAGGGAATATAAGCTCAGTGTCGGGATTATATTCGATGAATCCAGGGGGAGTAAATCGTTTAACTGGCTGATCGTCCTTGAAGCCATTGCCTTTGCAACATCCTCCAGAAGCATTGCCTTTTCCATTCTCCATGCAGCATCCACCACCACCGTTTGCTTTCGCTTTGCCACATGACATCTCCACACTGAAGGTCTGAGCAGCGTCAAGGATCGGACGGTAGCCTGTACATCTGCAGAGGTTGCCGTCAAAGGCTTCTTCAACGTCATGCTGGGAAGGGTTCGAATTATTTCGAAGCAAGGCATATAAACTCATCACTATGCCTGGTGTGCAGAAACCGCACTGACTCCCATTTCCCTTCGCAATCCTCTCCTGCGCAGGGTGGGGCCTCTTCACATTTCCAATCCCCTCAATGGTGATGACATGTTTTCCGTCGACGCTGACCAGCGGTGCCAGACAAGCATTAACGCTAGCATGATATATCTTCTTCGTTGTAGGATTGAATTGCGACACAACTACTGTGCAAGCGCCGCAACCACCCTCAGCACATCCCAGTTTCGTGCCTGTGAGGCCAATTCCGCGAAGATACTCGAGGAGGGTGACTTCGGGATCGACATCGTCAATTACGACGCGTGTGCCATTGAGGTAGAAGCGGAGGGTATCGTCGTAGGCGGTGGTGATTGAAGAGAGGGAAGGAGTGGCGGAGTTCGAGACATCACGTTCAGGGGAGATGGCAATGGGAGCCATGATGGGCCACGACCGAGGAGGCTCTTCTCTCCAGGGATGCCTCGGTGAATTTCTTCGATGTGCTCCAAAGCTATTCGCCCCACTCTCTGGCAGAAGCTAAATCTCGATCAAGACCCCGGTCGTCGTCAAGAACTCTTGAATGACAAGGCTGCTCAGTCACTGAGGTCTTGGAAGCACAAGGCAGTAATTGAATTGACTTGAACTGAATTGAATTGCAATTTGATAGAAAGAAAGGAAAAGAGACAATTGGACGCAGCAGATGAGGGGGGAGTGAAAGTCGCTATCAGGCGGTATCCGAAGAGCTGTCTGTGTACGGTATGATAAAAGGCACGGCGTTGGCTTATCTCGGCCTGCGTCCGCCGTCTGTCGATGGGGCTCTGTGCCTCTTGGCCTGTCAAGACGCGGCTAACGGCGGGGTCAATCTGGGCTTCTGGACTCCCCCACAAGATCTCGATCGGGCGACTCTTCTCCAAGGTCAGATTCGGATGCAGTGCAGAACGCGGACAGCAAAAACAAAAAGAAGAAGTATTTTGAAGTGGTAAGGGAGAAGACATGAAAAGATATATGAACGTAGGTATTTATTTATACATCTGAACCATTCCTTATTTGCTTCTTCCTCGTCCTCCCCCACTTCTCTTGGTGGCTGTCGGGGAGCTCCGCCGGGACGCCTCAGGCATCCACAGGCAGGAAAGATAGACTCGGCGACCAATGAGGCTCTTGGGCTTACTAAGCACGGCGACCGACGTGAAAGCGCCAACGATCATGTGATAGGTCTCTAACAATGGAAGCATCGAGGCATCTCGGGGTTCCTAGAGGCATATTACTCGAAACAAAAGAAGAGAAATGGTCTGATCATGTATATGGATCGGAATGGCCCTTCTGTGTTGGAACCAATGATAACAATGTTCTCCAACTTCGAAGAACCGAAAATCATTCCAGTGGTTGACGCTGGCCACACTGCCGTTTAAACTCCTCTGCCGCCTCAGCGAGCAGTGCTTCATTTTTATGCTGTTGGTATATATTTACCTACGTCCAGACCCTTTTCCCCGAGATGATTTCATGACTCTCCCACCTCCGCCACGTCCTCCACCATCGTGTCTCTTCCCCTCACCTAACCCTCTTCGCCCATTGGCTATTCCTCCTCTCCCACCCCTTTGCCCACCTCTGCCTCTCCCTGCCCTTTGCCCGTCTCTCGAAGTTCCACCAATGTGTTTCTTGACGGCCTTGATATCCTCCTCATCAACATCCATTTCATCATCCTCATCCTTACTTCTCTTATTTGAGAACTTCAATCTTCCACCTCTGCCCCTCTGGACCGCATCCCGGCCCTTAAGCGCGTTCACATATGCACCCACACCACCCTCGTCATCGTCGCCGTTGCCCTCGGCCGGGGTATCAATAACCATCGCATCATCATCACTATCGCCATTAAGCAATAATTTCCCATCCAGATCGACCTTTGCTTTCGTCTTGGCGGGAGTGCGCTGTTTCACCGGTCTCGTCGACGAGATGTTTGCCAGTGCCCTTCTGTCTAGAAGATCCAACGGCTCGTCTTCATCTTCCACAATGTATGTTTGCCCTCCCTTCTTCGAGCCCTTCCGGCTCTTGCCCAACATCTCATTATCCGAAACATCAGAGCCATCAGAAGAATCGTCACTACCATAGACAGCTTCGTCATATTCGCTCTCGAATCTACCTTTCTTCTTGCCGCCTCGTGCTTCCCCGCCTTCCTCATCACTGCCTTCAGGGCCTGCTGCTTTCGCCGCATCCTTATGACGCTTATTCCGCTCCTTAGTCTTGCGGATATTGGCAATGAGCTTCCGGTCTTCCTCCGGGCAGTTTTTGTTCACAATGTCAACTCCGAATCTTCTAATCATACGTTCCAGAATGTGCTTGACCTTCGCCTTAAAGTGAGCTTTGTGCTCGTGACTCCACACCAGTAAGTTTGGTATCAATGTCGTGAGCCGAGGAAGCATAAGGTCAGTGGGCAGACTGATAACGCAAACTTTGACGAAACCGAGGACGCTACGAACGATTTCGCGGTTATTGGACGTGAGGAAGAGATCCATAGTTTGGACAAGGTCGGTGAGGGTTTCCGGCCTAAGCGATTCTCGGAAGTGGTAGAGGATTCTGGTTAGGGCAGTGATTGAGGCAGAGACCATGTGAGGTGTGCTGCCGGCTAGACCGGCGCTGACCATAGTAAAGTATTCTTCAAGATTCGCTGTTACGGCCGGAGCGTCGTCAGGCATGTGAGGAACCTTGCTGTTCTCGATCATGGACCCCGAGGCAGACACAAGCTTCTCGCCCATGAGGACAAGCAGGTCAAAGGCTGCAGTTCGTGCTCGCTCATTGACTTCTTTGCACGAAATAACGACTTCTGATAGGATTGCCGGAATAAAATGGAGAGAATCGTTGGGGAGAAATGGGATGAGTGTTGATATTGCAGCAAGTCGATCTCTCTTGGCTGGTGTAGAAACCTTCTCTGCGCTGCTAAGGAGTAGTTGTTGAAGCTCAGAACTGCGCTGTTGCAAAGCCATTTTGCCTTGTTCAGACTCAGCAAGGCGAGGAATAAGTTTGTATGACTTCTTCTGGAGCTGAGGATCGTCATCTTTGATTATTATAATTGACGCAATGTTGAATAAGATGCTGAAACTCTCTCGTGGCAGGTAGATTGATATAGTAATAACCAAATCCATGAGCGTGTGGCTCATAGGAGGCATCTTGTCAGCTGCGTTTTGTTGCTTTTGCTTCTGTTTTTCGGCCTGGGTTTGTGCTCCTGTTTCTGTCAACGAAGACTCCAACATTTTGGTAACACGCTCGAAAGTCTCCATGAGCTCGGTAGCCGGTGCAATACTAAGATAGGCGTTGATACATTGTAGGATATAACCCCGATACTGAGGCAATGTCTGGCTGTAAACGTTGAACAGGACCGCAAGCATATTGGGGGCAAAGGCTGATAGGTGATCTAGGTTCTTTTGAGCAACTGCTTTGGAGACTCTGCTCTGAAGAACAAGATCATCTTCTGTCTCGATAGCTGCTATGGCTTTGTTGGAATCTACCAGAGTTTGGAGAGCTCTGCAAACATCAGGACGTAGATCAACCTGCTTGTACAGCAGATTTGCTACCATTTCCGCAAATCCCTGGTCAAATGCCTCCGGAAGATCCAGTGGCAAGTCGCAGTATCCTGGCAATAATGCCCATATCTGCTGGACAAGCGTCTCAAAAATCTTGATTTCCATAGTCTTTTCTGCGTCCCCGTGGTCGATGACTTTTTGAAACATAAGCTCGCTCAAAGGAACGAACTCGGTCTTGAAGTGTTGAAGGTTGGTGTTGCTAACATAATCACGCAGGATGGGCAACATCCAAGCCCGCCCAGGCTGCCCAGCTTTTGGTTTCGCGAGGTTCAGGGGTAAGATCCTCAGCACACTCTCTGGCCCCATCGCCCGAATGGCTTTCCCAATAATCTCGTCTGCTTCCTTCTTGCCGGTAAATGAGTCGTTTCCACGGAGCTCGCCGATAGTCCTGACGACATCGGCCAGTATCGGGTCAGCTCGCCATCGCAAGCCATCAAACATGGCACCCATGACATTGAACGTCTCCATCCACGCAGCCTGGTATTTAACGCTCAGAAGGTCCACAGCAGCTTTTGCCAGCTTCTCTAAGACCTTCTCATCGTATATTGATGGCTCCAAAAGAACAGAGTCGGGTATGCAATTTGCCATGAAAGAGATCAGGCATTCAGACGCTGAAACGCGAATGTTGTGCGATGAAGATGCCAAGAAACCAGAGATCAAATCAAATAACTCAGGTAACTTCTGGAAAGTTTCTTCCGGTTCAATTTGTGCCGAGACATCATAGCCTCGTGATAAAACGGCAATCCAAGGTGGTAGAACTTGGGAATCATTCTGAGATGGTCGGAGCTCCGAGATCACCTCTAACAGCCGAGGAAGTTTGGAAGACGCTTCACTCTCGCCCGCCATGCCCTCGAATATTATTTCGAATACCTCAAATGCCGCCATTGTCATGTATTCATTGCTTGACCTTGAGATATTGAGTAGGATCTCGCACAGGGGCTCTATTTTCCTGCTAGGCCAGCCACCTGAAGCAGCAGCTACAGTCTTAACCAAGTGCAAGGCATGTATTAAAGCAGGCTCATGTTCTGCTGCACCGCTCTTCCGCTGCTTCCTGGCTTGGCTCGATTTAGCAGCAAGGTCTCTCAGACTCATTAGGGCCGTCTCCGCGCACATATCTGCAGCTGGGTGGTCGACAGATGGACTGGGAGGTGGATTCTTCAGGACTTTTGTGAGTGCTTCCTGAGCCCGCTTCCTGATCTTTGGCCTGTGGTCAACCGCCAGGGTCAACAAAGCAGCAATGGCACGCCGCGGCCCAATCTCTGTCTGTGAAAGTTCCCATGCCTTTGAATCTTGCGCAATCAACAATGGCTCGAGACACCCTATCGCAGGTCTTAAGAGGGGAGCATCTGCCTCTGGAAAAGAGAATGCAGGAGCAATGTTCGTAAGGATCTGAGAGAACTTCGACTGCAATAAAGGTTGCGGGGTGTATGGTGCAACGACATCCAGGAGGTAAACAACCGAAGTTGCCAAATCTTTGTTCACAACATCTGTAGATGATATAGACTGTCGGAGAAGGGCGAGGAGAGCGGTAAAATATCCTGTTGGAGAAGCTTCAATTTTCTGGTCCCGTAAGGTATCTTCAACAGCAGACAACACAATGGCAGTCTGTTTCCGGATCAGTACTCTGAGGCAAACAGAGAGAATGAGGAGCCTTTAATACCTGATGCTGATTCTGTAGCTTCGGCGAGCGAATCTTCTCGAGCTTCTCTTGGAGAGACATATTGCACGAGTGTATTGGCTCTTGCGCCGTGCTTCTCGAAATCAGATCACAGAAAAAAAAGTTTCCAATCGATAAAGTCGCATATCGATAGTACTGGGGCCGTCAAGCGAATGCCCACGCGCTAAGCCTCTTCGAGACTCAAGAGCTTTCTCCAATCACAGAGATACGGGGTAAGGGTCCCCTGGTGCAAATAAACAACAGTAGCATCCCATCATTTACATCTGGACACATCTTCCTTTCCTCCGCAGTGTATATACATCTACTCTGTACTCCTGTATTTTAATTCCTGCGCCTTATCCGACGCACTATTCAACCGTCTCTCCTTACGTTCTCCCGAGAGAGCCGCATATTAGCTTATTGCGGTTCGGCGCCAGACACAGGAATTGCGCGACTGTGATCTGTTCACTTCATCTACGTTGAGAACCACCTCTCTGCCCCCGTCCAGATTCCTCATATCTACTTCAACGCACTCGCCATCATGCGCTTCTCTGCAGTTTCCGTCCTGGCTCTTCCGCTTCTTGCTGCTGCTGCCACGAAGGAAGTGAGCCCTCTCGAACGGATCATCGCCCGAACGCAAGTCTACTTTGAAAACATTCTTTCAAAAATCCCCAGCCCAAACCAGGCTCACTCCGATGTCGAAGTGGATGCTGCTGCTGCTAAAGCGGGCAGTAAACCTCTCCATATCTTGACTCTGGACGACTGGAAGGAGACAATTCAAGGAAGCGTCAAGCCAGCAAGCTCAACACCTGAAGAGTGGTGGGTCTTGGTCACTGGAGGCAACAAGACCTGCTTCGGCCATTGCACTGGAGTTGAGACTGCGTTCAACGAGACTGCGGCCCTCTTCGCCACTGATCCTACGGCGCCGCATCTTGCTTACCTCAACTGCGACAACCAGCCGGTTCTTTGCAACAGCTGGAGTGCTGGTCCACCAAACCTCTGGGTCATGCATGTATCAGCACCGCCAGCCCCTGTCGATGTTCGGGTCCTCCACTTGAACTCTAGCACGACAACTGCTAAGACCTTCACTGATATACATTCTACCAAGTCCTGGAAGGAGAAGGATCTGTATGAAGGCTACTTCCACCCCTTTGATGGTCCGCTTGCCAAGTACGGCCTTGCGGTCCCTCTTGGTTATTTCTTCTGGGTCCTGGCTATTGTCCCTAGCTGGGTCTTTATGATTGCCGTTTCTTTCATCAGCAGAAACATCATGTAAGTGATGGAGGATAATGCTCAATTGCTGTATAAGTGCTAACTATGGATCTAGGGGCAGAAAAGCCCTTGGACCAAACCCAGGCCAAGGAGGGGAAGCGGCCGCGGCTCCTCGCGCTCGCGTAGGTGCTCCTCCTGGAGATGGAATTACATATTAGGCTAATATTTTCTGGTAGTAAATAACGGATGGAAGCTGGGAGGTAATTTGACATGGCCGAAGGGGGAAAATAGCACTGTTTCTGGCGGGCTCAAAATTATATAGTGATCAATCATAATATCATTGAAATCATTGGGTATCAAACTCCTGCCATGCAATCGTATTACTGGATCGGTCCAAGTCATCATTTCCCGCACGAACTGTCCAACCTGGTTAAGCCCTCCAGGACCTGCTCCCGAAGCTGCCCATTTGCTAACCGGCCATATCGCAAATCGCTCAGCCCCCCGACAGTTCCCCTGATCTGCTCTAAAAGGGCGTCAGCCTCCTCTTCGAGCCTTCGGACTTCATCTTCGACGTCCTCAACAGCCCTCTCCATTTCCGGCAAGATTGAGGTTAAGGTGTGCGGTTTCGACACTGGTAGGTTTGATGTAGGCCCAAAAAGCTAAGGGGGCAAGAGTCAGCAAAGATTCCTTGCTTTCTCAGTGTCGCTGTACTCACAGCACTCTCTATATCCACCTCATCATCCTGCTCTTCTCTTGCAGCTGCCCTCCGTGCTTTTACAACAGCTCGCCGCTGTGCATTTCCGCGTTTGGTTTCCGTAGCTATGTTATGGGCTACCGCATCTGCAATTTGTGCACGTTGATGCTGTAAATCGCGGTACAATGTCCGGATTTGAGGAGAGGATTGCTGAGAGCGGGGGAAGAGCTCAGTGAAGGCCTTGAGGGAGATGATGGAGGGTAGTGGAGCTGGGGGCAAAAGGAATGTGGAGAGGATTGTTGCTTCAGTAGGAGCCATAGTTAGGCCAGGCCGGAGAAGCTGGTGAAGATATGGGGATGCTACCCGTATAGGCTCCAACACAAGATAGAATACCCCAGTACAAAAAGAATGCAGAACAGATCGCGCCCAACTGGAAAGGTTCGGGATTTGGGTGAGAGTGCGCTCTGTTATCTCATGAACGTCGAGATTAATGACTACCTCTGCACCAGGAACGGTCTTTGAATAAAGAACCCCAGCCAGTCCAATATTGTAATTGAAAAAGTCTTATACTATGCAGTAGATAGCAGACGCGGTATCTATTTCAATAGACTGAATAGAATTTAAGCAAGACGCGTCCAACGCGCGCTCGGCTGCTGTCTCGCTTCGAGCCGAAGCTTTGACTTTGCCTGTCCCTGGATCATCGCCCATCCATATTCATTCCTTCCCCTGGAACATCACAACATCACGCTTTAGGAAAAATAAAAAGAGAGAAGCAACGGTCTCCTTGGATAGCGCCTCATTTTCTCCTTTTGGAAACCAGATATGGCGCCTTCTAAGTCAGCTGCGGCCACCGCCCCCTTTTCCAAAGACGAGCGAGTTCTCTGCTTTCATCACGAGATGCTCTACGAGGCAAAGGTGCTGGATTCCCGGCCCACCGAGGACAACCAGTCATGGCAGTACCGGATCCATTACAAGGGATGGAAAAACACAGTGAGTCCATCTATTTTCTTTTGCCTTTCTTTGCTTGAAGTGCTTGGAGTGCCGCAGAACCTGCGGGTCCTTCCATAGTTGGAAGCCACAGTTGGGATCTGGAAGGAGTAGTTGAGCAACTCCCAGAGCGAAAAGACTGAGAGGATGAGAGATAGAGAGAGCAAGGAAGCAAGCGGGCCGTACAGAGAGACAGAAGGAAAAGGACGCCCATCTTCCTGTTTCATCGTCCACACAGCACTACGCAGCATCAAGATCAAACATCAGAAGTCGCTGTCCATCTCTCTATCTCTCTACCAAGCACTTGAGCTCCATGACCCCCGATCTTCAGAATATTGAGAAGGATGTTCCTAACCATGTGATTCAACAGTGGGACGACTGGGTTCCTCAAGACCGAGTGAGGAAATTCACAGATGAGAACAAGGAGCTTGCTGCCCAGCTTCACAACCAGATGAAGCTTCTTCAACAGAGGGCACCAAAGTCCACCACAAAGAAAGGTGGCCGAACGAATGGCTCAGATTTGAGTTCTGCACGTGGCAGTGAAGAAAGACATGCCTCTACTGCTACTCAGAGTGGGCGTGGACCAAGACGAAATCGAGACTATGATCTTGAACCTGTGAGTGCTTGATTTTCTTATGTCATTCTTCTCATTCTCTGTCCTTTCTCCCAGGGTGGTTTGCGATGAAGTCACGACCGTCTGCTTTGAGCCACCCCCATCTGCTTTGGACCGGACCTCGACACGTCTTGTTGACGCTGGATCTCACTTCCGATTATTCCTCCAGCCTCTTCTGTCCCTCGTCCTCCCTACCAACTCTGCAATATTTTCGAGAGATTTTTGGCCGCGCAGCGATGTCGCCAATCGGCTCCTGCAGAGTACTTGGCCACGAATCCATCGAAGCAACGGTAAAGCCTCGTCGATGTGAACCTTGTACAATTGGAGCGATCCAAAAAGCAGCGACTGGGATCTCCTCAGAGTTCTCTCTTTTGATTTGCCAGAAGAAGAAAACTAAAAAGAGACCCTATCCAAAGTTGGCTATCCACACAAAGATTGGACCCGCCACACCTGCTCCTCGTCTCTACTACGAGGATATGCAGAATTGTCCTTGCCACTCGCTGGGGTTATTCGCCAGATGCCAAATTTAAGAGACTCTGTAGTCAGAGACCGTTCAATGGAGATTTCTATTTTATTGGGCTTTTTGGAGAGCTCTTTCAGTGCTTGTGCTCCCTGCGTCCCTTAAGAAGCCATTTCTAATACGTGATGTTCAATTACAGGAGGCGGAATTCCACGCGAGACCGTCAATCAAACTCCTCATACCCGATCATATCAAGGCCATTCTAGTCGATGATTGGGAGAATGTCACCAAGAACCAGCAGCTCGTTCCACTGCCCAGCGCGCATCCGGTCAACTCCATTTTGAACGATTATCTCGAGTTTGAGAGGCCCAAGCGGCAACCAGCCAGTGCTCAAGCTGATATCTTGGAGGAGGTGGTTGCTGGATTGAAGGAGTACTTCGACAAGTGCCTAGGACGCATTCTTCTTTATCGGTAAGTATGCATCAAACATTTCCCATAACTTTCTAACAGTGCCACAGGTTTGAGCGTAATCAGTATCTTGAAGTCCGCGAATTGTGGAACTCAAACAAGCCAGAATGGGCAGGCAAAGGTGCTGGTGACACCTATGGTGCGGAGCATTTATGCCGTCTTCTAGGTAAGTTACTATTGCTCCTAAATTGGAGTATACCTAATCTTGTGCAGTTTCTCTACCAGAACTCATCGCCCAAACCAATATGGACTTGCAGTCTGTCAATCGTCTTCGCGAGGAACTCTCGAAGCTGACGAACTGGCTCGGAAGAAATGCGACCACCTACTTCGTCAGTGAATATGAAACTCCTAATCAGGACTATGTCGAAAAGGCTCGTGGCGTTTAGGGGGTTCATTAAGGTGCATGGAATGGAGCATGGCGTTACCTTTTTCCTTTATATGACTATGGCGGCACTCTCTCAACTGTTCAAGTAACTTGCTTTCGTGGTGGGTGGGGTTCTCCAGTGCTTGATTATCAGGTTTTTGGCCTCAATTAAGGAATCGGATAGCTTTTCAATGTATTTCAGTCCCCTAATCATAGTTTCTTCTTCACAACACAGTCCCCCTATCGCAACTCTCAAACTGACCAACGAAGGAATCAGATAAATCAACGATCATGGCTAGCAGGGAGTAGATTTCTTAATACTTCCCCACGTTGAGTATCCTCTTGTCAGTGCGCAAGTGTATATGAGAAAACAACAAGTGAGATTTTTGATGAAGGTGTAGATTGTATCGCTTTATATGCACAATGATGATTTACCACCCATCGTGCCTCTTCTAGAGGACGCTTCTCATGATATCCCGCTCTTATTCGTATCTTACAGCTCCAAACAACACTGATCCAGACGCCATTAAATATCACCATCCATAGCCTGGAGGATGCTTTGGCCATAACGAAGTAGAAGATCCGACCTGGGGCCCACGCCAAGAATTGCACATACTTGCTCGAGGTGCAGCCTGAGCAAGTCCGGATTATGCGTAACCGCCCCATACCATCCTCCAACGCTCCTCAACCAGCTTCACCTCCTAATCATGCTTGTCGCCTTGGCATCGCCGTCTCGATATAATATCCGGGATCGGGTTTTCGTTCCTCCCTAAGTTCCTCCTTGGTCAAAGGTTTCTCTACCTCTCTGACAGAAATCAATTCCTTGACCTTCATAATTTGACCGGCGACTTCGGGCGTTACGGGATAGAAGACAGTCTTCATTCTATGGCGGAGGCCGAGGGCTTTCAACACGCCCTGCGTTCGTTTCGGCAGGCCTATGCCTGATCGCATGAGGGTTATGCGGAAATATGACATCGTGACTAGAAAATAGATATCAGCCGATGAATCAGGTATACCTTTAGAGAATACTGCATACTTCTTTCTGCTCAGAGAATGTTGGTCCTGTTGAGCATGTTTAACTTTCAACATGTCGCGAAGTGCTCCGTAGAAAATATTCGGCAAATTCCGAGACGAGGCGCTACTGAAGCTACCTACGTAGACGCGGAGCCCAACCCGACAGATAGCCCCTCGAGGCTGACATCTGCAGCTCCAAGCATGACTTGATTTCTGGGGTATTGAACTTGTCGCGCATTCAATCCGCCATGACTATGGACAGCTCGACGGTAAAGCTCGCCGAGCTGCTCCGGCATCCAGACGATCTGGACAAGATCTCCGCCATGAAGCTCGAATACACACGGAAAAAGGCAGCGGTCGATTCGCAGCTTCGCAGCGGGCTCAAGGAGCAATTGGAAGTCACACAATCTGGGATGAATGGGATTACAGATGGGCAACGGACGGTCCAACTCATCAAGGAGGAGATGATGAAGATTGATAAGCTATGCGCCGATGCGCAGAACATGATCCTCGATTTCCCAAATATCAATCTGGTTTCGCAGACACAGAAGAATTTCACTGCAGTGGGGAATATGCGGCAGAATCTGGATAGCTTCAATGACCGTTTGAGTCAGGTGGAAGCGATGTTGAGGGAGGACGATCAGGATCCGGAGAATATGCCGAATTTACTGGCTATCCATTACGAATTGACACAGTTGAGGAATATAAGGGACGATGCCATGGAGCAGATTCAAAGAGCTGATGACTCGGGCTTGGCAAGTACGTTGGAGGACTATTTTTCACGGCTGGACGAGACTGTTGATTGGTTTGACGAACACGTTGGGACAATTGCTTTGAATTTGATCAACGTGCTTATCAATGGGAACAATGGGCTGGTTGTCCGGCTAGCAGTCATTATTGAGGCAGAGGAGAAGAGTGATAAAAGAGTCCTGGCGTTGCAAGAGGCGTTGAAGGACCATAAGGAAATGGCGACACGATTTCAAAGCATCACGGATGGCGCCAGGCAGGTCAGAGGATACAAGGAGAAATTCTTGCAGGCGATACAGGTCCATGCGGACGAGCAGATTCTCCAAACTAAACAAGAATTCTTGGATGATCCCTCGAAGTTGGAGAAAAGTTTGAGATGGTACTTCAACGACCTCAACGCTGTGAAGCAAGGAATGGTGCCTCTCATGCCGAGGAAATGGAAGATCTTGAGAACCTACGGTAAAATATACCATAAGGTCATGCACGACTTTCTCGTTGGCATGATCGATGACCCACAGACGAGCTCTGCGAATATGCTGGCTATTCTTAACTGGCCAGAGAAGTACTACGCAAAAATGAAAAAGATTGGGTTTGAGGAAGAGGAATTAGTTCCCCAGGTTATTGATGGCCGGGAGCCTGAAATGGTCCGCGAATTCCGTCAACTCATCATTCGCTTCCTCGATGAATGGCTTGGCAGAATATCCACGGCAGAGAAGAAGGATTTCGCTGAACGAAATGTCGAGGGTTCGAACCTAGATGCGGATGAATACGGTTATTTCCGAACAAAGAACCTAGTTGACATGTGGCGAATGTTGCAAGAGCAGGTAGATGCAGCAGGGAACTCGCAACGGATGGATGTAACAGAAGGTGTTGTCGATGCAATGATTCTTCGGCTCAAGTCCCGGCAACAAGCATGGCAGAGAATGCTAGATGATGAGGCGGCCAGGTATAGTAGCAACAACCCTGATCTAGAGGGATTCCAACCTCTTCAGGATTGGCTTGTTGCTATAGCAAACGATCAGATTGCCTGTATCGACGACAATGAGGAAGAAGGTCGGTTTGCGTACCTAACCAGCTTTCGGCAGAAATTTGAAACCTTGGTATCAGCACCGTACCTGGAGAGAGCGGATGTCGAAATAACCACCCTGCGTGATGGCTATGTCGATCTCAGCACACATTGCATCGCAAAGTTTGCGCAGTTAATCTTCATAGTCGATTTCCGGAATGTCATGCCGGACTTCTTCACGCCGAAGTGGTATGGCACTACAGCCATGAAGCAGATGACTGTGACGTTCGAGGAATATGTCGGCGATTATAGAGACGTCATGCACCATTCGCTCCTCGACATCTTCGTAGAAGAACTTGCGGATGAGCTCCTTGTCCGCTATCTATCCAGCGTCAAGAACAAGGGTGCAAAATTCAGGCGACAGGATCCTTTCAAAGACAAGCTTTTCAACGACGTTTCAACAGCATTTGAATTTTTTACCAACAGCGCTTACCTGAGTCCGGATGTCAGCGATGTAATTAAGCAGAAATGGAGGGTTACAGAACGGTTCCTCCAGTTGATTGAGTCGGATAAGTCCGCTGTGCCGGATGTCTTTGCTGCTTTCAAAACGGATTATTGGGACTTGCAGCTTAGTTGGGTGGAAGCTGTGTTGAGGGCCAGAGATGATTTTGATAGGAGTCTTTTGAGTGCAGTGAAAGCCAGAGCAGGGCAGATTGAAGTTCCAAGAGGGGTGGAGACGATTATGAGCAAGGTCAAGTAGCTCCGGATTTGATGTGGGAGCATAGGGTCAGCGTGGCGTTAAGGGGCAATCTGGCGCATACGGAAGATCATTCGCGCTGTATAATAGAGTAATGCTTGGCCATCTCAGATTCCATCAAGAATAGTTATTCGATATCCAATCATCAATGATTTTAAACGTGCCTCCTCCGTAGAGATACTGTGAAGCCTCAATCAGGGGTCTCCAATTGAAAAATAATACAAGATCACGTGCTACGCGACAGTCGCGTCGCATACCTTAACGCGGCCATCTGAATGAGACAGGCGCTCAGCTCACTCTCAACAACAGACTAAGAAATATGGTAAGTATCTCCGTTTAATTTAGTGATATATCTAACAGGATGTAGGCACCAGACTTAGCAATACTGAAAAGAAAACGCTCTCGGCCTTCAGACTGGTGGGCGGCTCCCCCGACGAGCGCGGCAACCCCACCACCACAACAAGATGAGCCTGCGCGCAAGCAACGTGGTCAACCTTCGACTTCAGATCTTACTGGACGAGTAATACAAGAAGCTCCCGCGGCTGTAAATCGAGGAAGGGTGGCCAAAAGCCACGACGGGCCGTCGGCCGAGCATGGGAAAATCGCGGGCAAGTTGAGACGAGGAAGGTCATTGAACACTGAAGATGAATTACAAGCTTCTGCTGAAAAAGCGCCTGAGATTGAGGCTACGCGGAATAAGAAGAAGAATAAGAAAGCTGGACAGCCTGCGGTTGGGCAATTAGTGGAGGGAACAACGGTTGATTTACCGGCTCAAACACAGACATCGAGGAAGCGTGGACGATCTACTGCAGATGCGAGGGAGCAAGTTGTTATTCCTGCTCCGACTAAAGTCGACAGTCAAACTGCACAAAAGAAGCGGGGACGACCCCCGGCTTCACATACAAAGGAGCAACCTGCTGTTGAACCACCAGCGGAGGCAGGATCACGTAATGCCCAAAGACGAGGTCGGTCGTCGAATCTCCAAGGAGAGATAGAAACCGCGGTTGAAGGCCCGTCCAAGAGTCAGAGTCGTCCAACAAAGCGCAAACGGCCTCCTAATACGGAGACGGAAGCCATTGGAGCTTCTTCCACTGAGGGCAATGTCACTAATAAGAGGCGTACACGTCAATCAGATGCTGGGATCGCGGGGCCCAGTTCTACCAAGCCTCTGGTCAAGGACGTAGGTAGGTTGACCGCTCGAGAGGGGCGACACTCAAACACGGTTCTTGAGGTGCAAACTGCTACTTCAGCCTTTTCGAGAAAGCGCAAGGCACGTAAGAATGACAATGATGCCCCTACCGCCACAGCCGACAGAGTGCCTTCAAATAATGCAGCACCGGACAAGCCTAGAAAGCGTGGTAAGGAAATAGATACGGGTGTGTTAGAAAAAAGTACCAAAGCCCCAGTTCAAGGGAAGCGGTCAAGAACCTCTCGAAACATTCAACAGGGAGAGGATGGGCGCGAAGAATCAGAAGGTAGAAGAGTACCTGCTTATTGCTATCAATGATTCTGCTAACGCACAATACAGGATCAAAAGACCAAGAACATGGGAAGAAGCGCCGTCGTGCTGAGAAGCCAGTGCAAGAGGATGACCATGAAGCATCCGAACCCGAGATGCCGCTGACCTATCAACATCTTGCTCCAGTGACTCGTCGGGTCTCCCGTCAGATCATCGAAGCGAAATGGGAGCCGCTGCCTCCAAGTTGTATCGAGCTTGTCTCACAATTGTTGAATGATATGCAAAGACCAGTGGTCGTGCGTCTTAATGATGAGCGTAAGAGAACTCAAGCAAGCACAGCTTTACAAATGGTATCCCGCAGACTAGTTAGCAAGATTTCGAAAGGGCTTCCATTTCCCCAGGGGACACGGAATCGTCGAGAGGATGATTTCGATTTTGAGAAGATTCTGAATCACAACAGAGACCTTGAGGCTCAACTCACTCCCATATTGCATGCAAACGAGCTCTTGGATTCCGAGCTGAAGAAAGAAGCAGCTCGTCTCGAAGTAGAGAAGGAAGCACTGTTGGAGTTGGAAACCAATGCAAAGACTGAAGCCACTAGAAGGAAGGAAGCCGGGCGGAAGGTGCACTCGTTGCTTCAGTCTGGAGATTCGGTCACGACAGAAGATGGCCTGAAAGATCGAATTGGCTTCGCGGTTGGCTCCAACCATCTACCGCTATCCCTGGTAAATATCCCACCTTATCTTGATAAACCAAGCTAATATGCTCAGGAGGATGAGGATCTTCAAGCCGTCGTTAAGGAATTACAAGGCCATGTGGGCAGTATCCAGAGCAACATAGACCAGGTCAAAGGCATCGCTCACGCAATGTCGAAGAGCAAAGCAGCTGTCCAGGCAACTCTATTCGATCACCTGGAAAAGCCCCAATACGAGGATGTTGTTCTAGGATAGGGCTGCTCTTGGCTATCAGGGTGTGACGGGCGAGAGCGAACATGATATGTTGGCGTATGGGGCAGGGACAGGCATGTTAAGTATAACGAAAGACGTATGCTGTACTTTAAATAAGATACCCAGCGCGTATTGTTGTTGTCGTCGTCACATGTATTGCTCTGGGTTATAAATTCATAAAATGGAGACTGACCTTTTCCTGGTACCTTATTCGTCAAGGATCTCCCGAGGCCCTTGCTTCTGGATTGAGGCTCGGTCCCAAGCACAGTCATGACCCGCCCGCTTTCCTTTACCGTAGAACCGGATCCACGCATCACTCACCACCCTGTTCAACGACGCAACGCGACTATTAGATGTGAGAAGCCGCTTCAAATCTACGCGATTCGGGAGTTGGGGTAAACTGAGCACGGTAATTGGGCATATACACATACCTTAGGTACTGAAGGGTGGCGCTGATAGGTCGAGCAGGGTTCCGTGGCGAAACTTTTTAAGGCCAAGACCGCCCTCGCAAGACCGCCCTTGAAGGACGACAGCGCACGTCGCATTCAGATGGACTCCCTCGAAACGTAGGGCCCGATGCCATGGAACAGAATGGGACCAGCAATGGGCAGGATGCAAAGCGGCAGGCGTCGCCGCCTGCATCTGGCGCAAGCAAGAGCCCTAAGAAGAGGCGCAAGGTGAATCACGGTACGTCGACGGTGCCAGCGACATGGCGCACTATTCTTGAGACCTTCTGCTGATCATGGAACGTGTTCCTGCAGCTTGTGTGTATTGTCGACGATCTGTAAGTCACCCATTGGACTGGAATACAAGGGGTGGCCTCGTTGGGCGCGGTCTCTGCGTGATGTTTGACTATGAGCTAATTCGATCTGGTACCTGGCCAGCATATGACATGCGATTTGGTACGACTTCCCGTTCAATATATGCAGCCACTCTTGTGGTACTGGAGGCTCCCTGACTAAAACTTCCCGTCGCACAGGAACGCCCTTGTGCGCGCTGTATAAAGCGCAATATCGGGCATCTCTGCCATGACGAACCCCGCGAACCGGACTCGGCCACGAAGAAGTCGAAGAGCCAGCATAGCAATTCTGCGGCGGAGGATGGTGGATCGCCACCAGATCAGCTCCAGGGAGGCATAGACAGTGGCATGAACAGCGCCCTCGATAAATCACAGGAACGATCGCAAGGCAAAGGTCTGGCTTTAGGCGCAACTACACTCTCTCAAGGCGACCCTTCACAACTCGTTCAGCCATCCCCCGTATCGGGAATCCAGCCAAATGCTCTCAGTAGCAACGGCAATCAATGTAAGACCCTGATCGCCCTGTTCTTGTTATAGATGTTGATACTGCTTGTAGTCATCGGATATTCGGACGACTGGGTTGGGTCCCAAAATCAATTTCAAGATATGCATAACTACCATCCCTCATATATGTTCAATGCGCCGGAAGTTACCAATGAGTATAACCTCCTAAACGATTTCCTCAATAACAGTTTGTTGGATGAGGGTGCTCTACTTCCGGACGACTCTAACCTTTATACTGATTCATCCAATAATATGGTATCTGGAGGACTCGCCAATCCGTCTCTTGCTCCTGGATCGCAACAAGGGGCTTCTTTGGCTCCGGGAAATACTATGGGGAATGCAATATCTAGACCTGCAAGTGTCATACCGACTGATAAAACCCGCGAATACTATCTCCAAGCGGCAGACCCCACTGGCAATGATGCACCTGAAGAGAGAATGCAGCGATTACTCCGAGCGAAGTATGACGCCGGGATGTTAAAACCCTTCAACTACGTGAAGGGCTATGCGCGCTTATCTGCTTATATGGATGGCCATATGCAAGCGGCTTCGAAACAAAAGATACTTCGTCAACTTGACCGTTTTAGGCCAAAGTTTAGGGAGAAGGTTCAGGCATTGACGGATATTGAACTTATATATGTTGAGATGTGGTTTGAACGCAGTCTTATGGAATATGACCGAGTGTTTGCGAGCATGGCGATTCCTGCGTGCTGTTGGAGGCGGACCGGTGAGATCTTCCGGGGCAACAAGGAGATGGCTGAGCTCATCCATGTCCCCATTGAGAAATTAAGAGATGTAGGTATACATTCAGCACATTCCGCCATTATTACTAATATCCATGTAGGGCAAGATTGCGTTGCACGAAATACTGGCTGAGGAATCCCTTGTTAATTATTGGGAGAAATTTGGCGCAATTGCTTTCGACCAGAATCAGAAAGCTCTCCTGACGAGCTGCTCTCTGAAGAATCCGAATGATCAATCCAAAGATCCGACGATTAGGTGTTGCTTCTCCTTTACAATTCGGAGAGATGATCACAAGATGTAAGTTGCAGCATCTCTATCTGTTCTAAAGGGGGGCATTTACTGACCGTAAACCCAGCCCGTCACTTATCGTGGGCAACTTTTTACCACAGGACCCAGTACAACGCTGAAGTCTGTTTTACAACGCATCTTGTAATTACCTGAACATATGGGGTGATCAAGTATATAGGCAGCGTCTTGATGGAGTGTGGGATTGGCGTTTGTGGGTTTGGAATATATATATGTGCCTGGGTAAGCTCATGCGGGCCGAACCTTAAAAGTGTAGCTTGACTTTCCGTGCTTCTCGTCTTAGTTGTAGATGGCGACAATCAATCCAGAACCATCATTTCTTCGGGAAACCAAATACCGCAGCCAAGTAGCAGCATATGTGGATGCAATTTCTCTTCTTTCGACTTCAGTATCCTCTGCAGCCTTCATATCTCTTCGAAGTGCTACAGTACTACCCCCTGATTGCAAGGGAGATGGCGCCGGCGCAGCTACAACGCTCCGACAAAGACAGACGCCTCAGATCCATCCTTTGCAAGTTACCCTGTTCATCATTCGATCGTGTTTTCATGGCTAATCGTCGAGCCCAGCATTCGCTGCCGACTTGCAAGCGCAATTACCACTTGTATTCGCCAAACCTCCCGGCTCGCTGTTCAACGACGTCCAGAAACAAATCCTAACCTTTCCCAACAATCTTGGCCCCTCTGCAACTGCCAAATGCGAGGAGATTGATAGTAATGGCACGACTCTTTGGAATATCTGTACTCGACTTCGACGGACCTACGATTCCGAAAAACCACAAGATGTACCGGTCATATTGCTCATCACGCGTGTGTTTGCGTTCCTCCTATTAGACTGTGCTCTTGAAAGTGGGAAAAGTACTATTGCGAACCTTGTGCGGTTGATGAAGATTGGTATCAAGGCCGCAAAGAATTGCATTGGTATGTCACAATGGAGCAAACCACGGTGCTACACGGTTGACGTGAAGCAGACAGGAATCAGACAGATCTCGCACTGAAGGTTCTCGAGAAATTGGGCAAATATGAGCTGCTATTGAAAAATCCGGATGGACAGTCTTCCCGTGAGAATGTTGAGGTCCACGAAAGACTGGTCGCGGAATATTATGTCCTTCGGACTGCATTGGTAAAGCTATCCTCCTTCGTCCCAGATCTCGGCCTTTAACTTCTCTCCATAGGCATGGCATCAAGACCAACTCGAAATGGCAGAGCATATGTTCAAGAAATCGATGTCCTCGAAGCACTTCTTCGACCCCGGTACAGCAGAAAGTTTAGCAGACGTTCTCTACGAGATGGGGAAGGATCTTCTTGTGAAACAACAGTATACAATGGCAGTTAAATGGCTCGACAGAGCATATCAGATTCTTATTGAACAAGAGCTGGATAGACTCAGTATGGACGCAAGCGAACTTCGAATATCGATCGTCGAGTCTTTGATTAAGGCATTATTAGGAATCCAAGACCAAGAGTCAGCGGATAAAGCCCGCAGCCTGGTTGATTTTCTTGAAAATGAAGTTGGAGACAAGCTGATTGTGCTGTTGTTGAGACTGGACCTTCTCTCCGCAACGACCAATGAGAGTTTCGACAGCAATTCATATAGCGATATCCTACGGAGAATGACTAGGACCGTGGTTCTCACCGAACCAAACTTCAAGCTGATCATGTACCACATCAGAAAGCTGAACGAGAGAAGCCCCGGTCTTGCCTGTAAAGCTTTGGATGAGCTTCTAAGGCTACGCATTTTACAAGCAGAACGAGATGAGTGGGTCGAGAAGGTCATTATCACGCGCTTGTGGATGACTACAAATCAAAGAGACACACCGGATGTCTTGGAATTGCTTGAGGAAGTCCTATCCGCAATTCTTGAAAGCCTAGGCCAGCCAATCAGCTCGGCAGTTACCCTTGCAGCGCATACGGTTCGTTCACTTGATCTAGAATCATTTGATAGGTAACTGATTGATAGCAGCTATTATGGAAACGTATCGAGTCCAACTACACCCAGGGACAGTATGACGCGGCAGAGAGATGGTGCCGTCTCGCCATGCATCGGATATTTGAGAAGTCAGGGGAACTCAACATGGCTCGAATCTCAAGGTAAATTATCAGTGACAATCACTCATGTGCATAAACTTATCTGTGGCTGATAGGAAACTTTTACTATGTGCGCTTGCGAAACAGGACACTAATAGTGCACGAGATACTTTTGCATCGATGTCGGATACGTCTAAAAATGAACCCATGACGAGGTTCCTGATGTATAAGGTAGCTATACGCTGTGGAGATGTTGATCTTGCCGCCGACTGTCTACGAATAATCAGTTCCTCTTCCTCGAAAGACCCAACACTTCTATATGCATGTGTCTTGGATGCCCAGCAAGTTGGTAATAGATTGCTAGCGCTGATGGCTCTGCAGCTTGTTCTGGAGGAGCAGTTTGTTCTCAAAAATCATAGTTTTGCGGCTTCCAGCACTGTGCATTTGCCGTCACTTCTTCGTAGCACAATTTCATTGACGTCTGCAGTTCTTAATGGATCGAAAGACACCGAAGGCTCACCTGAAGCCGAGGCGAACGTGGAGAAACTTTGCAAGTTTTTCGAAGGGGGTAAGCATTCTTTCTATTTTCAAGAGTCAAGACTGACACCTGATAGCCGTCACTGATATGAAAAAGACGTGTCTATCAATACAGGCGTCAGAAACCATTTGGACTATCCCTGAGCTTGACTGGTTCTCGAAGAATTCGTACAACCTCGCCGTAAAGCACCTGTCAATTTGGAATCCTCGACATTCCTTGCGTATGCTAATATGCTGTATTGCGTTCATCGACCAGTATCCAAAAGACTTGGCCGAGACGGTGTCCGATGATTTGTCACTGCGCAAAATGTTCTGCGAGTTTTCAGCCGCAATAGCGCTCGTTGCTCTAGCTCGTGGGGAAGACCTTATTGAAAATCAACTACAAGATTATCTAACTCTTCGAAAACACGTTAGCAGCTTTGACAACCTTCTGCAGGAGAAACTAGAAAAATTAGAGGGGGGTCCTAAACAGGACCTGCTTCAAAAGCTTGCAGTTTTGTTGGGGTTTGACTTTGAAGCATCTTGCAAATTGAAAGCTTGGGATGATCTTAGTGAGATCATTATCAAGGCAGCATCCTGCAACAGCCCACGGGTCTACGAATTGATGGCAGATTGCATCTTATCATCACAAGCTCCAACGCAAGGTCCGCTACCTGGCTTCCTTTACTTATTCATGTGATTAATACTGATTCTTCTTGGCAGTCCTAGTAACAAGCTTAAAGAAAATTGTCAATGAATCCTGGACCCTCGAGTCACTCAATAGCACGAAACTGGGCAAGTACATGCGTTGCCTCTTTCAGGTTGCTTTGACCGATAGCCCCGGTATTGCAGAGCAACTGCTTGACCAGGTCCACAGCTTGGCCTCGGAAGCGTCCCAGGTTATTAAAGATCCCCTGTTTTTTTGTACACTCGAGAAATCAAGCACTAACACCATCATCATCATCATCCAGACAGACCACCCCTATCCCTCGGACGAGCTTGAATGGATCGCGACTCGCGCTTTCAACCACGCCGTGGATCTATACTGTAGTGAACAAGACGACGCGTGCAAGACCTGGGCCGGCAAAGCCTTCAACATCGCACATCTCTGCAACGATGATGGCGCCTTGGAGAGAACGCTGCAGGGCAAGTTCTTAGGCTTGAAATGGGATGCCTGAAGATTGAAGATAGGCCTGCCTGCTAGTTATATATAAATAGAAGGGAGGATTCTTGCTGGGGGGATGCTGCGGGGCTGAATATTCACGTACGTACGTATATTATGCCAACCTGGGCTGCATAGAGACAGAGAGAGAGAGCTTTTTTTGCGGAGCTTTTGCTTTTGACGATGTTTATTTATCCCATGCCCTAGGATTTGACTAGATATTATCGTACCTTCAGGTACACAAGACGTAATATGTGCATAAACTTCTTATCTCCAATATATCATGTACATCTCTCCACCCGGCTCCCACTTCTTTTTTTTTTCGCAGTATACGTACAATAGTCATATAACAAATAGCCAGCCCAATATAACTTTTTTTATATGATACACGCTCCGATTATCAATTATTCAAAACCCGCTGCAGGATCTTTCCCAAAACGCCTCTGACTCTCTCCGGCCGTTCCGCGACGCAAGTAAACACGACCGCGGTGCTGACCGCAAACGCCAACGTCTCCCTCCACTGATCCTCCCACAGATAGCGTCGCGGCAGCAAGGTGGCCAGCGCCCTCGGCGCTACGAAGAGCGCGATATCCTTCCGGCGGGCCTCGTTCTCAAACAGGATGCTCCAGCCGCAGATGGCGCAGCTGGACGCGACGCAGACGCCCGAGTCGAGCTGCTGGCGGGCGGACACGCTGGTCCCGAAGACGCGCGGCCCGACGCGGGTGCGCCCCAGACAGATGCCGTAGTAGTACAGGGCGATGAAGGAGCCGAGGAAAGCGGACGAGCGCGCGGACGACGTGAGCGCGTACCGGAGGCCCTTCTTGGAGGGGTTGCGGATGGTGAGGGCGAGGTTCAGGGGCAGGTAGGTCGAGAAGGCCCAGATGAAGGATTGGATGAGCCGCGAGAGGGCGTGGTACTCGCAGTTCTTCCCCGTGCCCATGTGCACCATTTCGCAGGGGAACGGGATGCTCTTGACGGGATCGCCGTAGTCCAGGGGCCAGCCGTAGTCTTTGCACATCCCCTGCAGGATGTGCGCTTGCCCCGTCTCAAGACCGTACTTGAGTTCTCCCCACCGGGCACGGCGGAGCGCTACGAGGAGGCGGTTATCGACTGCGGCGGCCGATTTAATCCATTTGTTATAAGAAGGGGGAAGGCGGTCGGGCGAATAGATCCAAGCCCACATTATCAAGGCTGAGGATGCAGCGAATATGGTGGGATCAGTCAGTGCCGATATAGATTTCTCAACCTTATTGGACTGGTTAGAGTTTCTCATTGGCAAGATGAAAGGGCGTGGTTACCTGATTCCACTTCCCAGCAGCCATCCTTCGAGCTTTACGTTGGGACCAAAGCTCCCCTATCACTGCATCGAGAGCCCTCGTCACGGCGAAGAGGGTCAGGTCCATAGTCCGACCTGCGAAACGAGTAGGTCTATGCGTGATCCCATTGGGTGTGTTATATGGAACGACCTCTATAAATGCATCGCTCTTTTTTGATTGGAGGAGCTTCAGACTGAACCACGCTGCGATGAACGTTGAGAGCCATCTTGTGAACCTGCAAAGAGTCAGTCAGCGGCGTTGCCATCTCCATAAGCCAGACAGGCAATATTGTAGAAATGGCAAGAGAGCAGGAAAGAATGAGTATAAAATCCAAGGCTGACAAATGTGCTTAAGAAATAGACGTCACTCGACGGTCTTCGAACTTGTTATCAATGTGAGTGCATGCCCGCTTGGAAAAGAACACTGTTCTAGGCCTAAGCATGACTGGCTATCCCGACTCACACTGTCTGACCCGCAATGACTGAGAGAGAAATACCTTAGTTGAGCAGCTTTCGATAGCCCTCTTGCCAGACGAGCGAATAATCTTCGCAGCGGGATCTGGTACTGGTTAACATTCGTGCTATGGACATTTCTCAACAAGTATGATCACGTGCCTCCAGTAAAGTCGAGCCCCCGACGAGGGCAGCGCAAAAGGTAGGGAAGCGCTGCAACTCCAGGCCTCCCCTTAGAATTCGGACGAGGGACGGGAAGAAAGAATGGACCGGCTTGTCGTCGATATTCTTCCTTCTCCGACTCAGATGGGTTAGAAGCAAGGTCAACAACCTCGGTGCAGTACTCGAGGCGTAGCCCAAGACATAAGCACGGATAACGGGTCTCAAGACAGGCGGGATGCTCTGTTCGAGAGAGGTGAGCCGCGCAGGACGGGCAGACCCGGCACCAACAAGTTTCTGCATGGCCGAGTGGTTGTGGGAGGGCCTCTGTTGGTTTGCGGGGGGGTCTTCCTGGGTCTTCCTGGGTCTGTCTCGGTGTTGGACTTCTCTTCTCTTCTCTCCTCTCCTCTCCTATCCAGCAGCGCGCCACACCCTTATGTGGGCAAGTAGTCAGACGACAGTGGCCACCAGGTCTCTGTCGACCCTCGAGCCGTGAGTCCGTGACTCTGTACTCTGTAGGAACCTTCACAGCGTCATTTGCAGCAATTCAGGCGTTGGTGCTACAGCTCCTCCCCTGGGGCGATCCTGCTCATCTCCTCGGTCTGCGGAACGCCCTACTGGCCGAAGCCCTTCCTGATCGAGGGGTTGGAACCGAGTTACGTGCGTAGGCCGTTAGACAAGCTGGAGAAAGGCGGAGGTGGGAGCCAAAAGCAGGAAAGGAGGAAAAGTTCGGAGGAGGTGGGATGTCTGGGGTAGATGGACGGCGCAGGAGGATGGGCCAATAGCACGGCGAGAAGAGGAACAAAGGGGACGGGATATTCCGCGACAAGGCGCGGAGATCAAGGTTTTGAGGAGTCTTAAGAAGAACCAACCGCGAGAAAGCGCATGAATTTAAGATTCTTTGGAGATTTGAGGAGGTTAGAGGCCGGTAGACAACGCCAGGGATCCTCCACGAGGGAGCTGGACCTCGGTTCTCCAGACCGGCGCGGAGATTTGATTGGCCGGGAGACGCCCAAAGAGGCAAAAAAGGCGGTTAAATGCGCCATAATCAGGACCAAATCAGGGTTAATTACGGAGTAGCGCGACTGATTATTCGGTAACCGCTTCCTGGTCGGTCGAGCTGTCTGACATGTGAAAATGGACCAGAGAGGGAACATTTTACCATTCTCCCTTTGTGATTCTGTGTATACTGCGTGTATTCTGTATGTATGCGTATAATCTGTATGTATGCATATAGGTAATATGTAAATAATTGCAGCATTGATTTCTGATGTGAGAATCCCCATATTGACTTTTGATGTCAAATTCCAATAGATACCTTATCTTCCAACGGTTTGTCTTATGCAACATAAACATAATTGTGCATCTTAAATTATGCCTCAGGAGCGATGCGCACGACCCCTGCACGGTTGACGCTCCGTCATCCCCAGAAAAGCCCCTCGTCTCTCTCCCATCAGCAAATCTCCATCTCCATTTTCTCCATTCTCCATTTTCCATTCTCCCCCACACAACTCCGCGACATCCTCGACATTCTTCTGGACCAGCTTCGATCCGTGTCTTGTTGCTTTGTTGTCGTCGATTGTTCGTGAACTGCTCCAGTCCCGCCTGCGATACCATCCTCATCCCTGCGCAACCATCGCCTGACCCCAACTCCTCAACTCCAACTCTCAAATCGCGCCACGCCCCCGGAAAACAAGGAAAACAAGCTTTCACGATAATGAGATGAGAGCCAGTGTTCTGCGCATTCTGCTCTCCTAAACCATCGCTTCTAAACCATCACCCATCGCATCGTTGAGAATAACAACCTCCACCAGGCTCAACATCTTTTCCCCTCCAGTCGCCCAAGGCTACGGCACTCATGCTTGCGGTTCAGCGTCCTAGTATGGGTTCGTCGAAACCGCCGGACCTTGACATGCCATTTGGTTGTATGTTATGCCATTCTTATATGCTCTGCGATGTCTCCTCGCAAACTGCAGTCACAGCTTCTAACCTCTCTGTTTAGATTCTTTTGATACCCCTTCGAATTTTCCCTTCCCCTCCCCAACAGCCCCGGCGCCGGGCCCTTCTCTACTCGACGACAATGAGTCCAAGTTCCTGGACAGCTTCTTCGATGGCGTATCCTCGGATCAGTTTAATTATGACTTCTTCATAAACTCCCCGGATGCATCAGAGCTGGTCCTGGGATGGGATGAGCTTCCACCGACCTTTATGCGGACTTCCTCCTCCTTCGGCCAACAACCGCAAACTTGGTCCCATGGATTGCCGGACACAAATTACAGTGACATGAGTCCCCCTGCTAGAAGCGCTCCTCCAGTTCCACCTTCAACATCGGCAGATGTTCTGGCAGCAGCAACAGTTCTCCGAAACGGATCCAATCCCCGATCACGTAGTGTGGCCAGTGAAGCACTATTTCCGCCACGGAATGCCCCTATCCCGCCAGCGACTAGCCAGGCCAGGCCAGAGTCAATGTCACGATATGCTCCTACTCAATCCAGTGCAGCTGCTCAAGAAAGATCTGGATCTGGGGACGATATGCGGGATCCGTTCGCTACGGATATGTTTTTCGGAAGCCAATCTGAGCTATCACGTCGCCACAGACAAGCCAGTTTGGCTCACGCGAACGTCGACATACAGTGGGGGTCAGATTCCAGTTTTAATAATGCTCAACCTTTCGTTCCACCTAGCAATCAGAGGAAGGAGGTGGCAGCACTGGAACGATCTCGGGTAAAGGCCGTGACCGACGCCTTTCTCGAGACAAGGCAAATGCTAGACAGCGCCGAGACTACTCGGCCATCGAGCCCAGCTCCAGCCCACACTTCCACAGGCCATCAAAGAACCGGATCTATCGGACAGGTTGAAGAAGACGAAGATTTTAGCCCGAGGAAACGGAGGAAGAGCAACTTTCAGGACGAAAGGGATGAGCATGAGCCTTCGCCACTGTCGGCCACAACGCATAATCAGGTCAATAGGAAGCCAAGGATAACCAAGCATGAATCGCCGACACCTTCATCAGAACCAAATCAGAAGCGGCGAAAGTCAGGGGCTGCATCTGCCACTACGGCCAAAGTAACAAGGGAGAATCTGACCGAGGAGCAAAAGAGGGAGAACCACATCAGGAGTGAGCAGAAGAGGAGAACATTAATCCGAGAAGGGTTCGAAGATCTGAATCAGCTGGTTCCGGGCCTCCGGGGCGGAGGGTTCAGCAAAAGTGCCGTTCTCATAATGTCCGCGGAATGGCTAGAGAACCTTCTCCAAGGAAACGAGATGTTGCGGCAGCGGCTGAACGCGCTACAAAACAAGTGATGGATAGGTACCTTAGGTAGGTTACGAAAAAAAGAATCTCTATATATATATTTACGTCCCTCGGCGAAAGGACTTGGAGTTCACGGCGGAGGGGCAAGAGGCAGTGTGGGACGAAATAGGCCTAATTGGTTGGTTGGTTATTTTTTAATGATACACAAGATGTTCAAACGTTATGTTATGTTTCGCAATTCCTCCTCAGGCTGATGATCATTGATATATATATGTAGCCCCATCTACCTAGGTACAACTACATACCTTACGGTACCTAGTAGGTAAACTGCGGCCTGTAGCATATACCTAGCTATCTACACTATCTTATCTATCTATCTATTTATATACCATGGTAATACATAATATATTCACAGCCAATGCTTGAGCTATCTATAGTATTCAGTGAATGATGATATTTCAAGCTAAGGTAGGTAAGGTAGGTAAAGAAGACGAGACTATCCACACACATAGGAAACACGATCCATCCATCTACATCCACATCCACATTACGCGCAAGGGCAAACAAAGCCTAGTTTTATTCTATTCTATTCTATTCTATTCTATTCAGCAATGCGGGGATCCCTTTTTTATTAAAGATGAGTATTATGGTTTATTATTATTATTGTTATTCTTCTTCTTGTTCAAGACTATGAAAGCGCTCATGGGCAGGTATAGCGAAAGCCGGCATCATGGCTCCGCAGCGTCTACATATCTCACAACTTGGCCGCTCATCATCATCGTCTTCTTCTTCTTGCCACGCATCGTCTATCGAGTTCTGCTGCGTCTCGTAGATGGCGTCCTCGGAGCTTGCCAATATATCATCATTATCATCATGATCATTATCATCATTCGGTGCTCCATCGCCAGCACTTGGCTCTGCTTGTTGATGATTATGATGATGATTATTATCATTGCCATGGACGGGGTCAGGAGGCACGTCTCGATCTGCGACTCGCCATTCTCTCAGCGTGGATTCTTGCCGCTTGAACATCTTGCTGATGTCGCGGCCTCCAGCACCGCCGCCGTCTTCGCGCGCCGTTTCCACCATGTTGGTCACGCCGATGTTTATCAGGCTGAGATTCCAAACTGCGTGCGGGGGATGTAGTCTCTTGAACATTGGAACCAGACATTCTTGGACCAGTCTCTCAACGATGGAATCAATCCCGTTGTTCAAGTTGAAAACGAAGGACGGCAGTGGGCCGGATCTTGATATCCTGTTGAAGCTCCTCGTTCTTGTCCCGTCTGCGTTTGGAGGGGGTCGAGGTCGGGTAGAGAGACGTACCGTTTTGGGGTTTGCGCTCCACCTCTTTTTGGACCCCGATCCCGACTCGGGGTCGTCATCATCTTCTAACAGATCTGTGTGCATCCTCTTGATGAGACTGGTGGCAAGCCTTCGGAGCTCTTTTAAGACCTGTGGCATAGTATCCAGACGCCCATAAGTGTCCTCGATACTGATTTGGGACGGGACCTTCTTTGCTTTCTGGATTTCAGTATCGTCAATGCCATTGATTAAACCCCAGGCCTTGCTACCAATGCCTCGCTCGACACCGGGCCCCCCGAGAATTCTCTCGAGCATTTCAGGACCCATACCGGGGAAGAGGCGAACATCGCGCACAGTTACCGACTCCTTCGTACCGCCCCAGCCCGAGCCTGTGCCAGATTCTGGGGGCCTCGAGAGAACGTGGTTGCGGATTCGCTGCGCCATCTTGAACCCAATCCCGGGGATTTTTCCAATGTCATGGCCATCGATGAACATCGTCACATTGCTCTCCTGAGTATTTTCCGCGTTATAGCTAATGCCATCTTCGAGCATATCGTACGGCGGAAGGAGTGTGGTCTGTGCTTTGGGTTTGTTAAGATTCCCAACGAGTTTACTCAAGAGCTTATTCGTGGATATCCCAACAGACGAAGTGTATCCTTTCTCCTCATCTAAGCCAAGTCTGAGGTGCTGAGCAAAATGGGACCCGAGGATTAAGCGCGTAGTAAGCCAGTCATTGCCTTGAGAGTTCGAAATAGCAGAAGGCATTTGCTGAGGGGGGTAGGTATGACCGGCGAATATGGTCGCATCAAACGTAAAGCCGACGGTAGGATCATTGCGCTCGAGGGAAAAGAACGAATGTGCCAAATCGTTTGGGTTGAGCAGATTCTGGTTGTAGTCGACAATGTCCGTTATGTCCATGAACACTTCGTCAAAGCCAAGCCGTTCCACCTTTCCACTCCACGTGAAACCTTCAAGGTACCTGTATAGATCCTTTGAAGCATCTCGAAATCGCCCAAGCTCCTCTCCCAATACGATGACAAGATCGGGGACTATTTTCTTGGCCTCGCTGATCAGCGCGAGTTTGTGTAAACCCCTACGTCGAGCTTCGTAATTGCAGGTGACGACAATTTGTTTCTAGGCTGTTCTGAGCAATTGGGGTCATTAAAGAAGAGCGGCCACGGTACGGTACCTGTTGCACAGCCTTTCGCTATCAGCCTTACATCCAGCGCGGGGCAACAGAACAGATGGTCAAGCACTTACCAAAGGCAGGGATTTCAGCGCGGGGTTCTCATTCTCAAAGACGGACGCGTAAAAACAGTCGTAATCCTAGGGCTTGTAAGCGTTTGTTGGCGTGTTGGTTGGTACAAGAAAGAGGCGGAGGCTGAGTTGGCTTACGAAGTGCACGATGACTCTGGAGTCATTTCTCCTGGTCTTTCTGGCACCGATCATGGCAAGCTGAGCTGAAGGCGTGCGCAAGACGTTACGGGCGTCATGCTTGCTCTCTTGCTAACGGAACCGGTGAAGCGGGAAGTTCGCTGGAGCCATTCGGTGTCGTAGGAAACGGTAGATTCGTCCGGGTCTATACAGGATCAACTTTAATCAAGTATATCTTCTGTATCGTCCCGCCCGTCGGCTCGAAATAGGTACGGAGGTCTCCGTTTCTAATCCGGATGTGGGTTGGTGCCTCGGGATAGCTGCCCCGTGATTCGGAACAACCGACTTACCGTCTTGCGGCCTTATTGCCTTACGGATGATCTTCGGTAGAACATAGAACATTTCGGAGCTAGTCTCGGTTAGGGCTTCGCCTGACGATAGCGCATCTACTCGCTGTACCAAAGCCAAAAGAGATTTCTTAGAGATCCTGTGTCGTCTTCCACCATCCATCATCCATCATCCATCTCCCATCTTCCATCTCCAGAATCTCTCTTATGTCTTCCTTCATCCTCAATCCTCAATCCTCAATCATGGAGATGCCGTATCCTTTCCTCGTTCCTCGACATCCTCGACATCCTCATTCTTCCCCCATCGACTCCCTCCCACGTACAGAGGGCACGGCACTTTACAGCGCTCTGTAGATCTGGCCCTATCTCGATCCACACCAAGGGTCCCACCAGCGACTAGATTGACGCAAACTGCAGGGTTTCAATCTCGAAATAGAAACCCGGGGGTTCGATAAGTATAGTGGCGGGAGATATTTTGGTCCAACCCAGTCGGTCCCAGCCGCCACTGGCCTCAAGCCAATCAACATCCTCGCGCAACAATGTGACAAAGGCCGCATCACCGGCCCCCTCAGCGCTTCAAGGAGCCACTCTCACGCTCGGTAGGTCATGAATTCGTCTTCAATTCCTGGATGTAGTGCATCCTGTCCCCTTGCCTTCCTGGCCTTTCTGGCCTCTGCTTCTGGAAATACAGAAATACCCCGTCATCCCCCCCCCGGGACCGCGCTTAAGATTGCTTCTGCTGCACCCGCCGCCTGTCTTATCACTTGCATCACATCCATCCTCTTACAACACGGGGATATTATTTTGGGCACGCCACTGTTCCCTTATAGTCTGGCTGCTGTATATCTACAGTCTATTTATCTTATCTCGATACTGCATCTCTCTTATTCCATTTCCATACTTATCGTGTCTACTTCTATTCACACTCTGTTTTCACGACTTGAGCGACGACCTTGACGAACTCACGACATCACGACTTCATCATCTCTATTGTCTTCCAACGAAAGTCCTACCACGCAGGTATCGTCCAGCCCGTCACAGGTTATCGCGCCTCGGACCATACCCGGCTGCTTGGTCTTTCCATCTGAGTTATTATGATGCTTGCTCCCTGCATACCCCAGTATTCATCAGTTATGTCTCTCGCTCCTCGAGATTCGTCTCCTCCCAAGCGGCCGAGACTGTCTCTTCAAATAAAAGCGCCTGGCACGGCGCAGATGTTTGGCCGGTCTTCGACGGCATTGAAGGCAGACATTGATCCGACGTCCCCCACTGCATTCAATACACTATCAAATGCCTACGCTGCTGCTATCGAGAATTCTTCTCCCAGGACTGCCAAGCCTTCGTCGGTCTCTGACTCCAGGACTGCTCCGAATGGCAGGCCTACCCTCTTACGACTGGAGACAAAAGTAGCCAGCAAAGGCGATAGTTATATACTACCGTCTCAACACACTCGAACTCCAGAGCCGTTCGCGAATACGTACCCCGACACCCCATGCTCCGCCATTCCAAGTTCGTACCATGACTTGAAACCCACCACACCCTCGTGCACTTTCACACCTCCTCTGTCTGCCAATTCTATGGACTCGTCGCCGCCAAGGTTTAGATTCACGGCCAATGCTGCCAACCAAGAGAGCACGGGCTCTCCACGAACCCCACGGCGGCGAGCCACGATCAGCAGTCAATACCAAGTCGCGCCATATACGCACCCTCAAAGTCTTCGCAGCATCCTCCGAAACTCGCCACTCCCTCCTCGTAGCACAGCAACACCCGGTACGCCAAGTCGAACGTCCATGCGATTAGCGAATCGCTCTGCGAAGAAAGTGGGCTACAACGACCCCCTCACGCAAACCATTACAACGAATAAGTATGTGAAATCACATATTGAACTCTTGATCGAAGATTCTCCATCTTCTGCCACAGACCCAGAGAGTGCGGCATTGGACACACTAGATGTGACAATGGCCTATACTGGGAACGAGACCAGAGATGGTGGGCAGACCCCAGGTCCATTTGAAGAGATGCGCAGGAGGATGGCAGATAGCGAAATAGCAACCCCGGCACGCAGGAAGCGCAGATCTCGGGAAAAGAAGAGAAAGTGGGAATGGACAATTACGACTACCGAGACGGAAGAGGGAGAGCAGGACAAGGAGATGAGCCAGGTGCCAGTGACAGCAATCAGGCTTGACAACATTCCAGGTACACCTATCTGGCGGGAGGCGTCCGTATCTACAGACGAAGCATCTGAGACTGAAGGTAGTCAGTGCGATCAGTCTATGGACTCTGGCACAGAATCGGAGGCGGTCAGGAGGGGGTTTGGTTATCCTGGTCAGATGGAGATGGAATCACAGGACGGCGACCGTCCAGGGACCTCACAGTCGCTATAGTCAGAACATAGAATTGGCCGCCTGAGGATAAACATATAATAATAAATGTCTCGTGAGCAGAAAACTCTTGTCGTTAAGGGTCAGAAATTGTGTTCCACATATGCATGTGATGATGTCTCGTGTGCGAAGTATGGTCAGCCTCTCCCCCCCATCACCGAAAGCCCTTACCTTATTGTTTCCGCTGACAATGATAAACAAGAAGATCCTTCCTCTTTTTTGGTGCCCAGGTAAGCACTCAGCACACCCATGATGCGGCTGAGATCTTGGCTCGCTAGGATCCTAAATAGGCAGTCACGCCTCGACGGTCTCCAGAGGAAAATGCACATATTAATACATCTCCCTAGCCCACCAACCCTCCAAGTCTTTTGGCTCTCTCGCCACCTGTCTTCTATTCTTGTGCCCAACCATGTCATGATCATCGCCCCTTTTCAAAAATCCCATCATGGACCCGGATTATTCTCGTGACCTTGAGAATCAAACACCAGGCGAGCCTGAGGACTCGGGGCTGGGAGCGACCCCTCTCCTATCCTGGCCGTCACGTGGTCGAGACCCGAGGAGGAGACGGGAGATAATTCAGCTCGACGACATCCCTCCGATTATCAAGTCTGCGAATGGAAATATCTTCTGGGCAGACGAGCAATGCACGCGGCGCGTAGGACTTACTTCGACGGAAGCACGACTCTTCTTGAAGCTGCTTCAAGTAGACGAGGAGGAGAACTACAATTACGGGGAATACAAAGAAATGTTCGATGACTTTGGCAGAGAGCAGGTACGATTGCAGGAGCTGGTGAGAGACCTTCCGTGGTGGAGCTGGGAGACTTACCAGCAGAGAAAGATATGGAAAGCAAGGATAGAATGGTTGGATAGGATGAGAGAACCGAGGCTTTGGCTGCTCTATCTGATGGCACGACGGAGAAGGATCCTCAAAAAGGCTACTGAAAGGGTTTTCCAAAGACTGAAAGAGAAGAGGGCGATGCGGACTATGAAAAACTCCCAGAGACATCCATCTGAACCTCGATTCATGACCTCGAATGGAGAAGTACTATCACCAGGTCCGGTCATGACCAATGATGCCAGCCAGACCTCCGAGACGGAACTTGATGCTCAGTCACAGAAAGAAGAAAGATCGGTCGCAGTCCCGGAAATGGTCAATGATGCTAGCCAGACCTCAGAAATCCCGTTCAATACTGCTTCAAAAGTATTATCAGCCGCATCGCGAATTCGGCAGAACTTCAGCACTGGGCATCGGAAGAGCCATTCCCAAGACAGGCATTCTCTGCTTTCTTCTGGACATTGCCCTGTCTTCGACAAACCTTGGGCAGCAACCCGCGAGGATATTAAACGCCAGGTCGAAAGGCTGATGCCGGAGCCAACGCCGTATATTGTAATTGGCTGGTTTCTCAGATCCGCAAGCGATCCAAAGGAGCGAATCCTTCAATTTGACGACAAGGAACAACTTTTCCACGTCCTGAGACACGGGGAGAGTGATGTTAGAGGCTGGAGAAGATTCCTGTCCTTGAAGAGTCTGCAAGGGTTTGGCTTATACAAGGCAATTCTGAAGTTCACCTGCCTCACCTGAACAAAGACTTACTTTCTGTAGTGTGATATTGCTCGAGGAGCCCACATACCACTCCTCCTGACCACTTCCCAGAAGGCAATCCTCTTTCAATTCTTCCTTGCCTATACAGCTTCGTACCGTCATTCTGATGACACTGTAGCTGTAGCCTGGCAAGGCTGGGTACACAAGAATCTCAACGATGGCAAAAATAACCCATTGGAAGGCAGATATTCCCTGCAGTTGATCTATCACTGGTCGAGCTACCGCCTTACCATCATTGTCGTTGTGCCCCTGCTGTTGTCGCTGATAATTGGCATTTGGTACATGAATGGTCAGGGTGATGTTGTCACTGCTTGGACGCTAAGTCTGTATATTGTCACTGCGGCAGCTGGTAAGTTGTCGTGAAAGAGCTGGAATCACTCCTATGCTGACTGGTGAGATAGCTCTTGTTGCCCTCCTAGCAATTATTGGAGACCTGAAGGATATCTGATAATAGGATGAAATACCCCAGAAATTATGAGTTCACATATATAGTAGTGCTTGAGCCGCAAAGGAACTCGTATCTTAGCAAATGGCTGTGCTGGAGGATATGATTCGCAATCAGAAAAGTAATTCGTACACCAGTGTACTGCGACAACCAGGTTCACTTGTGCAAAGTAACTAATACTTCCCACTAAGCTTCACCAACCCAGCATCCTCGTTCTCCTTCTTACTCCTCCTACTCCAGTCAGGCGCCCGATCAGTTCCATCCTCGTCTTCCTTATCCGCCTGCTTCTTGTTATGATGCACAGTCGTCGGCGCATGCTCTGCGGGGGAGTATATCGTATACAAGATCAACGGTGTTGGTCCAGTGTTGATAAACTGATGTTGTGTACCTGCCGGCACGACCACCATGTCTCCGGCCTTAATATCCTGATCCTTCCCATTGACAGTGGCTCTGCCAATGCCGCTCGTGAACGTGAGAGCCTGATCGACGGTGTGAACCTCATCACCAATATCCCCCCCGACCGGGATGGTCATCATGACGACTTGCGAGTAGAGGCCCGTCCAGAGGACTTTTCGAAACTCGCCCGAGGACTCTGGCAGCGAGGAGGTCATGTTGGGGAAGTACACCATCTCGTGGGCTGGGGGCCCAGTCTGCGACGCCATTGTGCGGATCGACGAGGCGGGCGCGTTGCGGAAAATTATAGGAGGAGTCGTCTTGGGGATACGGATTGCGGAACGCTCGCCAGTCAGACGAAGGGTGCGAATGAGTGTTGAGGTGAGCATTCAGAGTTAAAGAGACGCCGCGAAAGCTCTCACGAGAGGAATGGGGAAAAATAGTAGAGAATATCGTTAGAGGAAATCTAGGAATATAAATACTCGACCTACTACCTACCTGATTCCTCTGAATATGATGTCATCCCATATAACTTTAGAATATGACACCCGCAGATGTCTTGGAGGATGTTTTTGTGTCGTCATCACCTCGGAGAAGGCTAGTGGAGAGTGGCATCTTCGAAGTAGAGCTGCATTTTGGAGGTCCAGATACTGTTGCATTGTAAATATTCTCTCACCGTGCTGCACTGCGCGTCCATTGATGTCAGATCTTGGTGCTGAGGAGGTGGATGGAGAGGTGTGATGTCGAATTGTGGGATGTTATTAATAGGCACGAATCACAAAGGCGAATTGAAGTTCCCTGTCGGATTAACTTTTGACCGGAACCTTTCCGCATTTCGGAAGTCGCTGGTGAGCAACGTCGTGGAAACCTCTTAAAACCTGTAGAAATCTCAAAGTTCCAACCCGCCTTCGAAAATACAATGCAGAGCTTCCCCCGAGCATTATCAAGTCTAGGTCGCAGCAATGCAGCTTGGACATGCTCGGCGTGTACGAAGGCGCTCCGCCAGCCATCCAAAACAGGCTTCTTCAATTCGTCGATGAGCAGGAAGATATCGAATACTTCGAAACCTAGACAAAATGTCGCGCCGACCATGGAGCAACTGCGGGAGCCGTTCAAGAAGAAGAACAGCTCCACTATGTACTATACACTCAGTATCATACTGGGCACCGTAGCCTTCTCATATGGTTCTGTCCCCATGTACAAAATGGTGTGTTGCCGTCGCCAGTCCCCCGCCTATAGAACTGCTACTAAGTATAGTTCTAGATCTGTCAAACAACAGGCTGGGGAGGCCAGCCCATCAAAGCTCCCGGTCATGGTGGTCCCGATGGCGGGGATCCCTCTCTCCGCCTCCAACCCGTTACTTCTTCAAAGCGCATACGCGTTACCTTCAACGGGTCCGTCTCGGATGTCCTGCCTTGGAAATTTGTGCCCCAACAACGCGAGGTCAAAGTACTTCCTGGTGAAACGGCTCTCGCCTTCTACACAGCTACAAATAAAAGCGAGGAGGATATCATTGGCGTGGCGACCTACAGTGTCACCCCTGGCCAGGTAGCGCCGTATTTCAGCAAAATCCAGTGTTTCTGTTTTGAGGAGCAGAGACTGAATGCTGGGGAGACAGTCGATATGCCTGTTTTCTTCTATATCGACCCTGATTTCGTGAATGATCCGAACATGAAGGGGATTGAGCAGATTACCTTAAGCTATACATTTTTCAGTGAGTCTTTCCGAACACCTGAAGGTCGTTTATTGCACAGAAACTGATTTTGCGCAGAGGCGAAATATGACAAGAGTGGGCATCTGACGCCAATACCAGAGGGGAGGTAATTGTACGATATCTGGAGTTGCAAGCTAATGATTAGCATTGGGCGGAGTTTGGCATGCGGGTTTGAACGTTTCGCGGGGAGCCATTTATTGAGCCGTATCCACTCAATCTGAGTGCGCTTTTTGCAGTCTATATAGACCATGCACTCTTTTCCACACCTAGTATCCGGGTTCCTATTTCATTCCGTTTCTTCCTAAACATAACAAAGTCCCCTCTCCCTTTATCTTTCAGTCCCACGGCTTCCGTGACATTATGTCACACGTTTCACTACTTGGCCAGTTCGAAGCCCGCCTATACAACCAGATTTAGCACGTACCTACCCAATTATATGTAAGTTCCCAACTAGGAAATCCACAAAATTCCTTGGTCATCTTCTTGCCAACTTGACAGAGGGAGTTTGACCATTGCATGTCAGGGAGGTTTCATAGAGACCAACGACCCTCGCCATGCAGCCTAGCGAAGCAGTAGTTATCTTATCTCCTCGAATAATTCAAGAAGACTTGGCGGTTGTATACAGGACAATTACTCTAAGAGACTAGCCTGGATACTCCATAGGATAATTATTATAGTAAAAAGGGTCCTGCAACTTTCTGGGAAAAGGACTGGGGTTTCTATGGACTCTACAAAGTATTGTTCGGATTTTAGCCCAAATCCAGGCTTGGTTTAAGACGATGAAGAAACAAGGAATTCGACATATATGGCAAGTTGCACCATGATAATTCACCTTGCCATCGCTCTTTTAAGACAGAGCATAATATATATCACCGGAGTCTTCCTATCATTGATTATCCTGCTTATTCTCTAGATTTGAATATAATTAACCATGTATGGAGTTCGATACGAAGGTATATTCAGAGGAATTATTTTGAAGCTTATTATGATCCATCAGAGACACACCTTGGTAGATTAAAGGCTATTATTTATGAGCTTGGGAAGTACTACCAGATAGCTATATTCAAGGCCTCTTTAATTCCTGGCATGATAATTACCAGACAGTAATTGATACTAAAGGGGGCCCATCTCCATATTGAGAGTCTTAGATTCTTGTAAAAACTGGGATAGAATGACCCACTTGGACCACTATTCAACATATATTTAGAGAGCAGGGGGAGAGGACTTCGACTCCGTAATCTTCTGTGTAACCATCTCTGAAAGCATCGTAAGCGTCGCTGCAGGGGAAAGGAGAGTCAAATAAGGAACATCCACTTTGAAGGCCTGGAAAATCCATGCCCGGAACTCGGCCGCAAGCATGCTGTCAACTCCGACGCTGCTGATAGGCTTGGTTGCGTCCAGCTTATCCTTAGGAATTAAGACTAAGCTCGAGAATTTTTGGCTGACTGTCTTGAGCACGGCCTCCTCTACTGAGCTTCCGGCCTCAATAGCTTCCGTCACCTCAGCCGCAAGACCGTTGGTCGAACTGCTCGCGCCAGTCCCCGCGCTCGATCCGTCCAATGCGGCTGAGAGCAAAAAGGCACGAGGGTCGCCAAGCACTGGACTTGAGCCCTCAAAGCCCTTTGCCCGTAGCGCCTTGAGGCCCAAAGGCTCCAATCCTGTCAACACGTGGCCCAGAGCAAACTCATCATACGTATTGTCCGCGCCCGTCGGCGTGGTTGTTGTAGTAGACAGGGCGATGTCAATAATCTGTAACATCTCATCTTCGTTGATTGCTTGTATACCCTTGCGCAGTAGAAGAGCCTCAATCTCTGGGTTCTCGTGTAGGTAGCCAACTTCAGAGATCATGCCCAGCCCGACCGAGACGGCGGGAATACCAACACTGCGGCAGTATCGAGCAAATACATCGAGGAAGTAGTTGGCGCTGCAGTAATTACTTTCCGTGGCGGTTCCGACACTGCCTGAGACCGACGAGGTCATGAGGAAAAAGTCTAGGTCCTGTTCACGACCAGAGAGCGCGTTGTACAGGTTCCAAGAGCCTACAACCTTGGGTCTGAGGCCAGCAAGCCAGTAGTCCCGAGGCATGGTGGTAAAGAGCGCCTCCTATATGAATAATCTGATCAGTCACACAAACTTCAAGCTCTTCAAGCGCTTCAAGCAGATTCTAGAATAGATGGGAACAAGGTTGAAGATTTTGACTCACATCGAGACCCATGGCAGCTTGAATGACACCACCAACCGGACCATCTATGCCAGCAACGGCACGGTTGACGTCGTCAGTGTTCACGACATCGCCCCGTATCACTGTCACTTGTGCGCCCAAGGATTGCAGATTCTCAACAAGGCGACGGGCCGGGGCTTTGTCGGTACCACTGCGACCCATAAAGACGAATTTACGGGCGCCTCGTGAAAACATCCACTTGGAAATGCTCCTACCAAGGCCCCCCAGACATCCTATCAGGAGATAAGTTTTCTCGGGGCTCAGTCTGGTGTCATACTTGATTGGCATGACAGGAATTGATGACTCCTCACTCTCTAGGGAGACAACAATGCCTCCACTGTGATAGTGTTTCTCGTCCTTCTTGTGAGTGAGGGCTCGGAAAGCTTCTGTGACGTCGGAGACATCCCAGACCCGGGGGGAAAGGCCGAGGTCTTTGAGGTCACCGCTGCGGTATAGGGTGATGGCATCGGCGAGTAGCCTCTGCCGCAACGATTGCCCTCCCGGCGTTCGCCGAGCGATTAAGCTGCCCATATCAAATGTAGTCAGCGTAATGTTTCGGTACAGCACGCTGGGGTCCGCAGCAACCGTGTCTGCGAGGCCAGATACCCCTGAGCCGACCTGCACGAGGCGCGCACAATCGGCAAATATAGCGGTATCTAGTTGATCGTCGCTAAAGGATACGACGACATCAACTCCTTGAGATCCAGTGACGCGCATGAGCTTGGTCACCAAGGTCGCATCACCAGTAGTAAAAACGTGGTCCTGTGAAAGATTCGAATTTTGGAGAAGTTGCTCCAGGTCCTCCGCGGTGCCACAGACGGCAAAGACCTGTGCGCCGATCTTCTGGGCAATACGTATGGCGGGGAAAACGGCACCGGCATCACCACTGTAGCTGTTGTAGTGAACAAGGATGGACTCATTCGCTTGGAGACGGGCTCTATCATTGATAGCATAGATGGCCGTGCTGAGTGGGAGCGGAAGGCTAGCCATGGTCTGTACGGAGGATACGCAGTCAGCAAGCAATATTCATCATGCGGGCGTAACTAGACTTGAGTGAAGTCAGATTCGAGTTTATATCATACCTTCAAGTCTTCTTGATCATTTAGCTTATAGCAAGAGCCTTCAGGAACACGTTCTAGAGTGGCAAAGTAACCAGGAGCCATGACGACGACACGGTCTCCGGCCACAAAGTCTTTCACACCATTGCCAGTTCTCGTGACCACAGCACCGTACTGAGACGTGCAGGTCGTGCTGCTGCTGTTCTCAGCATTACCGCTGATGGCTTGAAGGTCCTACATAGCAATTTTACCCTATTAGCAACTGCTCTCATCCTTTGACCATCATCATAACTTACCCTGGTACTCAAGCCGATTGCCTTTACCAAGACCTCAATATGGTCTGCGGCTAGAGGGGTTTCAGCTGTCGCCTCTTCCCGGCGGAAAAAAATTGAGTCTGTCTGGCCGACTGTCTCTATATCCAAGCGGAAGGGTTGTGCCTCGCCCAGTGTGAGAGTTTTCTTTTCAGCGCCCTGTTTCTCACGGAATGTGCTGTTCAGAGTTTCTGCGGGAACGAAACGGCTGACATGTAGCACGCCTACAGCGTGGATGAACTCAAAGTCGGGTTCTGGCTCCTCGACAGCCTGCCTCAACACGTCCAACACATGTACGGCTGTGATGTCGATGTCAGCAGGAGGGGATTTGGCGTCAAGGTCGACATCAACGACGAAGAAACGCAGCGATGGCTGCTCGAGCATCAGAGCCCGCGAGAGCCCAAACACGATCCCCAGCTCCGGCCGCGATCCTTGCAGCAGCCGGCCGCCCGTCACCCAGACAAGGTTCGCGCAGCTGTCAGTGAGGATCTTCACAAGTCGCATCTCATCCTCAGTGACGCGCGAGAGCAGGGGATCTTCAAGCTCGATGGTCGCAATCACGTGTACGTTGCGGTGCGCCTGGAGCAGCTCGGGGGTGATTTGATCAAGAGCTACGCGACGGGCTGCCCGCCCAGTCGACTTTTCGATCTGAGCAGCGAGGACTGCATTGAAGCTGTGACTCTCATTCCGCTCGACCTGGTTTTTGCAGATCAGTATCAGTACGAAGGTCATTGCAGATATAACATCATCACGACTCGGGTCAGACTCACGATCAGAACTTCTCCCTTGATGGAGTCTCTTCCCTTCTTATCAAAGCTCTCCTCGAGCGAACGCGTCCGACGACGCGCAAGGACAGCTTCATATGGCCCTCCAAGCTGCGATTGAAGAGCTTTCTCGAACCCGAGTTCTTCCAGTCCACTTGCCTCGCTCGACGAGCTGGCGAACAACAAGGCGCCGCCCGGTGCGACCAAGTCTTTGAGAGAGGCGAGTTCCTTGCTTAGTTGAGTCGTGCTCCTAGGGCCCAGTAGTATGACGTCGAATTCAGGCTCCTCGCGATTGATTGATTGAGCAGGCTTGCCGTTGGACGAATAGTCCTGGAAGCGTAAGGTCCCATCTTCTGCGTAGGACGCCCGCCATAGAGACTGGCATCTTTTGAATGCAGTAGCCAGCCTGAGGGTGTCGGCCAGGTACGATTCATCCTTCTCTGCTAAGAAGCTGAGGATTCGCAGCTTTGGATTTTTGTGTGCCAGGAGGTCAACGATAGCCCCTAGCCGCGCAACGGCAACCTCACGCTCTCCGGCAGTTGCGGCTATTGCCACATACTGTTCGATGTAGGATGAAAACTCGACCCCGTTGCTGGGACGCAACTTGGTTATATCCGGCTTCCAGAGAACACGCAACATAGGGTGACGCTCATCTTCGTCCTGTTGCTGAATACCGCTGTGGTATGCGACAAGACGGCATTTGCTGATACGCAACAGTGCCGAGCCGTCGTCGCCGTACAGCTCTCCCGAGACTCTGATGGTACCAAAGCCGACCGGCTCCGACACGGCCTTGACGTTCAGCTTCTCCTTTGCTGGCACGGCTGACTGGCCCGTAGGAGGCGGCCTTAACATCATCTGCTCGATGTGAACGGGTACTTTGGCCGTAAGCTCGCGGACGACGCCGCTTGTGCTGGCAATGATTCCAGCCTGGAAGAGGGCGTCGATGGTGATGGGATGGATCATGTACTTGGACTCGGAGTTGATACCGCTTCCACCCCCCTGTCGCAGCTCCGTGCTGGCCAGAACGTTCATATCTTGACGTTTAGTGTGCACGTGAACCTGGGACAGGGACTGGAATGAGTCTTGGAAGTTCAAGCCACCCTCAACAAACTTGTTGTACCACACCCTAGGAGCGGTGGGCTCTACATTGTCTTGTTTAATCTCAGGGAGTCGACTCGTCGTGTCATGTTCCGAGGCTACGGTCAACTGGATCAGGCCTATGGCGTGAGTGGTGGCCTCTCCAAGGGCGTAGGAGCTGATGTTGAAGTGGTACCAGTCGGAGCCCCCACGCCTGGAAACCTGGGCGGGCTGTAGAGTTGTGAATACTTCAACTCCGGTATCCAGACCATCCTCTTGGGGTAACACGAGGGCCTTGGTAATGTGAATATCATGGAGCCCAAACGCGATACCCTCATTGCCCACATTCGATACGTCTTTGACCTGAGACATGGCTTCGATAGCCATAGCCAAGTAACCGGCAGCAGGAACCACAATCGTGGTGTCTAGCTTGTGGCCCTTGATCCATGGCACGTCCTTTGCCTTCAGGACGTTCCGCCAAGATGTCAAGATCCCATTCCCACCGTGCACCTGGGAACCGAGCAGGTCATGGTGTGGATACTTCCTATTCCGCCACTCGATACTGCTCCGCGACTCGTGGAAAAGCTTCTGTTGCGGGTCATAGTCCCAATAGTACTTGGGAAGGTCTAGTAACATCGCACCTTGCCTCGGCTTGAGTAGTAATTCGGTTTCGGGCTTGATAGGCCACGAGCCGACCACATTGACGTCCTCGAACGATACGGTGTGGCCGTGCAAATAAAGGTCTCCAACCAGGTTCAAGACAGTGGTGACCGAATTCTTGCCTCGGGAAAGAGCTGTATTGTAGTGCACCTTGTCTTTGCTGATGTTCAATTTGGTGTACGTCTGCTTAATGGGTAGTTCCAGTGCCGAGTGCGGACCAATCTCAACCAAATGGTATGAACCGAAATCTTTCAACAGCTTCCCGACTACGGTCTCGAACTGAACGGGAGACTCGAGATTGGCCCGCCAGTATGAGAGACTGATCGCGTCTTGCTCAACTATCTCCCCGTTAACGGATGAGATCCATGTTGCACCCAGGTCAGATACTGGAGACCCATCTGTTGACATAGAGTCTACCCCAGATATCGCCGAGATGAGATGCTGCTCGTATTCTTCTCCGAGTGCGGCCATGTGGTGCGAGTGGTAAGCCTTACCATCTGTCTTCAGCAGTCTCGCGAAGATGCCCTGGCTGTCGAGGGAGGCCTTCAGTTCTTGGATGCCGTCAACATCCCCACTAATGGTGACACTTTCGGGTGAGTTCACACAAGCGACGTTGATCTTATTTTCGAGACCAAGAGCCTTTATCTTCTCATTGGCGTCGGTGCGACCAAGCCCGGCGGCCATCATGGCGCCAACCATTGCTTTGGAGCTCCGTGTCACTGTGTAGCCGCGGTAGTATGCAATAGTGATGGCTTGCTCGGCTGTCACATAGCCTGCAGCGTACGCAGCTGCAATTTCACCCGAAGAGTGGCCCACGACACTCTGGGGCTTTATGCCAAATGCTGAGAGAAGCTTCACCAAACCGACTTGAACAGCGGTGCATATAGGTTGGCTGCGCGAGGCATGATTGATCATACTTGTCTCGGCTGGTTCAAGAAGTGTTTCCAGCAAGGTCCAAGCTGGTGGATGTGGCAGCGACTGCAACGTCGAGTTGAGCATCTGGATGGTTTGCCGGAAGATGGGAAACTCGGCCAGCAATCCACGACCCATTTCCGGCCATTGAGCCCCCTGGCCCGTGAAGACAAACGCCAGAGGCAATTTGGAGTAAGTCTTTCCTTGTATGCGAGTACGCAAGTTTTCGAGTGTCAGATCCTCTTTTTGATGGCCTGGGCGGGCGAGTACATAACCTCGAACCGGGAGATGAGACCGTCTGACGCCCAGGGTGTAGGCAAGATCTATGGTGTTGACATTAGGGAGATCGAGCAACGACAGATCCGTGACTCTGCGCTCCAGTGCTGTATCGTTGTTCGCGGAGAATGGCAAGAGAATTGTGGTTCTTGCCGAGGCTGTGACCTTCTCCTCAGATGGCCTCTGCATATACTCTGAGGGAACATGCATATGGGCTGCGTCGATGATTACGTGTGAGTTCGCACCACCGTACCCGAACGAGTTTACGCCAGCCCTCCTGACCCGCCCATCACTGTTATGGGGAGAGCTGGACGGCCAAGGCGTGGCCTCGGTGACGATCTTAATGTTCCACTCGTCAAGCTTGATCTTCGGGTTGATGCTTTTAACTCCCACTGTGGGTGGGATTTCTCCTTTTTCTAATGCCAGGACAACCTTGATGATGCTGGAAATTCCGCTCGCCGCCTCACTGTGTCATGCGTCAGAGCTATTTTCGTTATAAACGGAATGGTACAAACCTGTGGCCCAAGTTCGTCTTTACCGAGCCGATGAGCAACGGCGGAGCAGATCCTAGCCTCTTAAACACTCGAGATGTAGCCTCAACCTCGATAGGGTCTCCAACAGCGGTGCCAGTGCCGTGGCATTCTACATAGTCCGTTTCATCATAACCGAGGCCGGCTTGAGCGTATGCCTTCCGGATGACAGCTTCCTGACCATCAGCACTCGGAAGAGTGATACCGTTTGTCCGTCCGTTGCTATGCAGCATATCAATCTGACGCTCATCTTGGAATGCAAGGGCGAAAATACCTGTTTACTGCTGTTCCACGAATGACGGCGCGAACTGGATCCCCATCCCGGATAGCGTCGCTCAACCGCTTGACGAGCAGTGCTCCGATACCGTCTGCCCTTCCATACCCATCGGCAGACGAATCAAATGTATGACAAGTCGAAGTCTTGGACAAGACTCCAGCTTTCATTGTTGCCAGCTGCTGCTCTGGAGACTGGATCAGGTTGGCGCCTGCTACGACAGCCGAATCGCAGTCCCTTGATAGCAGAGCAGAGCAAGCTGCGTGAAGACAGTAGAGGGAGGAGGAGCAAGCCGTATCGATCACGAAACTAGATACTCCTATCAGCTAAGACGATCCGAATGGTCTGTATGTCTGCACAGTGTAGCATACCTTGGTCCTTTCAAATTGAAAACATGGCTGATACGGTTAGCCAGAATGGTAGTTCCAAGACCCGTTGCCGTGTAACGGTGAGTGTATTCTGCGTCTTTAAGCTGCATCGTGATGAAGTCAGTCACAAAGTTGCCGACGTAGCACCCCATGTTGGCCCCTGAAAGCTGCTCTAGCGACAGCCCAGCACTTTCGAAAGATTCAAATACCACCTCTAGCAGTTTCCGTTGCTGGGGGTCCATGAATGTAGCCTCTAGATTGTTTATGCCGAAGAAAGAATTCTCGAACGACCTGATGTCTTCATCGATAAAATACCCTCCGGAAGTGTTCAGACTGCCTGGCCGCTCACTGTTTGGGTGATAGAACCCATCGATGTTGAATCTGGTCGCTGGAAATGGTCCTTGAGCAGAGATACCGGCTTTCAGCAGATCCCAAAGCTTGGAGCTGGAGGAACTCCCACCGGGCAAACGACAGCCTGATGCAGTTTAGTAGCTGACAGACGTGAATGATGAGTCTTAACGAACCCATTCCAATAATTGCAATTGGCTCTGCGGCGATGTTCTCATTGCGTTCACTGTAGCTTTCTGACCCGTAAGAGTCTCTGTTGACTGATGGATCATTACTGCTAGTGTATCCATTTAGCTTAATGTGTCCGTTGCCATTGGCATGTCCGTTGGTGAGATACCCGTTGTTGTTCAGTTGCTCGTGCCCGTTAGTACCGGTGGTATACCCATTGGCGTTCAGAGCCTGGCCATTCGAAATGTCAAAAGACGTAGGCGTTGCCGCCTCTGAGTTGACAGAGCCAACCATGTTGAAAATGTTATGGTGAAAGGGCCACGGCTGATTGAAATGAAGTGTAAAAATTCTATGATTGGATTGCAAGTCTTTTATTCTAATCAGTCCTAAAGTCTATCTTTACGGACTCAACCTTGCTTCTTCCCTGATGGCTTTATATACCAGATTGTCTTCTGTCCAGATAGCACACCTTTCACTAATCAACCGATATATACAAGGAACGTCTCATGAGTGACGGCGGGAAAGCCCCATGCTTGTCTCACAATGCTTGGACTATCCAGAATCCCCCCACCTCATGGGGACACTGGGGAGTTCACTGCCGGTGAGATAGAGTTCGAGACCTAGCGTCAGCACAGAATAATCATTATCATTCAACTATCCTACTCGCAGCAGCGAGATCTGAAGTCGTTGGTAAACTAAGACTACTAAGTACACGCAGGTGTGTCTACAAAATGAACACCCTATCGAACCCCCAACAGATGCAAAGCGTGCAGACCTCCTCACGCTGATAACCACATGCAGTCAGGCAGCGATGATATCGAAACAAAAGATAAGGTCTTGGAGTCTGGGGTTACATGGTGGGGACTTTGAGACATCTCATAAGCTTACGAGGATGATCTCTGCAACTATTCGGACTCCGCCCTCCAAGGAATACAGGGTGCAGGAAAACCAATATGATCTCTTACATGACGCATGTAAGATCAAGAGTTCACTTACCTGCTATTCCATCTAACAAATCCCGGGTCGAGATCCAGCCATGCTGGCGTGCTATGAGTAGCCCCATTCTGATACCGGCCCACTCTTCATAGTTATGATAATGTCTATTCATCTATGTAATACATAACTGTGTAATTAATATGGATGCAATATTCGTGATCTCCCCGCCTTTTACTGATTCTCAGTACTTGGCGGAAAAGGATTGTAGCCTGGTCATTTTATTCATGGAGTAGGTGAAAGTGGTCTGCGGTACACTTCGTTTGCCCTATATTAAAGCAATATTTCATGCACACACACGGCCAGCTTAGAACCGTAGTATAGAACTTCTCGGGACTTGCGAGACTGGAAGGTTTGTGTCACGGATTAAGTAAATCACTTGCAGAGTTATGAGACGAAACTTTCATGATGTGAGATTTGAGGCTAGTAGTAAGCAATAGAACTTCGTCTAACATTGCTGTTTGAAAGGCGGCTCAACCCTGAATGTTTGGGCCTTGATCTTCCTTGTACTTTGCGTACTCGTCCATAAGCGTGCCCATTTCGAACTCCAGTGCCTTCCCATTAACGATGATCGGCTTGACATCTAACATGATGAACAGCATGCGGGCTGGCTTCTCGTTGGAAGTATTTCGCCAGCGGTGCATAGCCCCACGGTTAATCGAGACATCGCCAGGTCGAAGAATGCGAGTCTCCTCACCGCCCAGCCACAGCTCGATCTCGCCCTCGCAAACGGTTCCAATACCGAGAGTGAGGGCGCGGTGGAGAGATGACTCGGTACCGGGAGCGAAGTCGATCATACGGACGACGCATCCGTTGGGCATATGTAGGGATGGCTGTGAGGAATCATTGTCAGGAGACATGAAAGTCACATACATTTGGGAGCAGGAAAAATAGAATCAAGTGAGACTGTGAGAGGGTACAAACTTGTTTCTTGATGAACTCAAGGTCAACATCTCCAGTGAGCTCGATTGGGTTGCTGTCGCTACTGTAGAAGATGGACTGGGCAGCTGCGCCGCCTAACATTGGGGCACCGTGATAGCCATGATCGGTCTGCAAGTACATGAGCTTTGTCTTTTTGTAGGTGCTATTCATTATCATGTCTTCACGCACCTGAACAAAGACAGAATTGCCTTCACTGTCGTGTCCGGTCAAGTACCGGAAAGGGTTACGAAGGCCCGGAGCCGGAAACCCAGTACAAGGACCAGAGGTTGACATTGTAAGATTTTTAGAAGGAGGAATGAGACTCCGTATGGTGTCAATAGACCAGAGAATATGTTAAATATGCAAAAAAGAGAAGAAGTGGCGGACGTCAAAAGAAGTTGAAAATATAAATGTCAAGCTGAGATTACTTATACGCGGGCGCCGTAAACGCGGTGCAAGTCTCAAGATATTTCCTGCTATTTGGCTGAATGTTCCGAGAAGGTGTCCAGTAATTATGGATCGATCCACTGAAACGTTCGTATCGGAAGCTCCAATTTGGGACGTGGGCATAGGGAAGTCTGCAGCAATAGCAAAGACGTGTTCGAGTAAATGGATAGCAAATAGCATGGAACCATCTGCTCATGAGACTAGATTGGCGGACTTGAATCCAAGGTCACATTCAGTCTTACTGCAGTCTGACTATGCTGTTGCACGATGACCGAAAAGCGACAACTTCAGACACTTCTAGAGCGCAGTTATTGCCCTCATTGAGGCGGCTCCCGCTATGATCATCGCCATCTGATACCACCATGCTTATGCTGACATCCACCCACCGACATGATTGCATCGTTGATAATTCACCGGAACTCTCAATAATCGATCAGCACCTAGGCCTTACCCCTATTCAATCTCGGTTAGTAACCGTATTAGGTAAGGGAGGGCAGTACGCGAAAACTAGTAATACGTACCTAGATCTAATCTAATCCCCTACTACGAACGATTAGAGGCATAACAGATGAGCGATAAGTACCTTATTTACTGATCTCAAGATCCTGACCCCATGGACCGCATCAGGCAATATTTACGCATCTGGATATACGATCGGGAATGTGATGTCGTAAAATCCTTCGGCTACGGGTCCCCCCTGAAAATGATATTACCACTCCTAGGGTGAATGTAAAAGGTTATATAGGTTGTTGCTAAGATGGCTTATTGGCATCAGCAACTTAGGGATAATCATGACCATACAGCACACATTCATGACAATGCATCACATTCATGATCAGATTATGCAGTCATTCATGGCCAGATTATGCAGTCAGCATTATCTTGGCACAAAAGCGACCCGTCCCAGTTGTCCAGTAATTTGCTTAACAACATAATCGCTGTCTGCCCCGGCTCTTATCTCCGTCTTGGCGGTTCTTCCACTGACGGGCTCCAGAGATATTGAGGTTACACGGATTGGAGAAGAAGAAAGTGTTTCATTAGTCTATCTAGAGATGTTATGTAAGCGCATTTCAGCTTCAACATCAACGTCAATTCTGTTGTAGTCTCGACGTAACCTGAAGGAAAACACTTCAATTGCGAGATCAATTGCGATACGTTGGCCAAGCCTTACTTTGCGCCCTTTGTTTAATTATCGTATTATCACTACACAATGCGAAGCATTCGAAGTTGCCTGTGCCTTGCTACGTTGATAGCTCAGGTAGCTTGTGATGCTGTGGTGGACGGCAAGTTATCCTTCTACACCTCGTCCTGGGAGAATTGGGACGAGAATACAGCGCGATGGTCAGCGTACGAAGCGCCTACTTTCTCCGCCGTATTCAAGCCCGAAACCGAGGCCGAGCTATCTCAGGGTGTTAGTGATACTCCATACATCCAAGTGTCATATGTCATATCTTGACTGAGCAACTGCTAAGTATTGTTGGTGTGATTGCATGTAGATAGAATATCTTGCGAAATACAATATCCCGTACCTGGCAACTAAGCCAGGTGGTCATGGTAATGTACCCACACTGGGTAATTACCAAAATGTTGTCCAGATCAATTTGGACAATTTTCGACATGCGGTCATGAACTCGGACCACAGCATCACCATCGGCGGTGGTGCAAAAATGGTAGATCTCATACCGACGCTGCACAGAGCAGGTAGAGAGATGAGTAAGTTTGCATCACCTATCAACTGCCGCTGTTTGAGCTATCTGACCATAATCTGTGCAAGCTGTTGGATCCTTCCCTTGCGTTGGTGTTCATGGCGTGATGCTCGGTGGTGGCATGGGCCGCTTGATGGGCAGATACGGTTTGATAAGTGATGCACTGCTCCAAGCAAAGGTGGCGCTTTGGAATGGCACAATCGTTGAGGCTTCAGAAAAGGTCAACCCAGACCTGTTCTGGGGCCTGAGGGGCGCCGGTCACAACTTTGGCGTTGTCCTCGAGTCAACCTATAAGACTTGGCCGGACGAAGGCGGTCTGCACTACAATGCTGATATGGTCTTCACAGACGACTCTCTTGACGGAGTAGTGAATACTTACAGAGAGATTGTCCAGGATGGTTTGGACCCATCCTTGTTCTTGATCCTAGGTTATATGTATGATGCGGATGCAAAGAAGGTTCGTACATCCAACCGTAACACGTAACAAAACATCCAATCACTGACCCTTTAATCAGCCTCTGCTCATTATGAATGTTGTCTATGCACACAATGAAGAAAAAGGCCGCCGAGTAGCAGGCAGATTTGCTTCAAGCCCGAAGGGAACTGCAGAACCCATTACGCGGATCTCTTTCAAGGAGTCAAATATGAACTTCTCCGAGCTCGGGTCAGGGAAAGCTGTCCCTGGCGTGTGCGATGTAAACCTGAAGAACACTTTGTACACCGCTAGCACACCAAGCCTCTTTGAGACCGGCGCTATGAAAGCTGTCTATGAGTCGTTTGGCTCTTTTGTGCGCGCGCACCCGGGTGCTAACCGCTCGATCCTGCTTTTCGAGGCGGCGGATGGTAAGGCTGTGGACGCATTGCCCCATGACTATTCGGCCTATGCGCATCGTGGAATGATGACCACCAATGCAATCATCCAGGCGACGTGGGATGAGGATGAGGATGGCATTGTAGCAGAGGCCGCTAATGCCTGGGGGAAGGGGGCCCGGGACTTGCTGGCGAAACCAGAGGTATCTGGTTATGACAAGCTTCACGCATACGTGAACTATGCAAATAGAGATGAGCCACTCGCGGCGCTGTATGGATATGACGAGAAACGGCAACGGAGGTTGACGGCTTTGAAGCAGAAATATGACCCGCACGGATGCTTCAATGCATATCGTCCCTTGCCGTTGGATATGAGTGGTTGGGAACTACCGACAGCTTCAGGGGCTCCTCAAAGAACGAGAGATGAGCTATAGGTGATCAGAGGCGCCTCCATGGACATCATACTAGAACACAACGTTGGGCTAGCCAGCGTCTATGAGGCTACGCAGACTCAGAATCTCCCAGTAGAATAGAATGGCATTGTTACTTGGTAATTTGCTCCTTGGCCGATTTTTCAGTCTCTCGTGATATTTTGTGTCATTACACAGCGTGAGGCATGACTTAAGGTATATTGAAATAACCATAAGTCCATAGCATATTAGCATTGCAACCTTTGATAATAGACAAGCATGAGCATGGCTCTTCAAGCAAACCAGCCACTAGTCTCGCCCCAGAAGTTCGCTCAGAAACTCCCCAATATGCCTGTTACACTCTTCAGGACAGTGTATCAGGATCCAGTGTGATGCCTCTGGAATGACTCCCTTCTTCAGCCCCTTAGCGAAGAATTGTTCCTGACCATCAGCTAGGTCTGGCGTGAGCGCCGCATCCTGGCCGGCCATGATCAACATGGCAGGTACTTGGAACAGGAATTCAGAGGCGTCTTTGGCCAGAGGCAGCTCATCTTCTCCGTTAATGGACCGAGTACGGTACCAATTCATCGGACCACGCAAGCCGTTGCGAGAGTATTCGGACACTATTCCACAAGTAAACGTGTTAGTTAGCTCGTAGCCTATGTTTCGTCCCGACTATCGAGCCTAGGAGTGAGCAGATTATATACCATAGTGCTTCAACACCTCCGGTGTCACCAGCGGCGAGCGCTGCACCTTGAGTAGATTTTCCGGGATCAAGCCAACATATGGATCGAAGCCGGGCAGGCCATCCGTCGTAACCCCGCCGAACATGGCGTTGAGGAAACCCTGCAGATGAGCCGGCGACTGACTGGCCAGGGCCTCGGCCTCGGGCCCAGCGTTCTGCAACTGGTAGGTGAAGGCGGGATTCTTCTTCACGAAGTCCTCAAGTGGGAGCACGACAGGCTGCGGCGGTGTGAATGGCACACAGAAGCAGAAAACAGCGCGCACCAGCTCCGGATGATACATAGCCAGGCGCCAGGCCAGGAATGCGCCCCAGTCATGTGCGCCGACGACGACGGGCGACGAGCTTGAACCGCCCACGGCTCGGATCAACTGCATCATCTGGTCTGACATGTTCTTCATCGAGTACTGCGCGAGAGAGTCCGGGGCGCTGGTTTGGCCGTACCCCAGCATGTCTGGTATAACGACTCGGCACCCGAGAGTTAGGAGATAGGGCACCTGGAAGCGCCATCCATGAGCGAGGTCAGGCCTAACAGAGGGTATCAGCGAGGTGGCAAGAATATCGAGAGATGTGTAGGATGTACGTACCATCCGTGCAAGAGTAATACAGTGGCAGCCGGATGCCCTCGAGGGTTTGCAAGCTGGTAGTGGTACCTGATACCGTGACCGACATCTATGAAGTGATGCTCGACCCTGGGATCATCTACTAGGAGTGCTTCAGGAGCCATATCAACAGCTTCAGTGTCAAAGGTAGCGAGGTAGAGGATTTGGGATGATCAATGCCAATATAGAAGTAGAAGACTGGAGTTTCGATTTCAGTGCCGCAATGAGCGGGGTGAGCGTTCTACGCCGCAATTCTAAATACAGGTTTACAGCGTACACGTATAACACTCGCTTCGCTATAGTGATATGTATAGTAACGCAAGCCAACTTCATGGGACTGCGGCGTAGAACCAGCCAAGTCTGGCGTAGATTTAGGTAGAACCCTAGTCAATTCTACTGCGGTGGGACACTGCATGTGAACCACTTCAATTCAATTCTATGCGTAAGCCAACCAAGTCTTAACCTCGGCACGTCAGCGTGGTATTGGATGTAACCCTCCGGAAGATACTAAAAGGCCTGATGACAGGATGTTTACTTGAACGAAGAGGCGACCAATGAATTATGCAGATTACGTTCCTATAATGGCCATTCACTGCTTGGCTCTCTTGGAGCCATGAGTTTGGACGCTTACAAGTCACAATGAGAATTGGAGTCATTAGCTCCCATAGTGATTAAAGAGATCAATCTAAGCCTGTAACGACGTTCGATGTAGGAGATCAGAACAGCACCCCTAAGCATAAGAGCGTCGTGCATATATTCGATAATGACCAATAAACTTCTGGTTCTGGTTATTTTAGCCACTGAATGACTAACTATGCTTTACCAAAGTAGTTCTGTTCCCTCCAAGGCGTCGATAAACTTCCCAGAGGTATCCTTGCGCGTAGCACCGTCGACCTAGGAATAGAGATGTAAGCATGGGAGAATATCTCAAGACAAAGCGCTTTAAGACTCACCACCTTGACAATGCTGGACGAACTCTCTTCAATAGTTGTCGGGGCCTGTTCAAGGCCCACCTTGCGGGCAACCCAGTTACCTGGATTGGTTTGGACAAGACTGAGAGCGAGTCAATTGGCAATTTCCTGGCTACTGTGCTCTGTCCAGAAGACTCACCCAGGATGCACGGCAACGACCGTGAGCCATTCGTTGGTGAAGTGGATTGACCTGCGTGCCAAAATTAGCTTTACATTTTCCCGTGGAATCCGTCTCTTTCCCTCCACCTACTGTGTAAGCCAGTTCAATGCAGCCTTGGAGGCTCCGTAGGCCGGGAGAATATGCGACCCAATAACACCAATGTAGCCAACAGAACCGGCGGTCGTAGAGATAGCAATCCACTTTGGCTCGCGCGCCTTCTGGAGTAGGGGCTTGAAGGTCTGAAATAGCAGCAACGGCGCCGCGGCATTGACCTCGAAACAGATCATCAGGTCCCTACGCTCGACGCTATCGAGGGCCACCGGGGTTGGGTAGCCGCCCGCGTTTGCGATCACCACATCGATATGGTCGATGCCGGCTTGTTGGATCTTGGTCAGTGCTTTCTTGGGATCGTCGAGAGACCCGCTGTCGATGTGGACAAGGAGGAGCTTGGTGCCATTCGCCGTGGGGAATGACTTGAGCTCGGCGACTTCAGCTGTGGTGTCGTCGCGGATGCTCCCAATCACGGTGTGGTTCGGTCGATTGAGATAGATGCGAGCTAGACTCGCTCCGATTCCTGGATAATATACTTGGTCAGTAATTGCAATTCGTTCGCCCGTTCATGGCGCAGCCTTTAACCAACCTTTGCTTACACCGGTGATGAAAACCACTACTGGACTTGCCATGTTGTGCTTCTACTAAATTTTTGAAAGAAGTGGAAGTAACACAATATTGTCTTCAGCGACGATACAACCTAAACACATAGATGCGTCGCAGGTCTTGATGTCTAGAGAAGCGTCAAACGTAAACGGCTTTCTTAATTGATCCGTAGTATAAGTGAGGCTGGCAAAGAAACATACAAGCGCTTCATCTTTCCCCTCAGTCCACCATTTAGGTCCAGACGGCCAATTGGGAAGATGACGTGAGACTGTGACTGTTGCAACACTTTGCATTGCAGACTTCATTGCAGCCGATTATAACGTCCGAAATGCTACTCTCCCGGAATAAGTGTTAGCGCCCCTAATTTGAAAAGCGTTTTCAAGTGGGGGAGAGTACCTTATCTAAAGTCAGGGTTTAGACAGCCTACATGCAGTGTAAGAATTTGGCAGATCTTACATGCGTCGGCCCGTACCTTTGAAGTAATCCGTGTAACGATTACACGGTTAACAGAAGAAGCACGACTTTCCCGCTCTTACTTAGCTGCATGCTTATTTTCACTTCCAGCAGCTTGGCATTAGCAACTTAAGGTAATAATACTCTGCGGGACAAGGTGGTTGGTAACATCAACGTATATTGCACTACTGTATAGCCAATAACAGTATGTTCTAATATGTACCACGTCCTACATATTCCTTCTTCAGATCTCCAAGATCGCTCTCGACCTTCTTGCCGTCAGCGGCATATACGGTCTTACAGTCCAACAGAACCCACATCATTCTGCCGGGCAGGGTGCCGTTGCCCGTGATGTTCGTCCATTTGTGGTTTGTCGCACGCTGGACGCACACGTCGCCTTGGCGCATGATGCGCTTCTCGCCCGAGTCGAGCCACAGCTCGAAGACGCCCTCCACCACAATACCGTAGTCTATCGTCAGGGCCCGGTGCACTGGCGATGAGACGCCCGGACCAAAGTCGATCATGCGTACGATGGATCCATTCTCAATATGAAACGGAGGCTGCATATACAATGCTCTGGTCAGCTCGGGGAACAACCCGACCCGCAATCACAGGCTGATGTCAGACTTAACGGACCTCCTCGGCTTTAGCCTTTTTGACGTCGACGTTGTCATTGAGATCAACGGGCGTCTCCCTGGTAGAGTACAAGATATTGGCGACCGCTTGTTTCTCAACCATCAGCCGATAGTGGTCGCCATGATCGGAGTGCAAGAATACAGACTGGCCCTGTTCGTTTTGGCCCGTGATGTGTCGAAAGATTTGCCGAAGGCCAGGGGCAGGGAAGCTTTCAGTGTAGTAACCTTTTGGATCTTGGGTCATCTTGAACTAGGTCGAAATGCTCTTGTAGGATGCAAAGAAGCTATCATAAATGAGCTGTGTAGGAGCTCTGTGATCCTTTTATTTCACTCCAATACTTATATCTCCATTTTTACTGCTGCATGTAGTCTCTCAGCCCCCCTATTCAACAAGCGAGTGGTTATCGGCCCACCCCGGGGTGTCTACAACAACCCTATCTGCCTGCTGACAATGTTGTTCCCCCATCTAGGATCATATTGCATCCCGTGGAGTAGCTAGACATAGAACTACAGAAGAACATGACAGCGTCCGCTACTTCATCCACGAGTGCGATCCGTCCAATGGGAACTGCAGCCTTTATCATTCCTGCTAGGCCGGGTACATCTTCCATGGCCTTGCGCACCATGGGTGTGTCGACCCACGATGGACACACGCTATTCACCCGAATTCTGTGGGGTGCATTGTCGAGAGCTACAGATTACCATGTCAGCCCAGCCACCATGCAGACCGCTGCTCTAATCACTCACCTGCATTCTTGGTAATTCCTAGCGCGGCATGCTTGGCCGTCGTGTATTGGATCATGCCGGGTGTGGCGACGAAGGCCGATGCCGATCCAATGATAACAATGCTTCCTCGAGTAGTCCCGCGTTCTGGTGAACCCGGCTTCAGAGCGGTCGGTTCCTGAGATTTCATAACGGCCGAAATGGCGCGTGTAACCAGGAAGGTTCCGGTTACGTTGACTTTCAACATGCGGTCAAATTCCATGGTATCTGCCTCCGCTACCGGACTAGCCACTTTGACTCCAACCTTCAAACTGTCAGTAATGCGAGAAAGACTGTGGTGGTTGTGTTGGGCTCTTACACCTGCCGCGTGAACGCAGTAGTCGATTCGACCCAGAGTGTCAGCTACTTGCCTGACAACCCCGTTGACGGAGTCTTCCAAGCTAACATCAATGCCTATTGCCTCTAAACGCAAGTTCTGGTTCAAGGCTACGCTTTGACACTCAACTACAGTTGCCTTAGCTGCGTCCAAGTCGATATCGGCGACAACAAGGCCTCGGACTCCGAGTCTTGCAAAGGACACCGCGCAAGCCCTTCCAATTCCACTGCCGCCTAAACCATGTCAGCCTTCTGATAGATGCCCTTGTTGGGACTCCTGAGACGGCTCGGGCTCCGAAGTGGGTGGGGGTACCTCCAGTCACAAGCGCTGCTCCGCTGAGATCCATGGTGTCTGGATGGGTCGGTCTACTATGAGGGTTGGGTGGATACTCCTGGCACGGAAACTCGTAAACGACCAAGCCAGACAGCTAAGTTACATGCTTCTGGCAGCAACGATATTGACGATTTAAGTAGGTCGAAACGCGGGAGGATGATAGCCGATTCCCAGGATATCGATAGTAGTACATAAGTGCTTATATGTTAGTGTTAGGGTGTTTGTATCTGCCGAGTCCTATCAGTACGGCCTTCGTAAACCATCAAATAAAACCAAATTTTCATAACTTCAACGTGATTATGAGATCGAAGACATGCATGCTTACTTGGTACTCCTAATTATAAGGGCACTACCTAAATCTCCGCCAGACTTAGCTAAATCCCCCCTATTCCTAACCGAGAATAAGCGATAGATTTACAGCGTACACCTATAATACCCCGCGTTACTATAGGTAGTACCTAGTCTAGGTACCTACACTCAGAATTGTCTATTTGGCAAATTCTAGATTAGAAATAGGGCACAGATTTAGCTAAGTCTGGCGGAGATTTAGGTAGGGCCATTATAAGACATAGACCCTAGACCTTATCGATGCTACTCTGACATGCATAGTAGAAGTAGGTAGTAAGCAGTGCATCAAGAACATGCAGCATTGCTTTTATTCCCAGCAATCAGCCGGTCTATACAAGAGCCTCAGGTAAGGAGACATCAATAATGGCGCCATTATGGTATCTTGGACTTATCCCGATATAGGAGTAGGTGGCAGCATCGGTGATGGGGGTATCCAGGGGGAAGTTTTACGTCCACACCTGGCCGGAAAGGAGAAGCTATTGCCGCCACAAACCGGGAATGCCAAACGCTAATGCGAGTGTCAGACTGTCAGTAAGCGTGACAAGACGATGGCTCCATGGAAAAAATAAGGTTCAATCGTCCTAGACGGCAAGGCCGTGCCCAGGACAAAGTGATAGAACGAGCTGAGCCAAGTTATAGCTGAGGTCAATCCTGAGGAATCATGGATTGCGAATAAGTCATTTCAATTTACTACCACGATGAGCGATAGAAATTTTCGCGTCGTTATTGTCGGTGCAGGCCCAGTTGGGCTGTATTTGGCTCATGCCATGGAGAGGGCGAATATTGACTATGTGGTCTTGGAGCAGCAGTCAACTGTGCTCAACCTCTCCGGGCAACTTCTCTTTACCTGGCCTCATACCGTACGGCTTCTTGACCAACTTGGCCTCTACCAGGCTGCAAAAGATTCCGCCATCCCCATGCTTTACAAGAAACGCGTTTATGGGCATGATGGACAAGTTACTTCCACCAACCAATTCTGGGACTACGTGAAACCACAGTGAGTACAGAATGCTCCTCGGAGATGGTTCTAACGCTGAGACTTGAATTAGTCACGGTTATCCTTTCCTTCCCATGCCGCGAAGTGAATTAATCAAAGTTTTGTATTTCAATCTGAAATATAGAGACACGAATATCACTACCAGCGCTGAGGTTGTGGACATCGAGACATCTGCCGAAGGCGTTCGTGTCCATCTGCTCAATGGCAACATTGTAAACGGCTCCATCGTAATCGGCGCCGACGGGGTCCATAGCAAGGTCCGCAAGGTCATGTACAATCTAGCAGGGGAGTTGTCCCCTGAGCACATGGCGTCAAATTTTTATGGCATCTTTGGCTGGGCAGACATCTCAGACCTGCCCATTGAGCCCGCAGTATTCTTCGAGTCTCGAGGCGCAGGGGCCGTAGTCCAATGTTTGGGGACTCCAGAGAGACTGCGGTTCGTGACTCTGAAGCCACTTCCAGCGACCCTGACAGGACGCAAGAGATACTCAAGACAAGAGATGGAGGATTATGCCGCGTCCATTGCTGATGTTGCCATATGTCCTGGAGTCACATTCAAAGATGTATGGGCAAGAGCAGACAAGGACAAAGCACGAATGCTGAACCAAGAAGAAGGCTTCATGAGCCTCTGGCATCACAATCGCATTGTTCTAGTAGGCGATGCCGTGCATAAAAGCACCAGTGTCAATGGTCTGGGAATGACCTGCGGCCTGCATTCTGCGGCGGTGCTGGCCAATTTGCTGCAGGGTCTAGTTGCGTCCAGAGGTCAGAATCCCTCAGTAGATGAAATCGACAAGATCTTCTCTCACTACCAGCAAGAGCGGCAGGGCGAAGTCAAGCCGGTATGGGATGGTGGTTACTCCATGATTCGCCAAGTGACACGAGATTCGTGGTTATCCTGGTTATGGGACAGATACGTCTTGCCGTGGGTTGATATGGAGAATTTCATGAAGGGCATCATTCCCTCTTTGCTCTTGATCAGACATGGGAACATCTTGTCGTACGTTCCCTTTGTTGGTGAGCAAGGGTCGATCGCTTGGTTACGCCGGCCAATTGCCAAGCAAGGTAGTAGGTAGGCCTGCCGCACACCAGAATTTCCAAGTTAGATAGAGCAATGAGCAATTCGAAATAGGAATGCAAAACACCGTTCCCTCATGTTCTATCTGATGCATTGGATGGCTTAGGGTAAATCCAAAAGGCAACATGATGACGTCCGACGCAGCATTCCTGGGATACTGTACTTACCTACAGTACTGGAAGACCGCGCGCAGAGCTGCAGCCTGTGGCCAAGCATTTTGCGAGCGGCTACTGTAATGAATGTCCGACACCCTATCGAACAAGTCAGCTTACTGCAGCCCTCGCACGCCGCCAATGTTCTCTATGTTCAGCCGCCGCAATGCGATAGGCTATCGGGGCGCGTGGAGTTAAGCAAGGAGACAGAGGCGTCGTAATAGTAAGGTTACACAGTCTCGCACGTCGTAATAAGGTTACCTGTAGCGTGGACTTAGCGAAGCGGATTTAGCTTAACGGCCTTAGCGCGGCGGACTTAGCGTTAGCGTAAGGTAGCGGACAAGCGGACAAGCGAAGAAGTCGTCGTCGTAGTACCTGCCTAAACGTGAGGTAAGGTACCTAGGTACCGTGGGTAGTGACTTAGCATAAAAAACAATGCTATTTCCCAAGGACGATAGTTGTTTTCAAGCAACCAAACCACCAACACAGTCTTCCAAGAATCGAAATCAATCAAAACCCCCGCCAAGACAGAAACCCAAGTTACCCAACCGCCTTCCACAATGTCTCGCTTGACCCCCCCTAAGACTATCGCTGGGAAGCCTGTGGGCCCCGTAGGCTATGGCCTCATGAGTAAGCCGACAAGAAAGCCTCAAGAATAGCTCTAACTTGCTAACAAATCGCTTGCACCAGCCCTCACCCTTTTCGGCGGCATTCCCTACGACGAGGCGATCAAGCCAATGAAGGCAGCCCTGGAAAATGGTGCTACATTCTGGAATGCTGTAAGCAAGGCGCAAGAGATATAGCCGAACATCATATGCTGACACCCTCGACAGGGAACATTCTACGGTCCTCCACACGCCAACTCTCTCCAACTCCTTAAGTACTACTTTACCAAGTACCCGGAGGATGCCTCTCGCGTCGTGCTCAGCGTCAAGGGGTCCTACGATGGCGCCACCCAGACGCCACAGGCCAGTCCAGAACAGATCCGGGCCTCCGTAGACGAGTGTCTGGCTGTACTCGATGGTGTCAAGTCCATCGATCTCTTCGAGCCCGCGCGTATCGATCCCAAAGTGCCCGTTGAGACTAGCGTCGAGGCGCTCGTAGAACTGGTCAAGGAGGGCAAGATCGGATCCTACGGCCTCAGTGAGGTAAACGCTCAGACAATCCGTCGTGCCAACGCCGTGTACCCCCCAGCTGCCGTTGAGGTCGAGCTTAGTCTGTTCTCACGACACGCATTGGATAAGGGCGGCATCGTCGACACATGTCGCGAACTCAACATCCCGATCGTTGGCTACAGTCCGCTGGATCGCGGCTGGCTGACCGGCCAGTTCAAGACTCTCGATGACATCCCTAAGGACGACTTCCGCCACTACTACCCGCGCTTTCAGCCCGGCAACTTCGAGAAGAACGTTAAGTTGGCTGAGGCTGTGGAGCAGGTCGCCAAGAAGAAGGGCACCACCAGCGCCCAAGTCGCCATTGCTTGGGTACAGCAGCAAGGTGTGCTACCTATTCCCGGATCTACTAAGGTGCCACGCGTCCTGGAGAACACGAAGAGCATTGAGCTTACCGAAGCTGAGTCCGCGGAGCTGGAGGATGCTCTTAGCAAAGCGACGGTCTCAGGCGCTCGGTACCCTGAGATGTTCCAGGCCCACCTGAACCAGTAATGGCCAGCGGGAGCTCCATTGCTCGATTAGGCTTTGATACTACTTGTGTCATCACTTCCATAGACCAAGTAGATGACTTCAATTTCAACTCAGTTTTCTATCCTAAACTTCTATGCATCTAGACGTGCGGGGAGACCCAATCAATGCTGAAGCATATTGAGCTGTACTGATGCAGGCCACGGCAGGTAATCTTTGAATGATTGAGAGCCACGCCCTTATGTCGAACTCCCAGAGAAATAGTGATTGATGGACATGTGCCAGTTGCATATCTTTTCTCTCCTCTTACGTTATAAAGATCGTTGTAAGGTCTTTGCTATTCAGTGATTTCCCCATCACAGTCCTACGTTAGTTTATCATACCTAAGGCAGATTTCTTCTAGACCTTTACTAGCGAAAACACTCGTCAGACTTACAGATCCTACGATCCTCTTCACGCCATACCACGCGCACAGGCACCCGAATTGGCCCTATCAGCCCTACGTAAGGGATTACTAATTACGCCATCCACGGGACGGGCCGAGATAGCACCTTTTTAGTGCAGCTTAGTGGCGCTAGTTAATTGTACCCCTATAGCACTCTTCCCTCGTTATCAAACCGTGAAACCAATACCCCAATACATTTTCAGCCGTCAGGAATATGTTTCACTGAGGAGGCAACTACGGCGAGAGAAAGACTATCAACGCTACCTTAGCACAGCCCAGCTGGATTCTAATTTCTTGACTTTTCTTGCTTCGTAAATAATATACTTCTTCAGAAGTTCTTCTGTCTCAAGACTTAACTATGCATTCAGCGACGAGTCGTTGGAGTATATATACGGCTATGATGCATAGAGACTCAATAGACTACGCGGTATGAATTCAAAGTACGACATGACTAACGTGTTCTGCTCCTACGATCCGATCGTACAAAAGTCTTCGGTAGAATATTAACGACACACGGCTGAGAGCAGGCGCTATATCCCCTTTTTTTGAAATATCATAGTAATCTGTTCTTGCTTCTGTTTATAGACAGAATTATAGATGTATTACTTAGACCGAGACATTCATCTCAACATGTCATAGGCTTCTATATTAGACCTGCTAATTTTGAACCCCGACATTCTGTACATATCGTATTTCTAAGATGCCTACTCATCACAGGACCTGAGTTATCAAGCTTGTGCGGAAGCACTGTCATGCATAGCGACACAATATCATTTAAACATATACATCATTCTTGGTCATTGAGGTCATTGACTTATGTGAGCTAGTTTATATCACCAAGCACAATTGTGCCATGTCTTCAGCTTTCCGTAAAGGTACCTTCGAGCGTCTTCAGATTAAACCACCTATAGAAGAGCCAGTCCTTCAAGTCGAGCCAACAATCAGTAAACGTTTCGGATGTTGAAATGTACGGATGATCAACTTACCCAAATTGTGCGTGGCAGAAATGTATCCAACGTTCTCACCAGCAGTGTCGAGTTCCCATACCAGAACCAGACAGGGGGTGATTGCTTCAGGACCGTAGCCACGACGCCCTTGGCGTATTCGTCCGGAGTCATAGCGTCTGATATGGCTCAGTCCCAATAGAGTCTTTGTTCTGGGAGGAACTACTTACCAGGACTTCTGTTGATGTGAGCTTTGAATACCCCGGCCAAAGGTGCGTAAATCGAGTCTGTAAGAGATTGTCAGAGCGTACAGAATCAGAATCTGCGACCATAATGGAACCATTTACCCTCTGGTAGTGCGCGACTGTCACGTACATCACTCTTGAGGATATTGGTAGACACCTCTCCTGAGATAACGTTTATTACCTTTACTCTGTAGGTTCATAGTACCACCCGTTCTAATTAGCTATTTTGTTCCTTTCTTTCGTGATACTCATGTACCGAGACATGATGCATATGAGTCTACTCACCCGAAAGGCTTCATTTCGACGCGCAAAGTATTACCGTAGTGGACGAGCGCTGCTTTGGTCGCGTTGTATGACGCCCCGAAGACATACGGACATACGCCCCCAATCGACCCAATGTTGACCACGGTACCGCGGGCGCGGACGAGCATCTTGTGGAAGTGATGTACCATGCGCATTGGCCCAAACACATTGACGGCGAACATCTTTTCCACCTGCCGGACGTCCGTGTCGGCCGCTGTCATGGTATAGCCTATCAGGGAGACATGAGCTTAGTCAAGCAGAATAGAAGGGCAGGTAAGGTACGTACAGATTCCACTGTATGAGGCTCAATAGTATCAGTTCTGGGTGTTTCTTGTATTGAACTTGCGGCTGAGGACTACTTACGCATTGTTGACTAACACATCGAGCTTGCCGGCTGTGATGGCCTCGACCTGTTTCTTGAACGGCAACATCTCCTCCTCTTTGGTTACGTTAAGATCCAATACATGGATTTGAGGATGATCCAGATGCTTTCGTCCTTCGTGTGGTAGCAGCGTCGCAATAACGCTCAAACCTGATGCGACAAAGTGCTTCGTAAGAGCATGACCTATGCCACCTTCGCCGCACCTGTAGGCAGTCAGGAGGGAGCACTGATATCGTTCTATATTGCAAGTGGATGAAGCATGGGATTGGACATAGAATGACACTCACCCGGTGATCAGAACGAATCTCGTACGTGGACTAGTCATTGTTTGATGGCGTATTGCACCTAAATTCGACCCGAAGTCTTCGAGAATGAAAGTTTACAGACACTGCTACTTACAATACACGATCAACTTCTCAGTTCAAAACTAATGTCAGTAAGCAATGTCTAACTTGGCCTTCTGTCTCCTTCGCCGTACTTTTTGACGTACAGCACACATGCTCATCAGGTGACGGATCTTTCTTAATGGCCTTCGACGATATCGCAATAGTCTTTGACCCATGAAAGTGCAGCAATGTAAGGCTTACATACCTTGACATGCAGATTAACGGTCCAAGTCTTACATACCTTTCCCTTGAATCCGAGAGTACACAGTGGAAAGAAACGCTCCGATGTTCAGGGGAGTGTACGTAGCGGTGGGGGATTGAAATTATAGCCTCACACTTTGTGATGAATATGAAACGGTAGTCTAATCCAAGAATGGCAATCTTATGTGCTATCTAGGTATGTAAGATTAATTTCTGCTTATCAGGGCGTTGTCGTTGCTTACATGTAAGCTTGGACGAAAGTATGACCTGTCGGACCACCTATACGTTTGATGCAGTCCCATGCATCGTCCGCTATCTGAAGAAGCAATTTGGGTAATATGTCCAAATCCAGCGTACACGTTATCTGCATGCAAACGCGTAGTGATTGGCTACGTCGTAGTCCTATTCTCACATCAGCAGGAGCCGGATGGCTCCGGCTCAAGTCCCGCCTGTTGAGTCCAGGTACAGTAGAAAGGTGGCGTTCAGGACGACTGGTGTACGCGAGTGATATCGGGTAATCAACGGGTCCTGAGGACTAGCACGTGGAATGCGCGGCTACATGAGCCCTAGCCTTAGATAAGATTAGACCGATAGCGACCTCTACCGAGTAAAACTTGGACTTTCTGTACGTATATACCCGGGTAATCCGGTAGCAACACATCTCCACGCAGGATCTCAAGCAAGTCCTGCCTCTAGGCCGAAAGGTCGCGTAAGTGTGCCATAGTTGAAGCTACGAAAGGGACATGTTCTAATGGATAATAGGTATCTAGATCTCGTCTACACGTTCTGGTAATGGCCTACGCCGCGATATCAGGGAGGACGGCTTATCCTCTGCTGCTTTTCCTATGAGGGTATAGACATAGAAAGAGTACTTCCAGATCTGGATAAGTTTTGCTTACGTCTAGGGACCCAGGATACGCTAGTTCTGGCCTGCCAGACGAAGGGATACGGGTGCCCAGGCCACTCTTCTGGACTCCAAAGGGCTTGCGCCAGCCTCAGCTCCCCCGAGGGACTCTGTGATCCTTCAAAGCGCCGCTCAGCACTATCGAAACGCCTTGACTCTCTACGCCTGTTCACGGCACTAAGGCTCACCGAGCAACATTGTCAGCGAAGCTGAGAGCGAACATGGTGATGCTGGGCAGCCCGTTGACAGGTATGTGCACCGGAGGTTCCGGTATAAACACATATAAAATGGCGTGGCTTTTGCTTGTCTTGGATATACGGATCGTCATCACAGTTACTCAGAGTTCTACACAATGCATTATGCACAGATCCTTCTCCTTGCCAGCCCTTGGATGATCGAAAGCGCTGTTGCCGTAGCCTTGTACCCCAGACTGTCTGCTTTAGCGGCTACCTTGAGTAACTCTAGTATTCATTGGTCTTCGGAGACCACACTCTCTCTCCCCAACACCACGGCCTTCTTTAACGCTACGGAGCGATGGACCATCTATGATCCACCTACTTACGAGGCGGCCCTGTCTCCAGGTACAGAGGAGGACGTAGTTCAAGCTGTAGAAATACCTTCTCTTGCTTCAGCCCAGCCTAAGATAAGTTTACTGACAATAAGTAGGTCAAGTTGGCAAAGCAAAGCAAGATCCCTTTCTTAGCGACGGGGGCGCGACATGGGTATTCGACGACACTGGGACAACTTCAAGGCGGTCTTGCTATCGATTTATCCAAACTGAACTCTGTGCAAATCGATAAGGATGCGGCTCAACTTACCATTGGACCCGGTGTGCATTTCCGAGACATCTTCGGACCAGTATATGAGGCTGGCTTTGAGATCCGTGAGCATCTGAAGACTACCTAGTTCGAAGGTGTACTTGACTCACTTCATGCAGAGACTGGAACTTGCAGCTGTGTTGGTATGATGAGCGCCACTCTGGGTGGCGGCATTGGACGCTCCCAAGGCATTCACGGGATGATCATCGATGCTCTGATCTCGGTGCGTCTCGTGACAGCCGATGGTCAGATAATTGAGGCATCAGAGACAACCAACTCAGACTTGTTTTGGGGCATTCGGGGCGCCGGTCAGAACTTTGGTATTGTCGTATCGGCCACTTACGGGCTTCATCCGCTACGTAATGGTGGTGTCTGGACAAGTGCCGACATTTTGCTCACCCCTGAGAAGAACGTCTCTTACTTCGAGACGGTGGAGAAAATGCACCCATTGCCAGCCGAGCTTACAGTGGAGACTATCATCAACTACAATTCGACTCTGGAGCAGGTAAGTATAAGGTCCCACTTAGACACAAGATGACCTTCTTACTGATCTGACTATATAGCCACAACTTATGCTTAGCCTTGTGTATGCGGGACCTAAAGACGAGGCTGTTAAGGCTATGGCTCCTATTCTCGAGCTGGGTCCATCATACTCGCTCATTAAGGAGATTCCGTGGAGTGAAATAAGCACACAGACGACCTTCCTCCTCGATGGTCCCGTGTGTGAGAACAACCAGATCTACGACATCTACCCTGTCAATTTGCGGACATTTGATGCCCCTACCTTGACTGCCACCTTCGGGAAGATGGCTCAGTTTTGGGAGGAGAATCCATCTGCGCAAATCTCGGACATTACTATTGAGACTTGGCCGATTCAAGCTACGGTGGCTGTTCCGGATAACGCAACGGCCTACCCCTGGCGAGATACGACTTCCTATATGTAAGTGTTGCCCCTTTCTAAACACGGAAGCAGATTCCACTGCAGAAAGACTAATGTGGGTTTCTTCAACAGCATGATCCAAATGAGATGGAACAACGTCGGTGACCCCGTTCAGGGACCAGCCGACAAGTTTGCCGTAGGACTCCGCAGTGACCTGGCTGCCACCTCCGGCTACGACGATCTGGCTGTTTACCAGAACTATGCGTGGGGAGACGAGACGCTTGAGCAGATCTACGGCAAGGAGAAGCTGCCGAGGCTGGCTCGGCTCAAGGCTCAGTATGATCCCGACAACATCTTCAGCTTCTATCATGCTCTTCCTACGTCGTACCCGTAAGAAGGGGGGTACAACACCACAACAGGGCATTAATAGCTCTCAGTTCTCTTCTTTTATATTTTAGAATTATTATATTATTGTTCTTACTGCCTATGCCTACTGCATACAGAACCTCTATACTACATAAATCACGTGGTAAAACCGTGCTAAAGCCGGGTAAAAACCTACGTACTACTACTTGTGTTTACACTATTACGGCGCCGCTAGGGCGCCAGGTCCTTATCGCTACCCTACTAGAACTTAACCTTCTAGCCTAGTAATACTAAACATACTAACAGGACGCTAGTAAGGCGCTAGCAAGGCGCCGGCTACTAGCTAGGGCTACTCTCTCTCTTATAACTCCTCTACTAGGTAGCGCTTAGCTAGACAGAACTATAAGAATTAGCTAGTAGACAGTAGCTAACAGATTAGTACACGAGCGCTCTTACCTTTCTTTATTACTACTATAAAGTCATAGAACGTCTATAGCGCTCTTAGGTAGAGCGCTTGCCGTAAGGCCTACTACTATTAATCTAGCTACTAGTAGTTAAGGACTAGGTAAGCTGCTGTCTCTAGGGCCTTACTATAAGGGTACTAGAGGGTTACTACCTCTAGTACTCTACGCTTAAAAAAGAAAGCCTAAAGTCTAACTTTACTAGTATATATACTAGTAAGCTGTTATGTTAAGACTATCGTGCCTTCTAGTTCTCTTATAGAGTCTCCTTTAAGGAGGAGTCCTTGTACTAGTCCTTTACCTATACGGCTTAGCCTGCCCTATACTTAAGTAACGTACAAAGTAGCGCTATAGTAGCGCTATAGTAGTGTCTCTAGCGTTATTAAAGACAGGCTACTACCTTATTATAGATAGACTATATAAGTTCTCTCTTACTTATACGTTTAAGACGTTGTTTAAAGTCTACTACCTACTTGTTAAGGTAGAGGTTAAGTAAGGGCGTAGCTATTTCGGACTTAAGGAGCTAGACAGGCGTCGCCTAGTACGCCCTTACAATAACGTAAAGGTACTATAACTACTTTATAGCGAGGTCTTTTGTAATCCCCTTAGCTTACTACCTAGAGGGGCGGTACTAGACCCTTACGCTATATACTATAGTACTCTAGATTACCTTTATATAGATCTCTCTTACGCGTAGTAGGCTACATCCTTATGTAGACGTAGTAAGCCTTATAAGTGTAAACTACTAGGTAGTAAACTTTTGTTTAATAGCGTTAAGGTAGCCCTTTTATCTAAGCTTCTAGTCTAACTAAACTCTTAGAAAGCGCGCCTCTTAGACTAAGGGTATAACCTAGCCGTTAAGGTAGACAGGCGTCGTTAGTATAGCGTAAGCGTAAGTAAGGTAAAGGAGCTTACTCTTTTCTAGGGCAAACTCTATCCTCTTTATACACAACTACTAGCTACATGTCTACTACACCCCTTTAAGGTACTAGCGTATCTTTGTCGTGTCTTTACTAAAAGCTAAGAGGTTAAGGTCGTTAGTAAACCCTACTATAATAAGGCCTATATAACCTTATAGTAGCGTATACAAGCTAGTAGTATAAAGGAAGAAGAGGATAAGAGAGAAGGGCGAACCTTATAGTACCTTTATAGTAACTTCTTAAGGTAGCGCCGCCTTCTTATTAAAGAAGAGACTAGCCGTCTGATTAGTAAGAAAGCTATACACTTACTGTACAGCCTATATAAGGAACCTTAGGTACTAAAGAGTATAGAGAAGGCGTATATAGTTTACTATATTAAAGGCGCCTTTAATGTCGAGTTAAAAGAAGGACGCTACAGCCTTATAGCTCTACGCTATATACGTAGCGTTAACTACTATTTTAACTATAAGGTCTGTTAAGCGCTATAGCCGGTTCTCTATCTACATTTCTAGGAAGAGCCCTTACAACTCTATAGCTTTAGTAAAGCGCTAGCTAATTACTAACTTAATTACTTTGCCTATTACGTTTAAGAGTAATATCGGCCTATAGGCCCTAGTAGTTTGTTACTACTTAAGGGTCTTTCTAGGCTTACGTAGTACTACTACCTTTACTACTTTAAACTATATAAGGAAGTGCCCTAGCTAGAGGCTTATAGTTACTATTACTATAAAGAGCTTAGCTAGAGGGCGCCTATATGCCTTAAGGAAGCTAGTAGGTAGTAGGTCAGGGCCTAGCGTCTTTTAGGTACTTGTCTTTTAGAGAACGTTAGTAATATCTGCTTTTATTATAGCGTCGTTAATAGTAAACTATTAGTACTACTTGTCCTAAAGGTTTAGAACGACGTTACTAAGATTAGTTATTAATTCTAGAAAGAACTATTAGCCTAATACTATTACTTTGTTATAGTAGCTTATAGCTAGTGCCCTCTTGTTAGCGCCCTAAAGAGGCAGGAGTAAGGCCGGTTCTAAGAGCATATAGCTATAGAGCCTAGCCTATCTCTTAAGACTCTATAGTTTCTATTAGTCCTTTAAGGTAGTAGTAAGGGCGCTATACTAGCTCTTAGTTCTTACGTCTTGTATTATACAGAGTTAATAGGTACTAGCCTACTAGAGGTCGCGCTAGTAGAGCTTAGTTAGGGCGGTAGCGTATTAATAGCGCGCTACCCGTACTTACTAGACGGCCTTAAGGACCTTACTGTTCTACTAGGGCTTAGTACGTCCCTAGTTAACCTTCTTCCTTAGAGTAGATATGTCTATAATACGTACAAGCTAAGAGGTAAGCGAGTTAACTACCTTGTTGACCTTATAAGGTATGTCTAGTAGCTCTAAGAAGAGGTAGAGCCTTCTAGCCTTAATCGTTACTAGTTCTCTATCTATTAGGGTCTAGCTCTATCCTAGTACCTTTATAGCTCTCTCTTAGCGATCCTCTACTTAAGTAATAACCTTAATTAGCTAGGTATAGTAGTCAGATCCCTTATACCCTAGGTTACCTTAATAGGTATACTAGAGCGTTACTATAACCTACGTATAGTTAATCGTTAAGTCTTGTTTGTTATGTTACTACTATATTAGCTCCCCTTAGGGTGTATGTAGTAAGAGCTACTACTTATAGGCTAGATAGAAAAGGGTCTCTAATTTAAGGGTAGTCCTACTAGCTCTATCTTAAAGTAGGTAATAAAGGTTTATGTTACTTATAACGATCTATAGCCCCTTTAGGTCCTCTTTAGCGAGCTACTAGAGAGGACTAGCCTAGCCTAAGGAGTTAGGAATTAGCGAGTATATTAACTAGATAGTAACTCCTTATAAAGTAATGTAACACTAGTTAACGCCTGTCTTTACTACTTAGGTAAGAGGTAGGTACTACTTGTAGATATAGATAGCTACTCTACCTTCGCCCCTATAGACTTACTAGTACTTTACTTATACTAGGTAGTAGACTGTCTTTGTCTAAGTATTGTACTATAGCTCTTAAATTACTATAACGTCGACTTTATAGCTATTATAAAGTACTATTAAGGTAAGGCCGTTCCTTCTTATAGTGTTCTAGTATACTATTATTAATTTTATTACTAAGAGTCTAGGATCTACGATTCTTATGTTATAAAGGGGTCGCTAGACCCTTAGTTAGCCCCCTAGCTTAACATCTTTATAATATTATAGCTCTAGACTGTTATAGTGTCTAGTGCCTTAATAAGAGGGCGCTCTTACCTCGCTAGAGTCTTTACTATAGGCTTCTTACTATTACCTGTCTATAGTCTCTTATATACTATAATCTAGTAGCTATCGTCGCTATCTTATAAGGATACTAGCGTAACGCTAAGTACCCGGCTAGTAAAGCTACTCTTAGACACCTTAAACTATCTAGGCCTCTATTAATATACGGCATATACCTGCTTCTTTACCTTAAGGGCCTTAGGACACTAATAGTCTTACGCTACGTATAGTCTACTATAGTTAATACATCTCTTTTTATTATTAAGTTAAGGGTACTCCTCTTTACTCTAAGGGTACACCGCTTTTACGTAGTAGCTGTACTAGGCCTAGTTCTTATAGAACCGCCTAATATAGCTAAACTAGTAGTACTAGAAGTATCTTTAGATTTGTAGGTCGGCTAAATACAGCTTATAGTTAAAGATCTAGGCTTACTAGATTAACCCTTGTTTATATAGGCGCGTCGTCGCGTTAGCGCTCTAGAGGTATAGTACTACTATTATAAACTTTACTATAAGGGCCTTAATAGGTTTAACTTTAACCTTTGTAATATATAGCGCGTAGGCTTAGATCTCTACTAGTAACGCTCTTAGCTCTACTCGTATAATCTGTTCTACTAGTAGGCCTTTTGTAATTATAGTAAACTTACTCTTATAAAGCTAGGCTATAGGCCTAAACGCCTTTTATACCTAGCCCTAATCTTAGGTTACGTTCTTTAGTATAGCCTCTTTAAACGTAAGGATAGTGTCGCTACTAGGTAGCTAGTAGGTCGCTACTACCTTAGTGCCCTCTATTACTATATTAGCTACCGTTACTACTTTAATAGCGCTACGACATACTAGGTCCTTTGTCTGTCTGTCTGCCTTAATCCTTAGCTCTCTAATCCGCCTCTCTAGTATAACCTAGACTCTTATTAGGCGCTAGCTTACTACTAACGCGTAGGTAGCCTAAGGGGCCGCTATCGTTACTAGCCTCTAGAAGGCCTCTTCTAACATCGTTCTTAGTTATCTAATCGTTACTAGGTTATTGTTAGAAGAGGACCTAAGGGTATATAAGAGGGTCGTCGTGTTTATAGCTCTTGTCTCTACTACTGTCGTTATTATAGCGATAAGGTCGCGTAAGAGACGTAACGCCTTCTCCTCCTTACCTAGTATTACGTAAGCTTTGATCTTTTGTATGATTTTCTTTGTCTTATTGTCCTTGTTACCCTTACTACTCTCTAGCTCCTTACTACAGCTCTTAGTTAGGGTATAAAAGTACTAGCTCCTACCTGCGAGTAGGTAGTATTAGCTCTGTTCGAGTCTAGCATACCTACTATCCGTTACTATAGGCTCGCCTATAGTCTACTAGCACTCTAGGGAGTATCCGAAGGTACTGATTTCGATTCTATCGTTTATTTTCGAGTTTTTAGGGTAGTAGGGGGCGTGGACGACCGTTCCTCACTCTTTTATATTTTAGAATTATATTCTACCGAAAATACTAGACTACAATAGATAAAAAGGGGACGTGCAAGCATTAGGGCTGTAGCTAATGTAATTTAGCCGTAGCTTTGTCCTGAAATTGGAAAATTACATATGTTGTAGCACACCGTGCAAGTCGCTATACACAGTATAACTTGATGAACTTCTACATTAGACGGCATATTATACCGGTTATCTTGCTGATTTCTCTTTAAACGATGCAATGTCCTTAAGAAGTTCAATTATTTCTAGGCTGCGCAGAAACCCATGGGTCCCCACTAAATAGGTTAGGTACCTACCCTATAGGGTAGGTTATAGTAAATAAGACCTAACCTATAGGTCCCTAAATAAATCTACGACCTAACCTATAGGGTAGACCTAACCTATAGGTATAGTGTATCTTAAGGCACTAAGGTACCTTTATACTTACGTAATACCTAAGGTTATAATCATTAATTAGTATAAGGATTAGTATAAAGATTAGTATAAAGATTAGTATAGTCATCCTAAGTTTAAACGATTATAAAATAAATAAATTAAAATAGTTTTATATATATTTATTTTAGTACTTAGGCTCTACTATCTTTAAGTCCTTACCTACTTTATTATACGATCTAAAATAGATCTTCTATCTTATAATTCCTGTACTTGTTTCTTTAGCGTATTAATACCCTTAAGAGTCTCTAGCTTAGATCCTAGAAGTAGAGTTAGTAAAACCGACTCTATACTATTACGATCTTTATTAACTACTAGCTTAAGAATGTCCTTATCCTTAAGGTCTTTTAGTAGATTATAGATTAATAGATCTTATATAGTATTCCTCTTCTTACGCTCTACTATTTGTATATTACGTATTTTACGTATAAACATAAAGAGTACTTAGGTATTATCTTAAGCTATAAAACAAGCCTATAAGAGCCTCTTATATACAATAGTATTAAGGCGTCTTTATGTCTATAGTATTTACGCTTAATAGCCTGGCTAGTTTAGTTCTCTCTCCTTATTACTAATATAGTAATCTACTACTTACGTATTAACTTCTTTTAGACGTAAGTTAATAGATGTTTCCTACTCTTTTAGCTTAGCTTCTATCTCTTCTTTAGTTATACTATTAACATTAATAGTGTTAGAAAGTATTCTTCTAAGCTCGTTACCTTACTTTTCTTAAAGTTAAGAGAAAAAAACTAATATAAGGGTATAGATAGCTAGAGGTTTAAGTTAGCTATAATAATAGCTATATATATTATATAAAAAATTAAAGAGGCGCTTAATACTAATACTTATAAGAAGAATATAGAGTAAGTCTCTAGCTATTACTATAAGGCTAAAGAGACAAGTCTTAAGCTACTACTAAACTAAGAAGAGTATATAGTTATTAGGTTCTAGTTTTAAGTTAGTAATTAGTATAAAGATTAGTATAAAATAATTTACTTATCTTAAGCTATATATCTACCTTATTATCTACTATATCTATACTTAATAATTAATCTTAATCTAATACTAATACTATAGTATCTATATTTACCTCTTAGAGTATTTAAAGACGATTAGAATTTCTTATACGATTATAATAGTTCTTTTAGTATAGTTTATAAAACTACTCTTTAAACTCTAATCGCTAATCCTTTACTTTAAAATTAAGCTAATAATAGTTAGGATTAAAAGTCTCTAATTTTAACCTTAGGTTTAAGATTATACTTATTATATAAATACTACTAAGATCTATATATATCTTATTATAGTATTAGTTAAGTTTAGCCTTAGTAGTATTAATACCTTAGATAAGAATACAAACCTATAGTTTTTAATTAACTTTTGCCTTTAGTTAATAGTAGGATTTAGTTAGGCGTTTAAATAACTTATTATAGATCTATAGAGTATATAGTAAGGTAATACTCTTTGTCTTACTAATAGTAGTCGTAAAAAAATTAAATAAGTAAAGAAGATTAATTAAATATCTAATTTAATCTTACTTAACGCTTAAGATCTAAAACAAGTATACTACTATATAATCTTTATAAAATTTGTTAATAACGTTCTAAAGTCTTATTACTTAAATTAATATTAAAATAGTAGAGTCTTATTAAGTAGTTACGTCTATAATTAATTAAAGAAGACGTATTAGATTATTATAAGCTAGCCTGTTTTAAATCTATTTAAAATATTCCTATCTTTACTTACTTAAGTTAACTAGTACTATAAGCTTTTAAATCTATATCTAATTAGTATAAAAATTAGTATAAAAATTATAACTAATCTATACTTTTACTAGTATATATAGTATACTCTAGTTACTTACTTGTTGTATCCTTTTAAGCTCGTCTATCTCTTACTTATTCCTCTAATCTTAAATAAATGTTTTATTTGTTAGTCGTAGTTAAATTATACCTAAGAGCGCTTTTATAGTAAGCTAAAGAACATATAATAAATAAGAAATATATTAGATTTGTTTATTAAGAAAACGACTATTCTTTAGTACGTCTTTAAGATATAAATTAATTTTATCTACTATTATATAGTTATTACTAGTATTATTAGTTATAATTAATATTACTTAACTAGTTAGGTTAAGATTTATTAGTAAATCATTAATAACTGTTACTAGGGCCTGTCTTAAATAAACATTACGTAGGTTTTTAAACCTAATTAACTCTTCTTAAAGTACCTAGTCTTTATTAATATAATATACTATAACGCCTATAAACAAAAGGCGCGTAAGACTTAACTAATAATTAAGAGATAAGGCTACCTTACTACCTAGTACTAGGTTTATAAGTATGTTCTCTTTAACTTAGGTAACGCGCTATATTAGGCAGGTCTATATAGTTATTACTAATAGTAATTAAAAACAAGGATTTAATAGCTTTAATAGCTATTAGAGATTAGTGTTTTTTATAGCCTAAAAAGAAAGTTATAAAGAAATAATCGTTTTAAGGACCTAGTCCTAAAAAGCCTTAGTTATAAGAGTAGTAGACTATATATACTAGTTAGTTTATACTAATCTTTATACTAACTAGTTGTACTTATAGTTATAAATAATAAAACAGCCTTATAAAGAGAGAGTTGTCTTTATAAGCCTTAACTTTAACTTATAAATACATTAACACATTGTTTAGACGTTAGGTATTTTATAAGAGTAGTAGTACTAGTTATAAGTACTCTTAAATTAAGATAAGTAAGTATTATAGAACACTTCTAGTATATAACTACTAGTTTACTAGTATACTAATTTGTAGCCTAGTAGAATTATTACTAGTATACTAATCTTTTAGTTATGTCTTAACCTAGCTATTTTACTACGTTAGTATTATTTAAACCTACTGTTATAGCTACCTAATCTGTCTATAGCTACTAGGTAAAGAATTAGTAATGTTAGTCTTTAGTCTACTAGAAACATTAATTTCTTTAGCTAATAGTATTTAGTAAAGGTCTATTAGTAATAGTGTTATTACTAAATAAGTTTATAACTAGAGAGGAATTAGGAATAAACATAGTAGTAGATAATAAAGACATTATATAATATTATAATCGTAAAGAGTAGTTTTTAATAATACAAATGTTTAGAAAAGTAAGTTATGTTTAAAAAAAGAAGAATTAAGGAGATTAGTATAAAGATTAGTATAAATATATAATATAATACATTAAGTTATACTAAGTACGTCTTTATAGTAATAATAAATTCTTAAAGATCTTTTAAAGGCTTTAATTCTACTACTATATACTATTAGTAACTTAGCTATCCTTTTATTTATTTATTTTAAGAATTGTAATCTTTACTATATGTAGTACGCCTCTAATAATCCTTGATTTTAGATATCTTAATTTCTACTATATAAATTATAGGCTATACTATTATAAATAAGAGTATTATAACTAAATATAAGTTATACGTAAAAGAAAGAACGATTATTTTATATTTCTTTTTTATAAAAAATTAAACGTAAAAAAACGCCTTTAGTATCTCTTTAGTCTTAATTAAATCCTCTATTATAAAGAGGTCTATACTAGACAAGTACACGTAATTATACGTCTTATTAAAGGGCTCTTTATTAGTATAGATTAGTCTATACGCCTAGTAATACTTAGAGTACTAGTTAGAAAACGTAAACCTTATATTATTAATCTCTAGATCTTCTAGCTACTAATCTATAGGCCTTAGTAAATCTACTTATCTATTATCCTTCTTATACTATATAGCTATATTCTTTTATATAGCTTTCTTCTCTAATATAAAAAATTACTTAAGTAGTAAGAAGTCTTATAAGTCCTTATTATTTATAGTAGATTAGTATAAAGATTAGTATAAAGATTAGTATAATAATTACTAAGACACGTACTTATCTACTATAAGATAATATAGCCTATCCTTTTTAAGCTATTCTATTCCTTCTCTCTTAAGCTTTATTACCTTACGATAAAAGCTTTTCTTACTCTAGCGCTATTTCTACTACTAAAGGTAGAACTCTTAGGCTATATTACCTTAGGCGTAGTTAGCGTTATACTAATCTTTATACTAATCTAATATAGAACTAGTATACCTAAACGTAGCTTTACTATACTTTAACTCTTTTTTTATTAATATTATTACTAATTTTGTTAACGCTTTTATTATTTAATTTTTTATCCTCTTACTATATCTCTTTATATTACGTAGTATTTTCTTTTTTAAAGTCGATATCTTCTTAAGTAAGATTTCTATTATCTTTAATAGTAAATTGTCTACTAATCTCGCTATAGCCTAGCTCTTAAGCTAAGGTCTTTTAGTCCTTTTCTATTTGTAATCTAATATTAATTAGTATAAAGATTAGTATAAAATACCTTAGTATATAGAAGTTAAATATACTTTTATAGTAGAACTTAGTCTCTTATATCGTTAAGTATCTATTGTTTTTATATATTAGATATACTAATAAATCTAGATGTCTCTTTTACTTTCTTTCTAGTATATGTTATAGCCTCTTAGTTAGTAGCTTTTACTTTATTAATCTTTTTAACGACTTTATTATCTATGTCCTAGTACTTTTGTACCTTAATTATGTTTAGGTTTATTAAGAGCTCTTTTATAGCCTTACGCTTTAAGTTTCTATTATTACTGTTATCTATTATTACTATTATAGTTATTAAAATTTAACTATATTATTAATTAGTATAATAATTAGTATAGATTAATATATAAACTTATATCTACTATATGCCTTCTTATATCTATATTAAAGGAATTCTTTAAAAAGAGGAAAGCTATAGATTAATTAAAGGAATTCTTAGAAAAGAGAAAAGCTACGGATTAATTAAAAGAATTCTTTAAAAGGAGAGAGCTACAGATTAATTAAAAGAATTCTTTAAAAGAAGGAAAGCTACAGATTAATTAAAGGAATTCTTAGAAAGAAGGAAAGCTATAGATTAATTAAAAGAATTCTTTAAAAGAAGAGAGCTATAGATTAATTAAAAGAATTCTTTAAAAAGAGGTAAGCTACAGATTAATTAAAAGAATTCTTTAAAAGAAGAGAGCTATAGATTAATTAAAGAGTTCTTTAAAAGGTAAGCCGTAGATTAGGTCGTTGTTATTATTAATTAACTATATTAATAATTAGTATAATAATTAGTATAGATTAATACGTAAACTATACCTGTTGTTATTGTTATTATTATTATTATTATAGAGGTAAGGTAGTAGTAAAAGAGGTAAGGTAGTAAAAGTAAAACATGTTTAGTAAAATTAATTTACTTTTAAACTCTTTATTTAATATTTAGGCTATAAATTTACTTTTAGACTCTTTGTTTAATATTTAGGCTAATTTAATAGACTCTTAGTTCTTTAGACTCTTTGTTCTATATTTAGACTATTAAATAGTATAGGTATAAAATAAAGATAAAAAAAGAAAGAGAGAGAAGGGTTTAAAAGTAAATTAGTAATAAGTTTAAATAATACTTTAAAACTTTTTATATAATGTTTTATAATACTCTTTTACGCGATTAGTAGAAATATTAGTATACTAATTAAAATAAACAATAGATAGACGCGTTTAACGCGTCTTACTATTCTTATTCTTATTATATTATATATTATTATTATTATTGTTCTTACTACCTATGTCTACTATATGTAGAACCTCTATACTACATAAATCACGTGGTAAAACCGTACTAAAGCCGGGTAAAAACCTACGTGCTACTACTTACGTTTATACTATTATAGTACTACTAAGACACTAGGTCCTTATTACTACCCTACTAGAACTTAACCTTCTAGCCTAGTAATACTAAACATGCTAACAGGGCGCTAGTAAGGCGCTAGTAGGGCGCTAGCTACTAGCTAGGGCTACTCTCTCTCTTATAACTCCTTTACTAGATAGTACTTAACTAGACAGAACTATAGAAATCAGCTAGTAGATAGTAGCTAACGGATTAGTATATAAGCGCTCTTACCTTTCTCTATTACTACTATAAAGTCGTAGAACGTCTATAGCGCTCTTAAGTAGAGCGCTTACTATAAGGCCTACTACTATTAGTCTAGCTACTAGTAGTTAAGGACTAGGTAAGCTACTGTCTCTAGGGCCTTACTATAAGGGCACTAGAGGGTTACTACCTCTAGTACTCTATACTTAAAAAAGAAAGCCTATAGTCTAACTTTACTAGTATAGATCTATATTAAAAGAGAGCTCTTATACTTACAAAAGAGTAGGTACTTCTTAAGGACATTTACTAAAGAGACAGGTAGCGCGGCTAGGGCAGCGCCTTAGTAGTGTACTAGCGAGCTATCGTATTAAGACTATCGTGCCTTCTAGTTCCCTTATAAGGTCTCTTCTAAAGGGGAGTCCTTATACTAGTCCTTTGTTTATACAGCTTAGCCTACTCTATACTTAAGTAACGTATAAGGTAGTACTATAGTAGTACTATAGTAGCGTTTTTAGCGTTATTAAAGACAGGTCGCTACCTTATTATAGATAGACTATATAAGTTTGCCCTTACTTATATGTTTAAGACGTTATTTAAAGTCTGTTACTTACTTATTAAAGTAAAGGTTAAGTAAAGGCGTAGCTATTTTAGACTTAAGGAACTAGACAAAGGTCGTCTAGTACGCCCTTATAACAATATAGAAGTACTATAACTACTATATAGTAAGGTCCTTTACGATCTCCTTAGCTTACTACCTAAAAGGGTAGTACTAGACCCCTATACTATATACTATAGTACTCTAGATTACCTTTGTATAGATCTCTTTTACACGTAGTAGGCTATATCCTTATATAGATATAGTAAGCCTTATAAGTACAAACTACTAGGTAGCAAACTTTTGTTTAATAGTGTTAAGGTAGCCCTTTTATCTAAGCTTCTAATCTATCTAAACTCTTAAAAAGCAGGCCTCTTAGACTAGGAGTATAACCTAGCCGTTAAGGTAGACAGGCGTCGTTAGTATAGTATAAGTATAGGTAAGGTAAAGAAGCTTACTCTTTTTAAGGGCAAACTCTATCCTTCTTGTACGTGACTACTAGCTATATGTCTATTACGCCCTTTTAAGGTACTAGCGTGTCTCTATCGTGTCTCTACTAAAAGCTAAGAGATTAAGGTCGTTAGTAAACCCTACTATAATAAGGCTTATATATCTTTATAATAGCGTGTATAAGCTAGTAGTATAGAGAAAGAAGAGGATAAAAGAGAAGGGCGAGCCTTATAGTACCCTTATAGTAACTTCTTAAGGTAGCGCTACTTCTTTATTAAAGAAGAGACTAGCCGTCTAATTAGTAAGAAAGCTATATACCTACTATATAGCCTATATAAAGAACCTTAGGTATTAGAGAGTATAGAGAAGGCGTATATAGTTTACTATATTAAAGGCGCCTTTAATGTCTAGTTAGAAGAAGGACGCTATAGCCTTATAGCTTTACGCTATATATATAGTGTTAACTACTATTTTAACTATAAGGTCTATTAAGCGTTATAGCCGGTTTCTTATCTGTGTTTCTAAGAAGAGCCCTTACGACTTTATAGTGTTAGTAAAGTACTAGCTAATTACTAACTTAATTACTTTACTTATCGCGCTTAAGAGTAATATTAGCCTATAAGCCCTAGCGGTTTATTGTTATTTAAGGGTCTTTTTAGGCTTACGTAGTACTACTACTTTTACTACTTTAAACTACACTAGGACGTGCCTTAGCTAGAGGCTTGTAGTTACTACTACTATAAGGAGCTTAGCTAAAGGGCGCCTATATACCTTAAGAAAGCTAGTAGGTAGTAGGTTAGGTCTTAGCGCCTTTTAGGTACTTGTCTTTTAGAGAACGTTAGTAATGTCTGCCTTTATTATAGTGTCGTTAATAGTAAACTACTAGTACTACTTGTCCTAGAGGTCTAGAACGACGTTACTAAGATTAGCTACTAATTCTAAAAAGAACTACTAGCCTAACACTATTACTTTATTATAGTAGCTTATAGCTAGTGCCTCTTTATTAGTGCCTTAAAAAAGAGAGAGTAAGGCCGGTTCTAAGGGCATATAGCTATAGAGCCTAGCCTACCTTTTAAGACTCTAAAGTTTCTATTAGTCTTTTAAGGTAGTAGTAAGGGTACTATACTAGCTCTTAGTCTTTATATCTTAGATCGTCTAAAGTTAGTAGGTACTAGCCTACTAGAGGTCGTACTAGTAAAGTTTAGTTAGGGTAGTAGTATATTAATAGCGCGCTACCTGCGTTTACTAAACGGCCTTAAGGACCTTACTACTTTACTAAGGTTTAGTACGCCCTTAGCTAACCTTCTTTCTTAGGGTAGATAAGTCTATAATACGTATAAGCTAAGAGGTAAGTAAGTTAACTACCTTGTCGACCTTATAAGGTATGTCTAGTAGTTTAAAGAAAAAGTAGAGCCTTCTAGCCTTAATTACTACTAGCTCTTAGTCTATTAGGGTCTAGCTCTATCCTAGTACCTCTATAGCTCTCTTATAGCGATCCTCTACTTAAGTAATAACCTTAATTAGCTAGGTATAGTAGTTAGATCCCTTATACCCTAGGTTACCTTAGTAAGTATACTAAAGCGTTACTATAGCCTATACGTAATTAATCGTTAAGTCTTGTTCGTTATGTCTCTTTTAGGTTAGCTCCTTTTAGGGTATGTATAGTAAGAGCTACTACCTATAAGCTAGACAAAAGAGGGTCTCTAATTTAAGAGTAGTCTTACTAGCTCTATCCTAGAGTAAGTAGTAAAGGTTTATGTTACTTATAACAATCTATAGCCCCTCTAGGTCCTCTTTAGTAAGCTACTAGAAAGGGCTAGTCTAGCCTAAGAAGTTAAGAATTAGCAAGTATATTAACTAGATAGTAATACCTTATAGAGTAACGTAACACTAGTTAACGCTAGTCTCTACTACTTAAGTAAGAGGTAAGTACTACTTATAAACGTAGATAACTATACAGCCTTTACCCTTATAAACCCGCTAGTACTTTACTTATACTAAGTAGTAGACTATCTTTGTCTATTTATTATACTATAGCTCCTAGATTACTATAACGTTAGCTTTACGGCTATCGTAAAGTACTATTAAGGTAAGGCCGTTCCTTCTTATAGTGTTCTAGTATACTATTATTAATTTTATTACTAAGAGTCTAAGATCTATAAGTCTTACGTTATAAAGGGGTCGCTAGACCCTTAGTTAGTTCCCTAACTTAATATCTTTATAATATCGTAGCTCTAAACCGTTACTATATCTAGCGCCCTAATAAGAGGGCGCCTATACCTTACTAGAGTCCTTACTATAGGCTTCTTATTGTTACTTGTCTATAGTCTCTTAGGTACTACAACCTAGTAGCTATTATTACTATCTTATAAGATTACTAGTATAATACTAGGTACTCGGCTAGTAAAGCTACTCTTTAATACCTTAAACTATCTAGGTCTTTACTAATATACGGCATATACCTGCTTCTTTACCTTAAGGGCCTTAAGACACTAATAGTCTTACGCTACGTATAGTCTACTATAGTTAATACATCTCTTCTTACTATTAAGTTAAGGGTACTCTTCTTTACCTTAAGGGTACGCCGCTCTTATATAGTAGCTATACTAGGCCTGGTTCTTATAGAACTACCTAATATAGCTAAACTAGTAGTACTAGAAGTATCTTTAGATTTGTAAGTCGGCCGAATACAGCTTGTAGTTAAAGATCTAGGCTTACTAGATTAGCCCTTATTTATATAGGCACGTTACTACATTAGTACTTTAGAGGTATAGTACTATTGTTATAAACTTTACTATAAGGGCCTTAATAGGCTCGACTTTAACCTTTATAATATACGGCGTATAGGCTTAGATCTTTACTAGTAACGCTCCTAATTCTACCTGTATAACCTAGTCTACTAGTAGGCCCTTTATAATTACTACAAACTTACTCTTATAGAGCTAGGCTATAGGCCTAAACGCCCTTTATACTTAGCCCTAATCTTAGATTACAGTCTTTAGTATAGCCTCCTTAAAGGTAAGGATAGTATTACTACTAAGAAGCTAGTAGGTTACTACTACCTTAGTACCCTTAATTACTATATTAGCTACTATTACTACTTTAATAGTACTACAACGTGCTAGGTCTTCTGTCTGTCTATCTACTCTAATCCTTAGCTCTCTAATCTATCTCTCTAGTATTACTTATACTCTTGTTAGGCGTTAGCCTACTACTAACGTATACGTAGCCTAAAGAGCTACCGCTACTATTAGCCTTTAGAAGGCCTCTTTTAACATCGTTCTTAATTACCTAATCATTACTAGGTTGTCGTTAGAGAGGGTCTTAGAGGTACGTAAGAAGGTCTTTATATTTACTACCTTTAGCTCTACTACTACTATTGTCGTTATAATAAGGTCGTAAAGGAGGTATAACGCCTTATCCTTCTTGTCTAGTATTACGTAGGCTTTAATTCTTTATATAATTTTCTCTATCTTATTGTTCTTACTACCTTTACTACTCTCTAGCTCCTTACTACAGCTCTTAGTTAAGGTATAAGAGTACTAGCTCTTACCTGTAAGTAAGTAGTGTTAGCTCTGTTTAAGTCTAGCACACCTACTATCTGTTACTATAGGCTCGCCTATAGTCTACTAGTACTCTAAGAGGTATCTAAAGGTACTAATTTTAATTCTATCGTTTGTTTTTAAGTTTTTAGGGTAGTAAAGGGCGTAGACGACTGTCGTAAAATTTTATTATATTATATAGTATTATAGCGTTACTATTATTATAGTACTATAAGTAGAGTAGTTAGTTATAAAGTAAATTAATTTTACTAAAAATTTACTAAGCCTTTATTTTTATAATATATAAATAGACAACTCTTTACTACTTACTTACCTTTCTTTTATTAAGCTAACCTTAATTCGGTATATAGGCCCTCTCTTACCTCCTTATCCCTTATACCTCTTACTATACTAACTTTATTAGTCTTTTTATCTACTATTCGTTAATCGTAATTATAAAATAACGTAAAGTATAAAGCTAAAAGCTACTCTAACTATACTACTAAAAAGAGCTATAGTACGCCGTCTCTAATCTAGTAAAAGGCTCTCTAGACAGCCTAACTAACCTAACTAGCCTAACTAGCCAAATAGTCTAAACCCTTAGGCTAGAAGACAAAGATTTAAACTAGGTAGTAAGTTAATTAGTATAAAGATTAGTATAAAAACTCTACTAACAAATTTAATAGCTATAGTACTAAAAGAAATAAGAAAGTACTAAAAGACTACTAAACTATTAATACTATAGGCCCCTTTTATAAGGCTAGTAAAAGAGATTATAGTTTAGCTACGCCCTAAATTCTAAGTCTAGAGAAGCGTAATAAAAGCCTTATAAGAATCTATAGAGGCTATATTAACTACTAAGTTTTCTTATAAGTATTTAATCTATTATACTAATCTTTATACTAATTAAACAATATATAGTAACAAATCTTACTACTATCTATACTAAATAAGTTATAATTTAGTAAAAGGATATAAAGCTTGTATAGTCTATACGTAATAAAATTCTTAGGTATACTATACTAAGAGGTAAAAGGCTATAAGGCTAAATTCTAAATAGAGTAGTAATAAGATTATAAGTTATAAGGTACGATTCTATTATATATTTTCTATAAATTCCTAAATGTAATCTATTAAATAACGCCTTATAAAGTAATTAGTATAAAGATTAGTATAAACTATAATTATTATACTACTACGTAATATTATTAAGGCTTAAATCACGTGTTAGGGTCTTAGTAACCTATAGGTTAGGTCATAGGTTAGGGCCTACCTACTAGTCTAAACCTACCCTATAGGTTAGATCCCTATAGGTTAGGTCCTACCTATAGAAACCCAACCTATGGGGACCCATTGCGCAGCCTAATTATTTCACACCTAGCTTGGAACATTGAAGCTGATGGAGACTGATCCGTGGCTCACAGATACTGGCCAGAGTCCCTATAACCCGGAGCTCATGACACTATCTTCGAATGCGACACTGTGCACCGCGATGTTACACGGAAAATAGTGTGGATCCAGTTTTGATGACGCGTGAAGACCAGTAATGATAATCATGGCAGGCTGATATGCATGTCAGATTGGGGTAGATATTACCCTCCTCTTTACCCGGTGGGGCCATCATCTATGGTATAAAGCTGCGGGACCTGTCATAATCCAGTGTTATTCGACTTCCCATTCAATACCACAGCCTAGCAACCCCTCCGCCTTCCAAGACTCGACAGTCAGAGAATCAATTGTGCCGTTGACGAGCGACAACAGACAACTCACTTCAGTTTCTCCAAGCATGCGGGCCCTCCGTTACTACGGACCTGGAGATATCCGTTTGGAACACGGCGTTCCGGAGCCTGTATGTGACGCCCACCAAGTGAAGATCCGGCCAAACTTTTGTGGAATCTGCGGCTCCGATCTACACGCGTACCATTCGCCCGACGTTCTTCCTTTCAAAGATACGCCCCATCCCATAACCGGCGAGACATGGCCCATAACCCTCGGGCATGAGTTTTCTGGCGACGTCGTGGAGATTGGAGCACGAGCACAGGTACCAAACGGCCTTCAGGTTGGGGATAGAGTTGCCGTCCAACCTACCATTTGCTGCAACCAATGCATTCCATGCAAAGAGGGATTGACTAATTGTTGCGACTCCTTCGGATTTGTGGGACTCATGGGCTGGGGTGGTGGGTTATCAGACTATGTGTGCGTGGATGCGAGATTTGTCTTCAAACTGCCCGAGACCATCCCATCAGATATCGGAGGTAAGGAACTCAGAAAGCACAGATCATACGAAGAAACATGCTGAGAGAAGCTGGCATAGCTTTGATCGAACCGCTTGCGGTCGCGTGGCATGCCATTGAACAGTCAGCTGCCAAAGCTGGAGATAACATCCTGATCATGGGCGCTGGCCCAATTGGCTTGGCTATTCTTCAATGCCTCAAGACTCGCAAACCAGCGCAGCTGATCGTGGCTGAAGTCGCCTCAAATCGAAGAGAATTGGCCCGACAATTTGGAGCTACGGCGGTTATCAACCCGCAGGAGGAAGATGTGATCTCCAAGTGCAAGCTACTATGCAATGGACAAGGGCCCGAAATTGCCTTTGACTGCGCTGGTGTGGCTGCCAGTATCAAGTCTGCGTGTTTATCAGTCCGAAGCAGGGGGACGGTGGTGAATGTTGCCAAGTGGGATACGGAGATACCCTTTGATATGAACGACCTTTTATTCGGGGAAAAGAGGCTCTTGTCAGGTAAGTTCCTTGCTCGAAAAACTTCAGAACGCATTTGAGCCATACTGACCTATTCTGAGCTCTGAGTTACACTACGACGGATTTCGAGCGTGTCATTGACGCGCTGGGTAGCGGGTCCATGAATGTGGAAGGGATGATCACACGTAAAATCACAATAGATAAAGTTGTTGAGGATGGCATTCTCGCGCTACTACACCAGAAAGAAAGAGACATCAAAATACTTGTAGATGTCAGAAAGTGACAGCGTGGCGAAAGTATCAATGCAGCACACGGGGAATCCCCTGACTTTGGGCGCCCCAATATATAGATCAATGAGGAAAACATATGAATCACCTACTGTATAAGTTGTCCCTGCGGTCAGGCATCGGGTGTAATATCCAACTCCAAACGGTCAAATGCAAGGTTAAAATCATTGAAGACTTTCTATACAGTTCACTAGAACCGAAAATACAACACGCTGAACGAAAACGCCCTCTGCGTCGATGATTCTGCGGAGGCGCCGCCCTTCCGTTATTAATAGGCTCTAGCTAAATCGCTTATTTATCCGACATCTCGCTTACTTATCCGATATCTCGCTTATCTATCTACCTATCCACTCGATTCCTTCCAACTTCGATCGCCTTCATTCTTATCCTTAAGAATAGATGTCCCCCTCACGAGATGATGAGGAATCGTGCTCCTCCACTCGTTTCCTTCTGCCAGGTGTCGGTGATACCGAAGACCTGGAGAGATATGAACGCGGGGGGCTCCATCCGGTCCACCTTGGAGATCGATATGATGACGGCCGCTATAAAGTCATCCACAAGCTCGGCGCTGGCGGGTTTTCTACCGTTTGGCTTGCGCAAGACCTCATGCAGCAGAAGTGGGTGGCCCTGAAAATCGTTCTTGCCGATGAATCGCCATCAGTGGAAACCAAGACCATCCTAAGTCACCGTGTAGCTTCGCAATGCAGTAGTGACGCGGTGTTTGTCACGTACGCTCGGTACTTTCATATCGATGGTCCGAATGGTCGCCACCTATGTTTGGTTCTCCCGGTTTTAGGTCCTTCGGCCTCCAGGTTATCCCATTACATGGGTAGCAGAATCGAACCCTGGCTGGCACGCCGTGCGGGTTACCAAACAGCGAGAGCATTGGCTGATCTGCACGCTCAGAACTTATGTCACGGGGGTAAGGAACCAATTTAACTCAGACTTATCTACTTTCCTTGGTTTCCCGCTAACATCCTTCAGACCTAACAACAGCCAACATTATGTTTCGAGTGGTGGAATTTGATCGCTATACTGAGGATGACATATACCGTCTCTTCGGCAAACCGGAGACAGGACCACTGGAAACGGAGTCAGGAGAAACTCCAGGTGCAGAGGCTCCACGATACATCGTGAAGTCACTCGACTTTCTCTCCTCCGAAACCGATATTATCAGTAACGACATTAGTCTTATCGACTTCGACCAAGCATTCCTCATTTCGTCACCCCCAGGAAAAATGCTAGCTACACCAATGGAGTTCCTCGCTCCTGAGGTGGCCGTCGGCCGGCCAGCCAGCCCGGCGAGTGACGTCTGGGCTCTGGGCTGCTCTATTGTCCGGCTTAGAGATGGAGAAGGCCTGTTCTCAGCCTATGATATTACCTCGCCAGCGGATTTGATGCGGGGTATTATTCAGGCTCTCGGGGACATGCCAGCTTCTTGGGAGGATACGCTGTTCGATTCAGACGGACAGCCAACCAAAGATCCGGCAAAAGGTAAACCTGTCTGGAAGTTTACGGACAAACGGCCGATCAAAGAACGGGTTTACAGGATATGGGACAACCCGAGCAGTAGGGCTAGCAAGTCAACGAAAGCTCTGGCAGTGAGTCAAGGGGAGAAGGTGGACCAGGTCTTGGACTGGGAAAGCCACAAGCCTTACCCTCGTTGCTTTTTGCACAAGTTCTGGAAGCCCACAGCTATTAAAGTAGGGGATGTATATCTGCCTGGTAATGACGATGAGTCCGATAACCTCTTAGAGGCGTTGCCTAAGATTCCGGAGGACGAGGCAGCCTTGCTGTACGACCTCCTGTCTAAGATCTTTGTTTATGAGCCCAGCGAGCGGGTAAGCGTAGAGAAATTACTTGATCATCCTTGGTTCCATATGGATGATTAGATTTGAGGGAGTCTCTCGGCTTCATATGCTCGAAACAGAGATGATCCTCGTCAAAATCAGGCAAGTTGGCAGCCTTACCTCTGGGCAGTCGTTCCTTGAACTGGTAGGGTCCCTGTTATATAAGGTGGGTAATCAGGAATTAATTAGTAATTAGGGGAACGGGATCCGTTATCCCGGTAGGTAATCCCCTAGCTCGACATATAAGCATCAGCTTTGACTGTAAAGACACTCTGTGCCTCGTCTCGTTGAATATAGAGAAGCTTTCAGCGAGGCTGAGCAGCTAAACAGAGATAAGGCTGTGGGCCTCTTCCTTGGAGATGCGAGGCTACCACCTTACCTTACCTTATTAGGCATAGGTAATTTCATGACTAAGGTGTCACATCACGTGCTCATGTTATTGCTTTAAACTTCACAACGTACAGACTAGACTATTCGCAAGCAAATGGTCTACAGCATGACGAGAGCGATGTTTTGAGGTCAAGGCAGCTCTTGAGACATTGAATGAGCCTCTGCCAGGAATACTTGGATGGATGCTGACTGGTTAGTAGCTGGTACGGATCTGTATGCATACGCGACGATCGAGCGGGAGTGACATCATGCCTTTTGTACAGGTCCCAGAGCTTGGCCATCATCCAAGGCCTAGGTGAGAAGATGGCCAGCCCATCTGTCCACGACATTGTTTTTTCCCTTCTTTTCTTTATTCGTCGTTTTTGGGCAACATCTTTTCTCTATTCGTATATCCTACAAACCAATTCAGAACAATTGCAGACGCCGACATCTGTTTGGAAGTCTCCCATCTCGTCCGTCGAAGTCGATTTAGCCTGCTTGTTCAGCAGTGCGATCGACCCATTCGCAGCCCAAAAGAGCCCGCTCTTGAGAAGCTCGAGAATATACCGGGTCTTTCAATATGTCAAACGAACACAAGAAAGGCCCTGGCGGTCATTATTCGGGGGCCAACCCCATCCCGAATATACAAAGATTCATTCATAGTTTAGATGTCGATAAAAAGGAACGAGATGCCAAGATACAGGCGCAGATGGACGCCGGAAAGGGGCCCCAAAATGGAGTTCGGGATCACAAACCAGGCCAGCCGGCTGGTGTAGTAGGTACCAGAAAATCTGTCACAGATCCTACAACGGGCCGGCAAGTCGAGATTGAAGATGTCAATGCAGATTTCATGAAGGCTGCCGACGACCCACAAGTAAGCCTGCAATTCGACTTGTACTGAAAGCATACTGATCTTTTTGTAGTTATCTGTACCCAACGCGAACCTCGGAAAGGATACCCCCATAAAGACCGATCCCAAGCAATCTCTCGAAGAATACAGGAAGAATCAAGATGTCACTGCACCTCCCGAACCCGTAGAACCTGGCACTACCTCAGATGTACCTATCCATGGGGAAAAGACAAACATTCTCTTTCATCCCACACCATCTATAAGCTTTGAGCCTATGTTTGAAGCTCTGGAGACGAGGTCTACAGTACTTTGTGCAGGTATATTTATAGCCATAGTGGTCCTGGGCAAGATGTTTGGTGGTGCACTTTATGGATTGGTACCTTTGGGGGCGTGCATTTCTTCCGGTGTATATCTATGGATGAAGGAGGTTGTTCGCTCTGGCCGTACGCTAGAATGGTCCAGTGAGCAGAAACGTGGAGAGATGGTGGGTTATACTTGGAAATATTGTTAAATCCAGAGCTGACGTAGAGACAGGCAACTGCAAACCTCATACCTGAATCCGTCGAGTGGATGAATACCCTATTGGGGATTATGTGGGGGCTGATCAATCCCGATCTTTTTGCTTCAGTGGCAGACACTCTGGAGGATGTCATGCAGGCTTCAGTCCCTGGCATTATCGAGAACGTCCGAGTTGCTGAGATTAATCAAGGCAGTAACCCATTCCGGATACTAAGCTTGCGTGCTCTGCCAGATAAACATGTTCAGGAGTTGAAAGACGACATCCACAGGCAGAACCAGGAGAAAAAGGATCCCCAAGAGTTAGCAGCAGATGAGGAAGGCGGGGATTATTACAATCTGGAGTGCTCATTTGCTTATCACGCTGCGCCGTCTAGCGGCGGTGCTTCTTCAAAAGCAAAGAATATGCACATGCAGCTGGTCTTTTACCTGGGTGTAAAGGGACTTTTTGGAGGTAAGTGGCTCTCACTTTCATATCCCGCCTGAGTAAGAGGGAAGCTCTTTCCGCTATTCATTCACATATGCTTCTTCTGTCCCACAGCCGTCCGGCACGACGCCCATAGCTAACGCTCCTGAAGTTCCGCTTCCCATATTCGCCGAACTTCATGGCTTTGTTGGAACTATCCGATTGCGCCTTCAGATGTCTCCAGAACCTCCTTTCCTAAAATCTCTCACGTTCACCCTCATGGGCCTACCGAAGATCCAAGCAGGCTGCGTACCAATGTTTGATACTGGTGTAAATATTCTAAACCTTCCCCTCATCTCAAACTTCGTCAACTACGCTATTGGTAGGTATTCATCATGATTGTAATCCATTTCGAACCTTGTACTAATAGTATATTCTAGGTGCTGCCGCCAATGAATATGTAGCCCCCAAGTCAATGACCCTTGATGTGAGCAAAATGCTTCAGGGTGACGATATTCAAAAGGAGGTGGAAGCTCTTGGTATTCTATGGATTAGAATCCACAAAGCTACTGGCCTCAGCAAGCAAGATCGTCGTGGAAGTGACGGTGGTGGCAGCGACCCATATATCACAGTCAGCTTCTCTAAATACGGAAAGCCAATGTACTGTACCAGAGTCATTGAAGACAACCTCAACCCGGTGTGGGAAGAAACTTGCGCTCTATTGGTCACCCCAGGTCTCATCAAGGCGGACGAGCAGCTTTCTATGGAGCTTTGGGACTCTGACCGGTCGACCTCGGATGATATAGTTGGGAAGGTCGAACTTTCAATGCAGAAGATGATTCAACACCCCGGCAAGATGTACCCCCAGGTTTCGAAACTTGCCGGCATGGATGAAGGCAGCAGCATGCCTGGCGAGCTTCATTGGGAGGTCGGTTACTTTGGAAAACCTCAGTTTCGGCCAGCCCTTCGAAGTGACGGGAGGGATGTCAACCTGCTTCCTGAACTTAGGGATAGGAAAGAATTACAAGATGAGGTAGGAACTCTGAGCAATGCGGAAGAGGATGCTGTCGAGCATACTCCACCGGACCCACTGTGGCCGAGCGGCATTTGCAGTGTTATCGTTCATCAGATTGTCAACCTGGAGCTTGAAAACATCAAGGGAAGCAATGGCAACCGTAAGGGTAGAGAATTCGAACCAGCTCAGGAGGCTGGCGAGAATAAGGAGGAGCAAAACAAGAAGCTACCCACAAGTTACTGTACTATCTTGTATAACGATGAATTGGTAAGTCCCGTCGCTCGTCTCGGTTTGCATATTCAATTTAATCAGGGCGTGTTCCTGCTCTTGTATCCCTGCATTCTCCATGTTGTCATTTGTCAATAATTGCATATCAGATAGGATTGTTAACCATATGTAGGTCTATCGCACACGTTCGAAAGCTGTCAGCAGCAAGCCCATCTTCAATGCTGGTACTGAGCGTTTTATACGAGATTGGCGATCATGTATCGTTACTGTCACCGTTCGGGACCAACGCATGAGGCAACACGATCCTATCCTTGGGGTCGTTCCTTTGAAGCTATCCGATATCCTCCAATCGAGTTCACAAGTCACGAGATGGTATCCTCTCGATGGTGGGATCGGATTTGGCCGTATCAGAATCTCTCTGTTATTTCGAAGCGTTGAAACACGTCTGCCGCCACAACAACTAGGTTGGGACGTTGGTACATTCGAATTCACTTGCGAAGATATAGTTGCTACTGGCTATCACACTGTTAGCAAGCTCAAGATGAGAACCGGTGGTAGTACTGCTAAAATTCCCCGAACTCAATGCAGGAAACTGGACCAAGGGGATGGGGTCTCTTGGGGTGTTACGAAGAGGGATGGGAAACGCAAGGTGCGACTGCCAGTTCGATATCGATACCGATCTCCCATCATTTTTGAATTCCACTCGGCCATTAAACGCCATGCTGATGCTTATGCTATTATCTGGCTTCATCACCTTGAGGATAACAAAGAGGAGGATATCAATATTCCGATATGGAAGACGGATAATGGTATGCGACTAACTCAGAACTATATCACGGAGGAGAACTATAAAAGCATTCCGGATATCAACATTGAAGAAGTTGGCCGTTTACAGTTCCGTGGACGATTCAAAGCTGGCACAGACGAGGATCACGCTCGCTTTGTTTCTGACAATGATTCGCGCGAGACGCAAGAGACGTGGGAGGCCTGCAACTCCGAAGGTGTCAGAGATCGTGTCGTTACGAATGAACTACCGCCCGTCATCAAAAGTCTGCACGAGCAGTCTCTTACCCAGGGTCGTGATGTTCTTGCTCAAGCGGACGAAAGCGAGAAGCAAAAATGGCTGGCCAAGGATGGTACGGACTGGAGTGGCGCCTTCGGTGAAGATCCAGCTCAGTATGTTCCTCGGAAGAGCAAGTACTACCATGCTAATTCTGGTAGTACCGCTGGGAAGCAAAAGGAAGGTCACCTCAATGAAGAAGACACAGGCGAGAGGGGCGATCACACTGGAGAGCATCATGACGATTCGGACTCAGACACGGACTCGGACTCAGATGAAGACGATCTCGGTATACGCGACGCTTTGAGTCCTCCTGATGAAGCGCGAGGCGAGCAGCAGGGCCAAGACGAAGACGAAGACGCCAACGCGCAGTCTGGATCATCTCACGCCAAGAACCCGATCAAGCAGCTTAAGGCTTATAAGGAAAGTAGCAAGGGCCTACATCGAAAGCAACGGGGTCTGATGCAGTGGAAACCTATGAGGAACCTGCAGTTTGCCAAGGACGAGGCTAAATTCGCCGTGAAAAAAGTGAAAAACAGGGCAAGTCTGCATGGCAGACAGCCAGATGTGGAGACGGAAGCTTGATAAATGGCTGTCCACTGTACTACTAGTACTCTTTTTTTTTGGATTATATTGGAATGTGTTAATGGCTGGGACCATATATGATGGATGGAACCTGTGATTTTACGATTGTTTGAGAAAACGCTATTAACAATATGAGTTAGTTGTCACGAATACACCTCTTTATAAACCTGAACATATTTTGTCGCATATATCTCTATGCCGAGACCAAGAAGATGCTCATCCCCTCGAAATTCCGGGTTAATTGAAGTTCTTAGGACGCCTACTTCAATGTATAAAGTCCAAGAGACATCTACCTTCTTGGGTGGGCATTGATGATGATGATATTAATTTACGTCCATTGCCGGCACAAAGGAAAGATTTTCATTTGAGAGGACGGCATTTCAATATTTCTTTTTATAAATAAAAGACATCCCTCCACATATACTCGAGGAGGATATACTCGCATATGACCACAAATCAAAAGCACGAAAGAAACCATCGCTATCTATAAGCACCAGGGTATCCCACAACCAACTCCCTCTATTAAGGTCAATTGCCATCATCATCCAACGCCTCAACGCCTCAACGACCACTGTACTGATTTTCTTGCGAGGAAAGGAACCTGTCTCTGGACATCTGTGATTCTTCATCGTACGGCATACTCTCCAGCTTGATATCCCGCGCCGCTTTCGACTTGCGGAACGAGAAAGTCGCCTGGTGCCACACTCCCTGGAAGCAAACGGCCGGGTGCAAGAAAGTCAAGCAGAAACAAGCGATGATGATCATGAGGCCTTCCATGACCATGAACACTGCCTCGTCATTGACAAAAAGCGTGCCGTTGAAACCGCCCGAGAGCTCGATGCATCGGTAGATGCATCGCGCCAAGATGGTGACGGTGGCGATGACGAGTCCGACGAGGAAGCTTTTGAAGAGGCGTGTCTCGACAAGACTCACGTACCGTGGGTTCCATGTTCCTCTATGCGTCCAGACTCTGTACGCGAACTCGCTCCCCAGGACGCAGAACAGAAGCAGGGAGAAGACCTGGAAGGCCAGACCCGCCAACATGATGTTCTTGCCAAGATCTGAATCCGAGTGGGTGTTCGCGGTCGAGGCAATGGCACCTCCCACTGCCTGGAGGACGAGACTAATCAAGTCGCATGTGCAGAAGACAAATGTGTACGTGCGGGGCGAGAGACGCGAAAGGTGTGTGCCATAGACGATCACGATTCTGGCGAGGCAGAGGTAGATGGCAGCACTCAACAGCGCCGGGGCGATAGTAAGTGTGACGAGGTACATGAGGAAGTCGTTGTTGTCGAATGGAGAGCTGTGAAGTAAGATCCGACCAATGTAGCCAATGATCTCAAGAAGCTATTGAGATGGGTTAGTAAAGAGCGGCGAGCGCAGATAATACGGCTTTTGGATAAGTACCAGTCCCAGAATCATAGCCGTCATATAACCCCAGATCTTATGCTTGATGCCCAAGTAGAGTTGTCCGACTAAGAAAACACCGAAGATGGCAGTGTACAAGGCATTCCCAGCGAGTGTTGGAATGTACAGGAAGCTTGCCATGGACAAGTCGCAAGTTTGCAGGGTACAGAGCTCGGGATTCTCAAGCAGAGTAGCATTGCCATAGCCAGTGCCATTGCCATTATTATGAGTGAGGTTGGACATGGTGAGAAGAACAGAGAAGAAGCTGGGGATTCAGGGGCGGAAGCGAAAGGTAGATAGACTTGAGAAGAAACGGACGATAATGACAAAAAAGGGGCAGGCTTACGATGATGAGGAAATCAACTTAACTTATATATTCTCCATAGATGCTCACGGAGAAGCGGCGCAGCATTTTGTTGGTATTGCGTGTTGGAGAAGCAGTTGGACGGGGAATCGGTGCAAAACATGGCGATGGCCATACGCGGCGTTGGAGCTGGGGTTCGTATTAACGTATAACGGGGCTGAGATGGGTTAGTCAGCAGCCTTTGCGGGAAACAATTGGTCGTCTCGTGACCGGCCGCTTGACGGTCAGACGGGACGGGGATTCTGCTGGCAATTCGACTGCCAACTTGTACGTACAGACGTCCCCGGCGTATGTGAGAAATGTAAGACGGGAAATAATAAGAGAGAAAGAAGGGAGATCATCACACTGCCTCCCCGCAATCTGCGGAACCACGTCGACTGTCAACTCGGAGAAGAGCTTCTTGCCCCATGGTTGTCAAAAGAGGGCAGAGATCTGAAGAGACGGCAAGTAACTTGACTTGGCTCCTTGACGATTGGACAAGGACCCAGGTACTAGGGAGACTACCTAGGACCCTTGGGCACAGCGCTTAACACTCTGATGGCTGGCGTTGACTGTGGTTGGAATAGGCCCAGGGCCAGGACAACAAGAAAACATTTCAGGTCTGGAACGACAGGGCCTTGCCTGTCGATCGCTGCATGTTGGAGTGACGAACAAACAGTGCGGTTGTGGCTGTACTGTGTATTTATAACTTTATAACTTTATAACTTTATATTGTTGTTCCCTTTTGTCCCTTTTGTAACTGATTTACACATTAAAGTGTTCAGCCTCATTCGGATGGCCCGTGCGCCGCGTTCGGGTTCGCGTTCAACTCGCTTCTTGTTTCTCAGTTCTCAGCCTGGCAGAAGGACAGTTATGTATCTTCACCTCTTTTCAAGGGCAACAACGCCACAACTCTCCTCGCAAAGCAAGTGAGAAGTCGAACCCACGAGGTCTCGAGCACCTCTTCTCGCAATGGCAGAGACATCGACACCAACCCCACCTCCATCCTCCGGCCCCAGCACTCCCCCCTCAAGTGCAGCCGAGCAGGCAAGAATCCGCAAGGAACGCCGCGAAGCCAAGATTCGCGCCGGAGGCTCTGCCCGCCTGAACAAGATCACCGGTCTAGGTGGTGGAATCCAACGAGGTATCCCATTCCATCCCAGGCTACGACCGCTCTGCGTACAAGGCGCCCCGGACTGACATCTCCTCAGATCCACCACCACAGCCCACAGCCTCCACCGCGCACGCCGACCCCGAAGAGGTAGACATCTCCCAACACTACTACGAGCCCAGCAAGACCGCGCGGTCCCGCAACAATGCCGCTCCCGCTCCCGCGCCGCCGCAGCAGCAACAGCTCAACGACCAACAGCTCCGCCAGATGATGCTCGGTTTTGACCCAGCGTCCACGCCAACCCCGGCATCCAACCCCTTTGCCGGCCCGGGCATGGCGGCAGCAGGAGCAGGAGCAGGAGCCGAGGACCCTATGATGAAGATGCTGCAGCAGATGCTGGGCGGGGCGGCTGGCGGGGGTGCGGACGGCATGCCTGCGTTCGCTGGGATGCCGAACGCGGCCGGCCCGACGACGACGACGACGGCAACAGCAGCGGATCCGTACGCCTACCTATGGCGCATCATCCACGCGGTATTTGCTCTGGGGTTCGGGCTGTACATCGCGTTCACGACGCAGTTCACGGGGTCGCGGGCCGACAGGGAATCATCGTCTGGGCTGGCGGCGGCGTACATATCTGAAGATGGGACTGGCCGTTCGGGGGTGACGCCCGCGTCGGTGCATTTCTTCTGGGTGTTCGCTACGGCGGAGGTGCTGCTGCAGACGAGCAGGTTCTTCGTGGAGAAGGGGCGGGTGCAATCGAATGGTATGCTAGGCATGGTTGCGGGGTTCTTGCCGGAGCCGTATAAGGGCTATGTGGCACTGGTGATGAGGTACTCGAGGATTTGGACCACTATAAGCGCTGATGCTATGGCTTTGGTTTTTGTATTGGGCGTTTGTGCCTGGTGGAGAGGTACTTGATTGATTCCCCTCCTCGCCGGCTACATAAAGATAATATAATCGTCCACTACTACCCACCCCTTTGCTATTCCAATATGTGACATTGTGTACTTTGTGCTGTGAGACCTCAAACACCCGGAAGTAGACCGAATTGGAATATGTTACCAGTTCCCATCTTAAACCCATCCTTTCTTTCGCGCGCCTTTCATCAATACCTAGCACACACAGCCTCAGGATATACCTTACCTTAAATCAACATCCATCCATCCATCCATCCATCCATCCATTCCCCATAACGCATAACCCAGAATCAATCTCAAAAACAGCAGATCTCATATCATATCATATCCACAGATATGGCGCCCAGAGACTATCCTTACCAACTCTAGAAACCAACCGAGAAGGGACCTGGATTATCGGGTTTCTTTCTTTCTTTCTTTCTGGGTGACTATGATGGTTTGATGGGATAGATACAGACTTTCTAAGAGAACTTGTGGTATATAACTCTCTCTTTCAAGAAGACATATGGGGTAGTTGTTTTCAACTACAATAGGCACTTACAAGTGAGGCAAGAACTGCCAGCCGCTTACAATGAGGGCAAGAAGATTGTTGTCTAAAGCCTCTGGTGCAGTTCTTATATGTGCCAAGTCATCACAAATGCCTACAGACAGACGTGATTGAGCAGAGATTTCAAATGCCTATACACACAGACGTGATTGAGCAGAGTGTTTGGGACTCCGAAATCAATTCATGATTTTTGACTAATGATTTTGATCTTGCATGCTGACCTCAAAATCATCAATATGTACAAGCTATGATTTCGCTTTCGTCAAGTAAACGCCATGCGCGAACTGAAAAAAATTATGCACACGTCTAGCAGTGTCCGGTCAAATCGACCACAGATCTTTGTAGAATCCCCTTTTAGACTTTTGGTAGCCAGAAATGCCAAATGAAAACCCCCTAGATACTACCAAACTTTGATGCGATGGAAGATATGAAACTATCCATATCGTTTTATTCCCTTATGCTGCGACACCGTTTCTGAGCTTCTTGGCCACGGGGGCATCGACAGCTGCATCCGGCTGTCTCTTCTCGGGTATCGCACTCTCCTTCTCCTTCTTGGCAAACAATGCCCTTTCCTCGTCAGTCATGTTGGGCAGAAGATCGACATCCTGTCCCGACTTGATGCTGCGGTGGAAAGCACGGATGATGGAGTCGGCATCATCAACAGCAATTGGGCGAATGTCGGCCAGGGACTTGATCTTGGCAGTACATTCCTTGTATTGTTCATCGGTCATCTCGATGTTCAACTGTGCAGCTCTTGACTTGATAGCATTCCATCCAGTCAAACGAGATGCGAAGTGGACGTATCGGGACATTCCGAAATCAGCAGGGTTGATGATTTCGTATGTGGATGGGTTGTTGAGGATGGCCTTGGCGTGGATACCGCCTCGGCAGAATTCCATACATCACCTTATGGGGAGTATGGGGAGTATGAGGAGAGAGGCTTGTACTTACTTGAATACGAGTCGCTGGAAACTCAGCAGCTCTGAGCTTGGTGTTCTATAGAGGCCCTCGATATGAAGAAAGAAGAAAGAAGAAGACTCAGAAAAGATAAAGTATTGCGGTTGGTATCTTTCGTGGTTGATAGAGTGTTTGAAGACTGTTCAAGAATCAAGATATCGCCTGCTTATACAGTTCTAACGCAAAAGTTCTCGTCTATTTTAACCGGGACCCCGTACCTTAGCAGTACCCCCTATATTAATTAATACATAACTGTCCTAGTTTACATAGTAATTCCAATACAAATACAGACAATTTAACATAAGAAACAGGGCTATTTTCTGCCCTTAAAAAATCAACAGGTCGGCTAGAATTAAGTCTAATATTTAGTGTACTACCCGTTAGCCGCGATACAGGCCTAGATCCTACTCCTTATACTCCCGAGTAGCGCGTTAAACAGACTCTAATCTAGAGTATCCTAGGCAGCCTATAAACAGCTTTCGAGACGCTATCTAGTATATTCTGACTCTATTTTGTCTACTACGACGTCCGGAAATATCTTATAGACCCGGACTTTAAGCTACTACTAGACGTGTTCGATCAGGTTTAGATTAGGCGAATAAGGAGGCTAATCTGTTAACATAAGGATCTTATAGTCCGTAAACCACTCTTGTACCTTACGTGCCGTATGTATTAGAGCGTTATCTTACATGAATTCGTATCCTAGCTTAAGGGTTTAAAAGATAGGGGCTACCTCTACCTCTAGAACCTCTAAATAAGACTCTACCGAATACCTATGTTTTGTAGCCTCGAAATCGCGATCTATAATATAGAGGTTTGATCTCCTAGTATCCTAAAAGCAAGCCTAGACTATAACCTTTATATTCTTCTTCGTACCGTATGTTTAGACTATCGAGCGTTACTATTTCTAAGCCGGCGTACAAAAGCACTATTCGTCTCGATTACCCTACCCCCGCTCTATAGAATACTCGTTACTCTAAACTACTATTCCCTACTCCTTGTTCGTCTAGACTTCGTGTTTTTTACACTAGGTAAGCCGAGTAGCCGCTATTTTTAGTATAAGAAAGGGACGGCGTTTAGCCTTCTAATTGTGTATCCTATACTTCTCGAGTAGCCGTTTGATCGTATCCTTTAAATAAGACAGAGAGTAAGCGTTAATGACTTTATAGTAAGTGTCTTTTAGGTTTAGATAGACGTAACAAAGTATTCGACGTTCTTTAACAGCTGTTATTAAGGAAGGACGGCTAGTACGAGGCTATAAGGCCCCTTTGACCTATAATCCGTCGAGTTGTAGAGTTGATTTGATAGTCGAAATAAGGATATTAAGCTACCTCGTGATGTTAGGGACTTTCGAACCTAATCTACTTATACTACAGATCTGTCTTCTTTAATAAGGACTAAGATCAGGCCTACGGTACGAGTTCCCTAATATCGAACCTAGGGGAGTACGTTGTAGTAGCATATTTGTGTTGTATGTGTAGAAGGGTAGAAGGGTAAAACGCGAAAAATCGCGCTTTACGTGATTTAGCCGAGAACTTTTGCGTGGTGACTGTACATTAAGCAGACAAGGCAGTATCTGTGATTCACAGTCAATACATTTGTTTGTAACAACACACCACGATTCACAAGACAAAAACTACATTAGTGAATCGCAGCAGAACGCACTACAATTCACAGAGCAAACTACATCTATGATTCATAGAACAGAATACATGTTTGTATCACAGAAGATAGTACAGTTCATAGAACAAAATATGTGTTTGTATTACAGAAGTAACTATATGTTTGTGCTTCACAGACTAATGCTTTGCCTGTGGCCTAAATCTAACACCTAGTAACAATTACAGAGTAGTATGTAGACAAATAAGCCTGCCTGTTTAAGTAATCAATAATTACTTATATGTGGATGAATTTCATTTTAGCATCCTCATTTTTGTGTCCCTTGCCCAAGTACCTTAAAGGGGGGCGCAGGGCCATTATGACAGTCCTGGGACGGTCAATTGACCAGCCAAATGTGTGACTATCCCTACTTTCTGAGCTTCTTAGAGCACTATCAATTGATCCATCCTAGTCTAGTATAATCCTCTAATAGTATGCTCAAAACAGAATTGACAGGACTTAATTATAACAGTTAATATCGAATTAACAGTCATATTAGAGATCTTGTCTATTTGCATATAGACAAGATTTCTAATAGGACAGTTATTAAGCAAGGATAGTCTTTCTTCGGGGACGGTCCTGGGATGGTCACAGGATGGCCACGGATACTAGTGATTAGTAAGCAAAAATAACCTATAGCCGACCGAGGCCGACCGAGCTTACAGTCAACTGCCCGCGCCCTCTCTGCCCCCCCCTCTATAGTAGCCCCCTCTATACCTGGTATACACCCCTACGCGTAAACTTTAGCTAAATCGATTGATTTTAATGCTTTTAAAATCTAAGTGTTGATTATTATAGAATAGGAGGGCTACCGAGTACGTAAGAACTCTAAAAACTTAAAAGTAAGCATAATAAAGATGTCAAAAAGGAAGGTATTCTATAAAGGAAGGAACGCCTATAGTACACGTGATTAGACCGTTCCTTATAGTTGATTATATTTAAATAAGGAATGATCCTTTTAAATAAGACAGTCAATTACTATAAGGACAGTCTGTTTAAAAGGATAGTCAATTTAGCGAGGATGGTCAACACTCGGGGATAGTCTAGGATAGTCACAGGATAGTCATTCTAAATAAAATAGTTTAAATAGAACGCTAAGCTTTTATATAGACAATAAATTTTTATGATTGTCAAATGATGATCAAGGTATGATCAAGGTATGATCAAGGTATGATCAATCTAGAGAGACTGCCATAGGACTGTCATAATGGCCCTGCGCCCCCCTTTAAGGTACAGTACGCGCAGAATTTCAAGCGAAACTTTTCTATTTACAGCAAGCTATCTGCATGTAGCAAATCAAGAAGAGGCAGAAGAAAATGAATGGCATCCGACTAAACAGCTACATCTGGAGTGGAATTCAATGGGGCCAGTAGTGTGTCCGAAATATCCTTTCCAAGCACGCGACTACGATGGAAAGCTCGGATAATAGAATCAGTATCATCAATGTTGATCTGAGGGAGAGCACATTAGCTTCTGTGATCATCTAGATATGTCAACTCTACATAGACTTACAGGTCTGATATCAGCAAGCTGCTTGATCTTGGCAGTGCACTCTTTGTACTGTTCATCTGTCATATCCATACCAAGCTGAATAGCTCTTGACTTGATGGCATTCCATCCAGTAATACGTGCTAAATCCCATATTAGCACTTCTATTAATCATGACAGAGCATCGGAAAGATATCAAAACATACATGCAAAGTGGATGTATCTTGTCATGCCAAAATCCGCCGGATTGATGATCTCGTACGTTGATGGGTTATTGAGAATAGCCTTCGAATGAATGCCGCTCTTATGTGTGAAGGCACAGAAGCCAGTGATGTAATTGTTAAACGGTATGTTGACTTCCACAGCTTGAGCAACAAGATCCTCAATATCCTTGAGCTTCTCAAGCTTGTACTTGCTCATGACATAGTCTCGGTCGGCAACAATCATACGTGCCATGAGACCACCAAGGGGGGTGATACCATTTCGCTCACCAATACCCAGCACTGAGGTATCGATGTGGGTCGCACCAGCCTCCAATGCACAGTAAGCATTTGCAATCGCACATCCGGTGTCGTTGTGGAAATGGGTCTCAATGTCACAGCTGACAACACCACGGAGGGTTCGGATCAAGTCGTAGACTTGTCGGGGGGTTGCGCAGCCAACAGTGTCAGCAATGCCGACTCGGTTGACACCAATCTTATCAACTGTAGAGTAGATTGAGAGGAGATCGACCAGGTTTGATCGGAAGGAGTCTTCGCTGGAGAATCGGATTTCGATGCCGTGTGACTTGACGTAGTTGATAACTTCGATTGCGGTGTTTGTGATGTAGGCCATGTCCTTGCCATGGGAGTGCTCCATGAGGTATGAAGAAGTGCCAATAACGACATCACTTGAGGAAAGAAATTTAGTAAAAGCAGTATCGGTGCTGAGGTTCGACTTACACTCCGTCAACACCGGTCTGGACTGCAATTCTTGCATCGTCCATGTGGCATCGGATGTGTGTGAGAATCTACTCATGTCAGCAACGTTTGAAAGATTAGGCGGTGAAGGATGGGGGCACCCACCTTTGCCTTCAAACCCAACTTGCAGATGGCCTCGCAATCAGCCCTTGATTGCTCGGATGCAGCTGGGGAAGTCAACTCGATCTGTACATTCTCAGTCAGCACCGATGCCCGAGCAATCGTCCCGTCTCTGACTCACATAGTCAACACCGAAATCATCCAGAGCCTTGGCGATCTCGATCTTCTTGGCGGTGTCAAAGAAAGCATTGGCGAACTGTTCGCCCTCTCGCAGAGTGCTCTCAATGATCTTGAAATTCGAGACGTTGCTCAAGAAGTCGCCGACGGGCTGGTATGGGTTTGAGCGGTGGTGGGGGTTTAACTTGGTCTCGAGACCGGTGAATCCAGGGTGGGCTGCAATCGAGTTAGTGATATCGATGCACGAGGAGAGAGGGCAGATTGAGGTTCAGTACCATCAGCTCCGTTGGCCTTGCCATTGGAGGTGCCATTGGAGGTGCCGTTGACATGGCCGTTGCCGTTGGCGACGGCCTCGGGTTCGCAGGACGGGCACATATTGGGGAGACGGTTGGGGGGGGTTCCAATCGATGGTGGATTGAGGGTTGAGACGGGAAAAGTTGAGATAAAGCAAGAAGCAGATGAGGACGACTGGTTGATGGGGTTGATGGGTTGAGGTGTGGAGGGGAGGGAGGGAAGATATGTAGATGTAGATGTGAGTGAGATGTGTGGAGAGAGAGAATTTTGGAGGGGAGGGGAGGGAGAAGTCCAGCTGGGCCTATGACTCTGCGTCTATCGACTGTGGGGATTTCTGCACTCTGCACAATAATGCCGGCCACCGGATTCGCTTGCTCAAGGAGGGGCATGGCGCACACACGGCGGGGCTAACCCGGAGCAGGGCGTCAAGCGAGGGGGGCAAAGCCAAAGAGGCTAAAGAGCAAAAAAAAGATCAAATCCGGCCAACGATACGCCGCCGATGATCGGAAGTACCTTGCCCATCTAGGTAAGAAGGGTAGGAATCACGTGCTACATGCTGACCTAAGATATTATATATCCCCCAGGGAGACGGGCTGCACACACAGATGTGATCGGCACGCGGAGAAAGAGGAGCCAAGGCCATCCTCAATTCTACCAACCCCCTGTGTTGTTCCATTGTTGTGTTCCATTGTTGTGTTCCATTCTCTCTTGTTTTTACATTACGAAACCTCATGTCTTGACACCATTTCCTTGCACCCATCATTCTTCTCTTTCCAATCAAGGCGTAACTTTGCTCATGCTCACTAACCGCTTCACGCCAACCTGCAGAACTGTTAGTGTGGTACGCAGAGAGTAGATGCCGCCGAACTTACCATCCAGTTGCCACACTCATCGGTCCTCTCGCGCTGGATATCCACCTGCAACCGGGACGCAACGTCGTAGTTCTTCGACTGCAATGCGTCCGCAAGCTCGCTGAGCCTCTGGATGGTGTCTGGCTTCACGAGCTCCTCGTTGTTCAAGTGGTCAAACAGAATGTTGAGTCGCTTTTGAGTGTCCTTGACCTGAGCGGCAAAGGAAGCGGGCGCTTTCGATGCGACTCGCTGCATATCATTGCTGAAGATTTCCACCATTCTTTGTGCTGAAGGCGGGATGTGAGATCGATCACCGGCCGGATGTCTGGGCTTTGGTGGAGGGGCGGCTGCTGCGGCTTTAGGGGGCGGGCCGCTTGGTGGTCGAGAACCCTGGGGCGGACCTTGAGGAGGTGGAGGAGGTCCTTGATTCTGGAAAGGGGCGGGTTGGCCCTGGCTGGGCTCGTATGACGGCTGGGGCGCATACTGGCTGTGAGGGGCGCTTGTAGGCGGCGCGTATGGATTAGCTGGTGGAGGTGGCCCTTGCGGCTGCTGAGGCGGCTGCGAGTACTGTTGCGATGCAGGTGCAGGAGCGTATCTGTTGGACGGTGGCGGGCCAGCTGGAGGAGCGTTATACGGCGACGGACCTCGAGGAATTGTTGGAGGTGGTGCGACATGGCCAAACTGCTGAGTTGGCGATGTGACTGGTGGACTGTAGGTATTAGCCGCGGATGATGGAGGTCTACCTGATTGCTGGAAGGATTGAGGGGGGCCGCCGGCTAATGGCGAAGTCATTCGAGGAGGAGCTGGTCCTTTTGGAGGAGGTGGAGGAGTGGGTGTCGCTCTAGGTCCACCAAACGGCGGTGCTGGTGGAGGCATCGACAAGTTGTTTTGGTTGGGGAAAGGAGAGGTCACTGGGGCGACGGGGGTACTTCTTCGTGCAGTCGGAGGCTTAGTCACCATCGGGGTGTCATTCCAATTAGACATATCTTTTGCTTTCGATGGAGGAGGTACTGAGGGTGTCGTATTTCTAGGAGGTGCCCCAAATGATGGAGGAGGAGCCCCGTAGCCGGATGTGGCACCGCCATAACCTGGACCTGCCCCATAAGCCCCGTAGCCCGTTTGCGGCTGTGGGGGTTGGTAGGCTTGTTGGGGTGTATATGCATTGGTTGGTGGGGCGTAAGGATTCGAAGCAGGCGTAGGTGCAGCTGGCATGAACTGGTTTGGAGGTTGACGTGCAGGAGAAGCAGCAGCAGGTGGTTGGTAACCAAGGGGCTGAACACGCGATGCAACTCGCCCGGTTGTTTGTTCTTGACGTGTAACTCCTGGTGCAACCTTTCTCGATGCAAGCTTCACTCTGTTGCGTGCAACATCAGCTGCAGGATAATGGTCGGGGAGTAGGTCGAGGTATCTTTCAGCAATCGACAGGTGACCGTGTGCTGCGACAATGTCTGCATACTCGGTGTACTTGTCATAAAGAGGAGCAAGCTTCCAACCGGAGGTCAAGCTCCGCTCGGTGTCCTGGAACTTCGTGACCTGTCGGAATACTGTAACTTTTTCGATGAAGTTTTGCAGTGAGCGTGCGTGAACTGAGAATGTTGAATCTCCGCTAAGATCTTCGATTCCAGCCTTTTCATTCTCCTTGAGTTCTGTAATCCAAATGGTGATGACTTTCTCAAGCTTTGACCCAACCAAATAACAGAAGGAGGCGTCTTTCAAAGACCCGTTCTCTATAATTCGATCCCCAAGTGCCTCACACAAATCAGGGAACTCAGCAGGATCGGCGTACGTGCACAACGTCGCCATTGCCTCTTTCCAGTTTGAGAGGTCTGCATTGTATACGACATCCCACAGGTTTTTGCCAATCACAGAGCTCAATAGACGGAGGTAATTAGGTCCTTTCGCCGTTCGTGAGAGATACTCGGACTGGGCCTTCTCCAACAACTCCTTGCCCCCGCAATTCGCAATAATAAGAGCATCGGCAATTCGGTCTTCTTTCAGGCAAATAGTCATGGCTTTTTCGAATTGGCCTAGCATCAATGCCTTGGTAATTTGTTTCTCTGAGGCTGAATCCGCATCAGAGAACAGGTGGAATGGGTTGTCAGTCTTGGCACCTTTCGTTGCTGTAAGGTTTGATAAGAAGTCCTCTCCTTCCCCGCCATCTGCGAAGATGGTAGATAACCGACTATTCTTTACTTTAACTTCCCCATTCGTTTCTGCCGCGGTACTTTCTGTCTTTTCCTCCTCTGAATCAAGGCCGGAAACACCATTCGTTGTCTCTTCTGCCTCCGAGAATCCAAGATATTCAGTGACACGCTTCCTTGGATTGTCTGCAATAAGGGTCTCGATGACTTTCCAGTCTGCCTTTTCTTCCTCGGTTTTTGCCTGTGCAATGTGCGATTCACAGATGCTGCCGATATCTCCAGCGACCAGGGCATTTTCAAAGGACTCCGTTGCAGAGCCCAGGCCAGAGTCAACTGAGAAGTTAGAAATTTGAATTTTGGATGATCTGGGCTTTCCAGGTGCGCTGGCCACCAAGCCAAAGCTCACCAATTTCCCCCCAAATCCAAACGAGGCACCACAAGGTCGTTCGAACCACTTGGGGGCCTTTTTCAAAGAGAAAGATGCTTCCTGTGGCTGTGTTTGAGCTTTGGTGAAGAAATCTTCTCCATCAACCGAGCCTTGTACTTGGACTTTGGAGGCAGCAGGGTTCGTGTTTTGCAGAGTCTGTATGCAAATCTTGCCATCAAATGATGCAGTGGCAGAAAGGGCGGGGTTATGGGGGTTGAATCTCGTTTGAAATGTCCAGTTTGTAACTTCAGGAAATTCGCCCAGACATTCTCCCGTCTGGGGTGACCAGACCAGTGTCCTATTATCCTTCCCGCATGATAACAGTAGGTCACTATCCTGTTGACACCAAGAGAGTGACAATATTCCCTGGTCATGCCCTTGCAGAGTACGCTCTGGCGCATTGGAGTTTCGGAGATCCCACAGCAGGATGACGGGGCTCGAATCGTCGGGAGTGGCGGTCAAAAGCTTAGTAGAATTGATCGGATCCCAAGCAATTGCCCCAACGGCCTTCCGATTATTGTTCAGAGTGAGGGATGCCTTCTTGGTCTTCAAATCCCATACAGTAACAAATCCACCACTACCCCCTGTTGCCAGAATATGGGGAACTATTCTATTCCAGGCCAAGCATTCAAGGTCGTCTGATCGCGCTGCGGCCGTACCCAACCTAAAAGGGTTTGAAATATCGTTAACGTCGTAAATGAAGAGCTCCCCCTTTGCACCGGCAGTTGCGAGGATTTGTGGTTTCAAAGGATTGAACTGAAGTGACTTGATAGCGCCGGAGTGTTTCGTTGTTCGTGACATAAAGGCATCCTCAGCCCCTTTTATGAGCTTCTCAGCATCCCACAAGTCCAGCGATCCATTCTCCAACGCGCCGGCAATTATACCCCTTGGATGTTCCTCGTTCGCGGGTGCCCAAGCAATGTCATGAAATCTGTGATAAAGGCATAGTGAGAATCTATATCCTTAGGTTCCAAAGCAGACGCGCATACCTTGAATCTGTGCTGATGCTTGCAATGGGTTGAAGCTCAACGCCTTGCTCGGGGTTGTCCAGACCCAATTCCCAAAGCTCCAGCTTGGTCTCATCAGAGAAGTCCGCGTCGACCGCCCCGGCTCTAGTTCCAGTTACTATCAAAGGAGCATCTGATCCCGGAGACCAGGCAAAAGCCGCGGTCCGTGGGATCTCCCTTAAACGGACCATCCTGTTGATGTGTTGTCCCTACAGTGCGTTGCCTGCTGGGGGAGGGTTTTAATTCGGCTTCCAGCAATGGCAGAAACGATTTTGCTGGGGAAATAGTAGAAGCCGTCGAGTTGTAATGAAGGAATGAGCGTGAGACGTTCTGATTGAATCAAAGTTGTATGTTTACTATTTAAACCGTGTCCCAAGTCCAAGGTCGGGGACAGATTTCCCCATACCTTAATCGGTTCAGCAGCTGCGCCTACCTTTGAGCACGTGATCTCAACTCTAGACGCGAATTTCTCCCCTTTATAAGAACAGGAGCGTTTGGTGACTTCAATCATTTAAGTTTGATTTTCTTAAGGATGACGGATCAATCACGTTGGAAAGCAACCGTTTACGTTGGTGGCCTAGCACCCATGGTCACCGCTGAACATCTTCACGCTGCATTTTTACCCTTCGGGGAAATCGCTGATGTCTCTCTACCGTAAGTCAAGACCCAGTAATCCATACTGAGAATAGTCCTAATGTTCCCAGTAAACCAGAAAGTCCAAACTCAACGGAACTTCATCGAGGTTATGGTTACGTGGAGTTTGAAGATCCAGAAGATGTCAAGGAAGCTATCGACAATATGGATCAGTCTGAGCTCTTTGGAAAGGTGATTAAAGTCAACGCTGCAAAGCCCCCGAAGAATGTGAATGAGGGTCTGGGTAGCAAGACGGCATTGTGGGAGCAGGTATTTTCCGAGCTCAATTTCCTCCTGCTTGGAGTATCACTGACGAAGCATCTTAGGAGGGCTGGTTAGCGGAACACGCTGTCAGTGAAGAGGATAGACTGGCAGCAGAAAGAGCGAAATCAGGGGTGGAAGATAGACCTGAAGACCCTATGCAAGGCCTGGAAGGATTAGACGTTGCTGGGCCAAAACCGGCATGAGCGGCAATCTGGGGCATAGTTCTAGGTGGTGTTTTGAACGAGGTTCTGGGTTTCATCAAGGCGTTTGTTTAAGGTGGCAGGCAAAATCTCTAGGAGTTTCAAGGCGGTCAATATATGAATCACATGCATTTGGTTGCCAGAGATCCAGTCAATACAATGTGTGTTGGTATGGAACAAGGCTGGTTTGCTTTATACAGATCCTCCGAGGCCTTCGCTATTACCTGCACCTATCAGTCTAACCCCCTAATCCCAATCCAAAGCTCCTACCCAGTGAGCTATGCCACCACGTCTGGCATCTATTCTCTGTTTGAGCGACTCAGACGTATTTGCTTGTCGACGACGAGCTTCTTGCCCAAGGAGTAACACCCGAAGCAAAGAGCGATGCCGACGACGACACCTGTAAACTTCTCAGCATTTTCAATTCATGTTACAGGGCTCATCTCGACCTACCGAGAGGGACCAACTCGGGGGGAATCCTCTTGAGAGTTCGGAGGCGTTGAGAAACGGTGTGAGCTGCAATATCAATCAGCTTCTGCAATGCATTGCCCCAACTGTCCTCCACCGCCGTAGCCAAGTTCCAATCCCCCGTATCCAGCTCCTCTTCCTCGTGGGCAGGTGGGAAACGTACCGCTGTGCTCCTCTTTCTGTGAAAGAAATAACGTCAGCAACTCTCATTGTGGCGTTTCTGGAAAAGCTGGTACTTACGGGGATTGGGCGCATCATCCGCCTCGTAGGCTGGAACATTCTGAGAGCAGTAGTGGGCTGCATGGTGACTGCGTTGGGAAGCAATTCGAGTATTCTTGTTGTAAAGAGTGAGCAGCTTGGTGGTCTGAGTTGACGTTTGCCTCACCTCGGAGGCGACGGTGCCTTAACGAGCATTACCACAGGCGTGTGCTTTCGGCGCTAGGATTACAACGGGTCATAACCGAACTTCCTCGACCTCGCCGGAGCTCACCTCGATTATCTCACATCTTCACCAATTGACTTCTCTCTCAAAGACTCTCACCTTTTCTCTGTCCAAGCCCTCCAATTCCAATCGCAAAGATGTCTGACGGCGAGCGCGAGACCAAGCCCTTCAAGTTCGTGACTGGTACGTTCCGAGCTCTCCCAGTGGCCCGGTAGAAATGACCTGATTGCTAACTTTTGCGCAGCTGGTAAATGCTAACCCCCCACCAGGTTGCGAGTCCGTACGTTGAATTGACCTTCATATCATAGGCTTCGATGCCCGCTTCCCGAACCAGAACCAAACTAAGCACTGCTGGCAAAACTATGTCGACTACCACAAGTGCATCCTAGCCAAGGGAGAGGACTTCGCACCTTGCCGCCAGGTATGACGGCCTCGACCAATTGAGATGGGAAATCTGTTCTGATGGGTTTATACAGTTCTTCCTGGCCTACAAATCCTTGTGCCCAAGCTCCTGGACCGAACGATGGGATGACCAGCGTGGTTAGTATCTCCCGGCTTTCCTCTAGCCCGAAAAATTGCTTACCATTCTCCTCAGAGGCTGGAACTTTCCCCGCTCGTCTCGATCAGTAGAGGACTAGGTTTGCGAAGGGGGAAACGATACTTGATAGTTGGCAGGAGTCGGTTTTACAAAGGCTGTGTACCATACAAGTCATTGATCCGAATTGATAGAGGCCTTTGTTTAAATCCGATTCATGCTTTACTTTGCGGGTTACGTCTACATGCCACAATATCCTTCTCCCGGATAGCCTGCCTATGCTCCTTTCTCTGCTCTCAAGCGGTCGTAACGCAGCATAGCACCCAACAACACCTGAGCTCCATTTCCGCAATCTTCGGGACTACAGTACTATCCACAAAGTCAGCAACAGGGACAGCAACAAAGTCTCTTATCTTAGAAGAGCAGAAGTATTGAAACATTTTCCGTGACTAGCAAGGAATTTGACAACAGTAAGAGGATAAAGGAAATTGGAAGGCGGACCTCAGAAGGGTTGTGGCTCACTCCGTCTCTGCATGGCACAAAAATCCTAGTATTCTACGTAAGTATCATTCTCCGGACGAAGTCGATTCCACTTACATGGATGTGGGAGCATGTCTCGCTGTATAGACGCTGGTTGTATGTCAGTCAAAACACAAGTGAGCTTCCCTAGGTACTTTTCATACCTGTCATGCCCAGCACCAGATGTCATTCTTTGAACTTTACCCCCGGCGTCTGTTCCAAGCATAGCTTTCGCACTGGCCTCTACGCACTTCACACAATCCTCATGGAACTTGGTAGCCGGTGAATCTGTATCCAGCTGCCATTCCACGGTGCATCCTCTTCCTCTCGTCCCTAAGGTATTGAGCCCACCGACCTCCTTCTCAGCTGCTATTTGGGCGAAGTCGGATTTCAACACGTTCTCAAGCTCCAGGAGCTTTTGATCCTCTCTGGATCTGATATCAAGTGAAAATTGTACAAAGCCAGGAACCGTGTTTGTAGACCCTGGCTTCAGAGTTAGGATGCCAGTAGATGCCAAGCAACCCAGTTCCGCCGCCTTGTTATGGCTATGCAAAATCAATTTTGCAGCCGTGAGCATAGCGTCAGACCGGTTCTGAAAGTCTGTGGTCCCGGTATGGCAGTCTTTTCCTTTCACGGTGATTATAAACCATTTGAACGCCTGTACTCCTTCGACGGCCCCAATCTTACCCTCTGAGTTTTCAAGTATTGGTCCTTGCTCAATATGAAGCTCGAAATGCGCTCCTATCGGATTTGCTTTGTAACTTGCCTCGAGCGAGCCAAGGTATCCGATTCTTTCTAGCTCGGATTTCTGTGTGGCTTTCCCGCCACCGACTTCAACGAGGCCATAGGCCTTTTCAAGTGAGTAGGCACCTGCCCATACGCCAGAGGCGACCATAGAAATTGGGAAACGGGCTCCTTCTTCGTTTGTCCAATTGATTACACTGGTTGATTGGGGAGTCAGTCTTCTTTTGTATTGTAGAACAGGGGCTGTGGGATATGGTTCAAACTCAGGGATCCTTACCCAGTGCTGTATTCGGTTTCTATCTTATTGTCATTGAGGGTTTTCAGAACCTCGATGCCGGCATGAACTCCCAGAATTCCTGCAAGTTATTGCATTAGTTTGCTTTATTGGAAGGGCTAAGGGGGAATTGCTGACCATCATATCGGCCACCTGTTGGCTGAGCTGTGTCAATTACTATCCATATGAGGTTATTTGAGGTCTAACCTGAGTATCCAAGTGGCTTCCTATAACATACAATTAGCTCCACCCCTATTCTGTCTAATATGGCATACTAACCTGCGAATGTGGGGGGTCCTGCTTTCTTTCCTGGCCTTACAGCAAATATGTTTCCTATGGTGATATAAGTATCCTCGTGAAAATACGGACGAGTATTTACCATACCCATAGCATCAATTTGGACCTTACAACCCAAAGACTCCGTGGTATTTACGAACCAGTCACGAACTTGCTTGTCCGCATCAGATAAAGTCAATCGCGACATCCCAATATCTGTTGTACCCCTAATTCTATGTTAGTACTAGTCATCTAAAGACCCAGTTCTTTGAGCTATCTTATGAGGCTAACAGCATGAATACAGCGAACGCTTTCTTTGATAGGCATTGTGCCTAGTGAAGCGCGGTAGAAGTATCTTGTAAGACACATAACTTTGTAATGTAAAAGGACATCGTCATGGATGATAGACTCTTGATATTTGCTTCCTCATTTGAGGCCTTCACCGTCCTGATGCATCTAGGCATACTCATATCGGGATCCTAGACAGAGAATGTCCATGATTATAAAAAGAGAAAGCAATTAAATTCAAAAGTATTGCAAGGTCAATTTAAACCCCCGTGATTATCATCAGAGCGGGTGAAGAGATCCATTGATTACTTACTCTCCCCATCGTTCCCCCTTTCCCCATTCACACGTCTCGTGCAGATCTCTCCATAGCCTATCCCGATCAATCTTCACCGCAGCCAGCTGCTGCTCTGTCATTTCGGTGGTCCTCATATTTCTCAGTGCCGTTATCGAGAAGGATCTATAAGCTGGGTGATGGAGTCTGAAGCTTTGGATGATATGTTTTATACCTGGCCTAAACCGGCAGACGTTCCTGAGGATTGTGGGATCCATCACCGATAAGCTTTCCGTGAAGGATGAGCAGAAAGTGGGATAGTGATTGCGGGCGGGGATAATAATTACTGGAAATAACAAGAACCAAAGATAGGGAGCAGCCTATGTTGCTTGAGACGTACTTCCTGATTATCCCAAAGGTGGGGGGGAGGGGGGAGGGGGGGTCATCTTATGGCCGACTTGAGTGACACTCCATTGAAAGCAAATACGGACAGGCTTGAGAGACTGATTTTAACTCTAGATTATTTTTTTGGTTACTGCAATAGCTTTCCAAAGTACTGACCGACCGCCCTTATCCCGAGGAAATCGTCGCTGTGAAGCCCTGACCAAACCCCCAACGCCGCGCTTGATGTCAAGTATATCAAACAGATAGTAATTATTTAGCCTTGACTTTACCCTTTCCTTTGGCTGTGGCCTTTGCCGTAGCCTTCCCTTTTCCCTTAGTAGCCACCGGAGGGGGTGTTGGTTCCTTTTCAACCACTTCGACATCCTCTTGTTGCATCTTTTCTCCATCGTCTTCTTCCTCTTCTTCCTCTTCTTCCTCTTCCTCCAAATCTTCGTCATCATCGCTCATAAACTCATCGTCTTCGTCGAACCCAAAGAAAGTCCTTGCCTTTGGCTTGGCCTCTGGTTCTGAAGGCGGTGTCGTCTCTTTCGAACTTGTCCCACCCATCACCTCGTCTTCGCTACCAGAACTCCCAGAGCTGGTCGCAGTCCCTGGTGACGTACTTAGAAGGTTGTCCCTGTAGTTTCCGGCCTTGATAGCAGCAAGAACAGCTTCCCTGGTTCTTTCATTTGCCTCTTCCTTATCCTCAACCCATTTTCCATCAACCTTGCCTTTACTGCCTGACTTAATCTCCTCCTCTCTACGCTCTGCAAGTTCCACGACTTGCTCCCACCGTTTCTTCCGCTCTTCTTTCTCCTTCTTCGCCATCTCCGGCTTGATCGCCAAGTACTCAGCCAAGGCTTTCGCCTCGTTCACCGTTCTGAGTCTGCGCCCATCCAGGTTCCGACTTGATCCATTACTGTCGCCTTGGTTGCGCTTTCGCTTGGAGGACATCCGACCTCCTGCTGCTCTCAGTTGCGATCCGAAACCTCCTTTACCACCGCACAGTGGGAGGGAGAGACGGAGAGAGAGAAAGCCATCTCGAACATCGGAGAGTAGGTCGGATATCGGAGCATCAGAGAGACTCGGGAGCTGCTTATTCGAAATAGTCGTAAGGATAAGGCGACTGTTGTGAATTGGGAGGCGATCGTTAATCCGTTCTTGGAGTTGGGAGATCGTGGTAGTGGACGGAAGAGGTAGTGAGAGAGTAGATGGAAGGTTCAGACCGGGGAAAGAGGTCAGGAGAACGTTAACAGTGGATAAAGCCATGATCGGCCAGTTGAGAGTTTGCGTCGATAGAGGCTTTGAGACTTTGATGAGAACTGAGTTTGCGGTCGCAGTTCAATAGAAGTAGTGATTGATCAGATCCAGATGGTGAAGGCCAGTAATCCGTGGAGTGAAGTGGAGTGAAGTGAAGTGGCTAAGGCAGTGTGTGGCTGGTGGCTGGTGGTGGCGCTAATAATGGATTAGTGCTAGTGCATTTTCTGCATTCGCTTCTTAGCCCCTCCCACACAGAATTAATTATTATTTCGAATTAACGCGAACTTCCTTCACGCCGAACGACAAGATCTTCTTCAACACCGACGACAACCCCCGCCGAAACCGCCAAGATGTGAGGATGATTCCAGTCTATGCGTTGGGCGCCCGAGTAGTTCCTGTGTACTGATCATTGTGCAGGCTTATCCCCAAGGCCGACCGAAAGAAGATCCACGAGTACCTCTTCCGTGAGGGTGTCCTCGTCGCAAAGAAGGACTACAACCTCCCAAAGCACAACGACATTGACACCAAGAACCTCTACGTTGTCAAGGCCTGCCAATCTCTCACCTCCCGTGGCTACGTCAAGACCCAATTCTCGTGGCAATACTACTACTACACCCTCACCCCCGAGGGTCTTGACTACCTCCGAGAATGGCTCCACCTTCCCGCTGAGATTGTCCCAGCTACGCACATCAAGCAACAGCGATCCCACGCTCCTCCTCGCGGAATGATGGGTGGTGATGACCGTGAGAGAAAGCCTTTCGGTGGACGCGGTGGCCGTGGCGGTGACAGAGATCGTGAGGGAGGCTACAGAAGACGTGATGCTGGAGAGGGCAAGGAGGGTGCACCATCTGGAGAGTTCGCTCCTCAGTTGTGAGTTTCCCATGCTACAACATCTTACAGCTCAAGTTTTACTGACACCAAAACAGCCGTGGTGGATTCGGACGTGGCCGTGGTGGTGCCCCTGCTTCTTAATTTGGCATTTTGTTCAGCTTGCTTGTGCATCCGACAGAAATACCTCATACACACTCTTGAAATGTTGGGCTGGATAGTAGCGCATCTGGTCGAGTGATAGAAACCGCCGGGGGAAAGCATAGGTCGAAGGGGGAAGTTGACACTTCAAAACTGTCTGGTAGCATAACGAGCTTCTTCCAATGGTTAATGGTCACCTTCTTTCGTGAATCCCAGCCCAATGAATTTGCTCCCCTGTGATAGATGAGCAACTTTTTTGGAACACCTGTCACAGCCCCGTTGTTGGAGAGTCATTCAACTGTAGGTGCCGGAATACTGTTTCTTTTCTTTCTTTATGGCCAGGCCGGTGAGAGCATGGGAATTGAAGAAACAGTCCAATAATGATTGTCAATGATCCCGGACTTGTAGGCCCCCTTTTCAAAGCTGTTGGCCTTGTAAAGGGGTGGTAGGTGGTACCCGTCCCTCCTCGGCAGTCATCCACTCTTATCTTTCTTTATATCTCAGGTCTGATCAAGTCTCCCATTCCTCTGCCAATAATGCCAACCACCCTGAGCAAACAGACAGACTAACTCCTCCCAACTGATTCCCAAAAGAGATGAAAAGCGCCGGGCAAGCCATCAGGACCGCCATGCTCCTTGAAGATTAGCTAATCTCCCTTCGACTCCTTGCTGAGCCTGGATCTGGAAAGCTCGATTGCTGTCACGCAAATGGAAAGAAAACCTGACATCTTGCACTAGATTTGATATGAAGAACGTAGCTATACCTACTTATTTATACAAGACTATTATCTTAGAGTGGATTTTGACAAGTCTAGACAAACCTACCTACGCAGGCCAATCCCATCTGAAATCCAGTTAGAATAAGCCGTCCAGTAGACCTTACTCCTCCACGACTAGAAGAGGAAGCTTTTGGAGGGAAGATCATCACGATCCACTACAAATACAAAGATTGTTGATAATACAACATTCGCCAGCTTAGACGATCAATGGGTATCTGACATTACTTTACGCAGAACCTGCGACCTGCATCCGTGCCCTTTTCTTCTCAGCCTTTTTCGTCCCTTTCATAGCTCTTCTCGGCCTGCCGTGCAATTTATTCTCAGAAGGCTTCTGCGCTACGAATGACCAAGCATTCATGGGCATCCGAGTCGCAATGAACTTCCCTTCCGGTGAAAAGACCTCCACTGTAGGCCAGTCCGGGTCAATTTCCTCTTTCTTCTCTTTCTCCTCCCACTCGAAATTATCTTCGTCTTTCTCTTCCTTTTTCCCTTCCTCAAAGGCGCGCGCAAGTTCACCACGTCGCTTCCTCACCTGTGCAACGAGCTCTACCCATCCAACGCCTTCAATCAAGATATCGGCCCCCATGACTCGATATGGAAGCCGCTCGGGTTGGATACCTACAGCAGCACGATCGGTTATGGGGCCAGTGCGTTGTTTCGTGACATCCCACTTCAAGTGGAACGTTCCTGCTGATGCAATCTTCTCACCTACGCCAGGCAACGCGATGTTCTCCACCGTCGACTCCCGAGTTTGAGTCTGTATCCCAATGGCTTTTTCAAGGGACGTCACATGCGTCTTCAGAGGATTAAAAGAATATGCTAGGAAGATAACATCTGGAGTCGTAGGAGTGATGCGGATGAAGCCACCTAGGAGAAGAGACTGCCCTGGTTTAATAACTTTCTGTTCAGGGCGGACACGGGAGCGCATGACGAGGGAAAGCCGATGTTCAGGTTGGACGTGGAGTTCAATATCCCCACGAGAGAGACCTGGAAGATCGATCAGCTCTCCCTTCCCGTTGCCAAACGGTACGCGGATAGGGGAGGCGGTGGTGCCGGGGAGGGCGGATACGAGGGGCATCTCGGGATAATCGGTCTCTTCTGGTAGAGGAGGAAGGAGGGAAGTAGTGTCTAAAGGTTCAACCGTACGAAGCTGAGCTTCAGCAGCAGATTCTTGAGCCTCTAAATCTTCGCTCATCGATGATTCGGCCACCATGTTGTCCTCCGCAGGGAGCGCGGTGCTATCATCCGCTGGACCTTCGAGGTCTGTTTTGGCGCCCGCGATGGCATTTTCCTCGATATTAGTAGATTCTGGTTCAGTCTCTCCTTTCTTCAGAGCCGTGGCAGGTGTGAGGGGCTTCCCGGAATCAACGTCTCCGCGTCTGCCCTTTGGGAAGACCTCATGAAACAGTCTACTCTTTCCAACATTGACTTTTCCAACCATCCAACCACCCCCACCACGCCTCCAGATATCCTCTTTCAGCTCTCGAATCCACCATCCTCGTTTGGCACTGACACATCTAACATTCCCAAGTCGGACATCATTCCCTGCTCTCCCTAACGCAGTACGCAGGACACTGCGTAGGTACGGCATCATTGAATCGACTTGCTCCTTCTTAGGTGCAAGAAGATCAGAACGAGTAATGATAAAGCTAACTTCCGTCTTCCTGCCATGATAGAACCTCCCTGTCTTCGAACGTCTGTTCAGGGATCTTTGAGGTGTCAAGTTTAGCAGCTTGTGTATTCCCTGAACAAGAGACATTGGGAAATCTGCAGCGTCGATGACATGGTATACATGATTGTACTTGTGAGGAGATTCGAAAATTGTATCTTCCAGAGATTGCACAGAAGGGTGGTGTATAGATACGCCTTTGTCATGGTGCTTGAGATTATGGCAACGCTCACAAAAAGGGACCCCGGGAGCTTTTACAGTCTCTGCGCGAGTTGTTAGTCAAGCTAGATCCAAACTATGGGGGAAAGGGGACGTGCTCTTCTTACTGGGCCGACGTGTGGAGGTGAAAAGTTCCAACTGGCTCAAGAGGCTAGGATCCTTCTCTGCTGCTGCCCGGAGCGATTGCTCAACTATAGCATCTTCTTCGGATTCTCTCGAAGTCGGTTGCTCCCCCTTCAGATAAGCGCTCACAGATCTTCTTTTCAAGTTATAGTAGCCCGGGGCGTCGCTGTCGATGGTCTGCGTAAGAGCACCACAGCCCGGACATTGTAGAGGCAATTTAGTGATTGAAGCGCCTTGGCTTGAAGACTCTATTCTTTTTGGTAGCTCTGAAGGGGTGGAAGTCGCAAGGACAGCCCGATGACCAGGGGTTGAGTGAAGCTGTCGTCGTTGGTGTGGAGCTCGAGGTGCGGCGATCAACCCAGGGCATAAGAAGACAGGCAGGTCAGCAACGGGCACAGGGACCCGACATCGTGTCCTGCAAGCAATCCTCACGCTGCCGGCGCGAACTGACATATTGAGAGGACGAGCGGGAGGAAGAGCAAACGTTGTGTGGTTCTGGTATCTTTGTCGCAAAATCTACAAAATATATAAGTACGGGCCCGACAGGGGTCGAACTATAGCGTAAAAGCTTAAATAATTTATCCCGAAGTACGAACTTGAGTATCTAAAACTCAACGACATCCAGGTCGCAGCCAAGTACACCATACATCCTTCTTGGGTCATTAATAGCCCAATCCTTCAAGATGGTGAGCGTAATACAGCGTATGAGGAAGCTGAGAGCAGTAAGTCATCCACTCAATCCCCCCCGGATTGTCCCATTTCCCCTTGGCTCCTTTAAAGCACCGACTGACATATGAACCGCAGAAGGTAGATTCTCGATACGCCCGCATCCCTCGTCTGATTCCTCATTGACACTTCTCCAGCTGCTCGCCGTAAGGCTCGGCCCTGGTGCCGCAATCCTGCCTCCCGAAGTCACAAGAATACACATGGACTTTGCCGTGAACATCACGGGCGGGCACTACGGAGCCAAGTAAGGGGATACCCCATCATCTATCTATCTGCTCTATTATGTAGAGAGCGCGTTCCCGTTCCCTTTCGAGCCATCACACGCTGACCTGTTGTCCTTTCCCCCTTTCAGGCGATTCTGGAAAGACTGCCTCACGCGCCTCAAGTACCATAACCCAGCCGTGCCGATGACGGTCAACCGCCGCGCCGAGAACCACACCGGGCCTGCGCTCATGACTGTTCATTTCGCCTCGTCCGATAAGGAGAGGACCAAGGTGTTGGATATGAAGAATCGGGACGTGTCGGAGATTGTCGCACAGCTGATGACGCTCACGAATGCGAAGCCCGTGAAACCGACGGCCGAGGAGACGAGACAGCTTCAAGAGCTGGAGGAGTACCGAGTGAAGAGTGCACAGGATAGAGAGAGGATGAAAGCTGTTATGGAACAGAGGAGGAGGGAGGAAGCTATCCTCACACAAGCTAGGGGAGAGGCCGAGGCGATGAAGGAAACCTAGGCTATATGCAGAAGGGAATCATGCATTTGTTAGGCGTTGGCTGTGAATGGGAGGTTTAAGGTATGGAAAGGCTGTAAAATCATCTTGTATAAAATGCCCTAAGCCATATCACTGTGCGGGTCAAGCTGTATTATTGACTTTTATATCGACATAACTGTTTGCAAGCTTCCGTATCACCAACGCCATCGATGCAAGTACCTGGCTCCAGCAGGACTCAAATGTGTTCACAGTTATTGATCCTGGCCTTGGTGACAACTCTACAGGTACGAATGTCTGCAAAATTCCGTAACCTATGCCTTACTTCAATCCAAACCCCTCGCTCTCATTAACTGCGCGCCAAAGCATCGTTTCCAGCTTCTGTCTTGAAGAGTAACGCCACAACGACAACATGTTAAAGCATGTTCTTGCTACTGGAAATCTCGGGCTATCATCGCCCAAACAAGAAAGCTTGATTACCAGATTGGTGGCCCCCATGGCTGGTATACGGTCACTACCAGTAATAAAGCTCAGGAGCTTTCGCTGGTCCTTTGGATTTGCCGTTTGGAAGGACTGCCAGAACCACTGTATCACTGGCTCTGTCTCTGCCGCATTTGGAACCCCCCAATTCTCACAAATAGCGACTGCTCGAAGAGATGCGATATCAAGAGGCTCGTCGGATCCTCGGATGAGAAGCTCGATTTCTTCGGGACGGAAAAGGGACAGCGCATTGCCTCCACAGACCGTGAAGAATCCACGTTTGAATGGTTCAAACTGACGTGAGACAGCAGTGTCAAGAAGGTAGCGTACGTAGAGGTCGACAAACTCCCGTCTGTTGGAATTCGTGACCGGCTTCTTCTCCCCGTCTGGGCAAAGTGGCACTTGCACGGTTTGGCCATATCGCTCTACATCTGCCACGAAGTCTCGGCAGAAAGTGTTCTCGACGTCACCGTCAAATTCGAGCAACTGTCGGAGGCCAGCGGCTAGTGCAGGTCGATATTCAGCTAGATCTTCCAAAGTGTAAGTCATTAATGGCTTGGCATGTGATGTTGCCCCAGGTGCAGCAGCGGGGCCAGCCGCTAGCAATTTTCTGAAAGCAAAAGGCGGAAGGGCAACATCAAGGATAGTGGAATTGTATATTGCAAGTCCAAGGACAACACCGACTAGGAAGAACTGGTCTGTCGTTTCGAAGCTGTTCGGGTTGAAGTAGCAGAAACGGGAGTCCTCGTCATAGGTAAACATGCCTGTGCGACAGTTAGAAATTACCAAACATTGTACCGTAAGAAACTTGCGTACCATGATCAGGGTTAAAGACATCTCTGACGAGTAGGAGAAACCATTCTTTCCTCAGGCCGCCCGCATCAATACCCTCTTCGCCCTTAAATTCGATACGGAGCCCCTTCTTGATCTCCTCATCTCCTGAGCCTACGACCTCACTGACCCCTTTCAAACTATCTTCTACAAGGCATTCCCGGCGAATCTTCAGTACAAGATATTGATTGACTGTCTTGTGGGTCATGATACTGTCAAAGAAAGCTTCTCGGGCCTTCACCTCCATCTGTCTTCGTGCATCATGCTCCATGATCTGTATCTTTGCCCAGATGCTTAAGAAGAATGGGTATTGGCAGAAGGTAAACTTTCCTCGTCTTGCTTCCCATGCTTCGAAATCAGCAATGAGGTCCGAGTAATCAAGCAGTGTGTTGTAGAAGTCGCTTGTTGGTAGTATCTGTCCATGTCTATGAGCCCTTTCTCGAGCGGCCAGGCCGATACTTCGCTCGTTGTCAGGGACAGATAAAGTGCGCGTGTCCCCCCTCCTGGTCAGACCGCTGTTGTTTGCGGAGAATAACAATGCCATCACTCGTGCAGCCGCTCTTATCTGCCAGTCATCATTATAGATAACGGTTTGTGGCTTCCCGTCGCGCTTCTTTCCGGCCTGTCCTGTGACTCCAAGGGCCGCATGTAAAGCCGCCGACGTAGTCCTCCCAGTCCCACTCATATTTGGAATGAGACCAGCAGTGGGATCCTGGTCCACTTCATGTTTCTTTCCATGCTGCCTAGTAAGCCTATAGGTAACAAAGCTCCCAATAAGATCAGTAGTCCTTTGGAAATGACTATCAGAATACCTCGCAAACCAGGAGACGAGGTGGTGATGGCACTCATTGGGAACATTAGACAAGAGGCCGAGTATCCGTTTAATAATTCCCGAATGTTTGCCAGAGCTGCCTCCTCCATTTCCATTCGACGACGCGAGAGCTAGAGGTTCTGTTCTCTTCTTCGACGTACTGGGATTATTTGTCGCGTACGGCATCTTTATGTCCCGTGACCTTGACCTCGACCTGCTTCGCTCTTTTGCTCTCGAGCTCGCATGAGCAGGGTAGAGTAGAGGGTTCGCAAGAATGATAAGAAGAAATCGAAGATCATTGGGTTCAAGCAAAGGCCGTCCGGGACGCTTGAGCAGGTTCTCAGTAGCTTTCAGCAAAACCCGCTGAGTATGCTCGCGGGCCTCCATTAATTGAGCCTCAATGTCATCCATCTCTTCAGGGGGCGGCCCCGTTGGGCGTAATTCATGCAGCTCGGAAGCCATGAGATCGTCCAATTTACGCCGCCAAAACCGACCAGCATTTAGAACCAGGTGATACCATTCGTTGACATCGGCCCAGTCAATTCGAGGAGACTTTAACGTGACTGAACCATCGTTCGAAGCTTCCCTATTGCGGCTCCTCCGTGAACGTTCAGGGCTTCTCATGCCTCCGGTCCACCAGGAGCCATTTTCCGCAACATCGCCAAGAAGAAGAGTCTTGGCGTCCAATTCCGACATGACTTCGTCAGTTCCAGTGTGCCTCGCGCTTTGCAATGGATTCATAGTTCTGCTGCTTCCCTCGCTAGCTGTTCTTAGAGCCAAGTTCGGATTCAAATTACTGAATGAATTATTGATGCATTCGAATGCTCCAAAAGACGTGATGATATAGTCTTCTAGAGGTTTGAAAATATTTCTTGTGGTCTCTGCTCGTTCCCGTTGTGCCTGGTCAGCGTTTGTAGTGTCTGCAGAATATTGAGCATCCGAATAACCCTGGCGATCACCTGCAGCGGCATCCTTCGGCATGCTCGAGTAAGGCTCTCTTCGCTTCTGTTCCACATGGGTACTAAAGAAGCTTCCTGAGGTCGATGCTGAGAAAGTAACTGTTTGTGCACGACGGTGCCCGCCAGAACTCTGCCTGTCAGAACTCTCGCGTCTGAAGCTAGACCTTTCGTTGGCCTGGTTAATGGGAAGTCGTGAGTGGGGTATTGAAGATATGGTAGCAGGTGGCTGCGCAATATTTTGTGCTTGTGTATGCAATCTACCAGGACCATCGCCTCTGGTAATGTCGCCGCCTTGCAGTATGGGCTGTGGTGGCGAGCCAGAAGTATTTCCATCATCATGCTTCAATCTGCCTAAGAGATATTCCGTTACGCACTGATCAATAAGCCGTCCTGTTTTGGCAATAGACAAGGGAGCCACTATACATATAAATACATTAGTCGGCCGCCCTTGTCAAGACATATTCAGGAGGCCTACCATGTTGCGTATATGCTGATACTGGATGTGTGCCTGTCTTCACGGCCCTGTGCCCATCCCCATGCCTCGTTTCTAAGACAACAGGCTTCAGATCATTGATCGTCAAGCACACCGTACACCGGAAAACCTTCAGATCTTTCGGCCAACGCACCATGGAATCGCAAGTCATGCACTTCCCTGTCATGAGGTCCTTATCTGGGACTTTGGACTGCTTGACGCTCGGATTAAGCAAAGAGGTCTTGGACGGTCCGGGGGAGATTGAATCATCGTCGGTGGATTCGAAGTCGGCCGCAGCATCACTGTGATGTTTCTTTCTCCCAGCGAACAGGGAGGGAAACGGGTGGCTCATGGATCTGCCATGGCTCGCCGTCTGCCTTGAATTGGAGGAGCTCGACCTGAGTGTTCCGTGCGACAAGGTCGGGATGCCGTAGGCATTGTCTAGTATATCCGCCTCGGTGACTCTTGATTGTACCCGCGTTCGTGTGGGAGACGTTGCGCCCAGTCCTGCTGTCCCCGGCCCTGGTTCATGACTGGAGCTCGCCGAAGAGAACAGTTTGTTTCCCCAAGGCGCCATGGCACGGCTCTACAATGGCTGGCTGCTTGTTGCGAGGCGCATGAGTTGTATACGGAGCATCGAGTCGATTGGGATCATCAAAGATGCAATGCACCAGACTATCTGCCAGGCCCGCCTGTAATCGACGCGGATTTCTTGTAGGTTAAGCTCAGGATATGGAGGAAGTTGCGCGGGTTCCTTCCTTCACGTTCGTATACTAGCTTTCGTCGGACGTTGGAGTCTCTAAGTGAGGTAGTGTCGATGGTTCAGGATGTGCATCTCAACTACCTTACCCTCCGCCCTGATCCAGACTCTACTGTGATCTGTAGGAAACCTCTGTATATGCAAGATTGCCCTGTCTCACTCAGTCGTCGCGGTCTTGTTCAAGGTGGTAGTTGGAACGCGTACTCGGTTGCAGTCGGCGAGCGGTCTGATAACCAAGGGGTCTTGCTACTAGATACTGTACGGTGTACGGTGTGCAGCGTACCTTACTGTTCACGCACAGGCGCATCTGAAGTGGAGAAGTCATGTGCGGAGTAAAGTAAACCCCAAGATTGTTTTATCCCTATATATACAGCTGCTACTGTACTGTACTGTACTTCATACCTACATATCCCGTACATTACTGGTGATTGGGGCCCAAGTCTTTTTCACGATATCATCAAGTGGAAAATTTTGTTTTTCCGCATTTCGCGTTTCAATTGTTCAATTCATCAGCGTATGCTATGAGCAACGGCTTGTTATAGCATGGCCATAACCCAGACGCACCGAGAATTCCACCAGCAACCCATCGAAGAAGCAACACAAACGACACAAAAATCCCGCTAAGACATCTATCTGTATCGTTGGAGGTTGAGGGTGTTGTGTCTCTTCCAGGTCTTTCTCCGGCCGGCAGTGGTCTTGTTGAATCCGTGTCCCTTGCCCAAACCACGGGACTTCTTGCCAGTGGCAGTGAGACCACGAGACTCGCGGTGCTTGTGGACTGGGTTGACGATCCAGTTGATGCGGGGGTCGCGGCGGATGGCCTTGTGTTGAGGGTCAACGAGGATGATCTCGTAGTACTTGTAGGTGGAGTCCTGGTTGATCCAGTATGAGTTCAGGACGCGCAAGTTAGCGCAACGACGTCCGACACGCTCCTCCGCAGTCGACTTCAGGGATCGCTGGTACTTGAGTTGGTTAACACCCTGGTTGGTGGGCTTGCCTAGAATGAGAAGCCCGGGTCAGCAAAAATCTTCCCTCCCAGCCAGCTATCTGCTATGATTCCTGGACATACCGTAGGTGGCACCCTTGGGCACTGGGCGCTTGCGACCTCCACGACGGACACGAACACGGTAGATGACATAGCCCTGCTTGGCCTTGTAACCCAGACGGCGGGCCTTGTCGGGACGAGATGGGCGGGATGCTCGGTGAATGACATTCAGTTGTCGAAGCTATATTTTGCACTCTCAGCTAAGTTCAACGAGTGTATAGCAAGGAGCATCGGAGAGATGTCCACGTCCCCCAATATTCTCATTGTGTCCGTCCGAGGGAGCAAATTCGAAGTATTGGGGTTCGATCGATGCCGTTTCAAGGGTCGAAGTATCTTACCTCCCAGCATCGAACACGGAGAAGGAAGCGCAGCACATCAGACTGCTTCTTCTTCGCGATCTCTTCCAAGTACTTGTTCGCACCCATGATTTCGATCTTGGCCGATTGATGTCGAAGGTGGTTGTCGAAATCGTTTGTCGGTATGTCCAACCCTCGAAATTTTGGAAGACGGGGAATATTGAAAAGTGCGTTTGCGAGTTCTCGCTTAGCGCTCGCTTGCCAGCCATACCTTACTTGCCCTTACGGAGTACTCCGTAGGCCCTTACAAGGCATCAAGGCATCCATGCAGAAAGAAGGTGAACGGGCGTGGTACTCCGTCCACGTGATACTTGTTCAGCGTCCCCGCGATTACTGATCCAGGCACAGTCACCACAACCACCTGGATGAGAAATAGGGGGGCACCACAGAGGATAGTTTACAGGCACCAGGAACGACTAATGATGGCAATGTTTAAGGGACAGAGGGACAGCCATGGAGGGGGCAGAATGAATCAATCAATCAGTCAGTCAGTCAGTCAATCTGCAGCCATTCTTCCTGGCATTCATATCTTGATACAGTACAATCTATATATGCGGGTAGGTGGAGGAGGTATTGCCTCTATCAAAGACTCCTAGGATTCTTTATACAGTTTCTTTGATTGTTGTCTCGAGATGTTGCGTAGCTTAATACAAACAAGTGTCTTCCCGAATATGCATTCTAGCCCCCAAGTAGCAAGTTAATAGTACCGCAAGGGAGCAAAAGTAAACTTTCCATCAATCAATCAGTCTCCACCGCAAGGCCATCGACCAATTTCCGTGTTGCCTTTTCCTGCTTTCTGGCAATCTTACCCCAGATGCCAGGCCTTTTGCCCTGGTACAAGAACCCAGCTGCCTGTGTAGCATCGGGGTCCATGGGCGGTTCTTTGGAAGCCATCAAGCTGCTCTGGTACCGGTTCATACCCACCCTCTTTCCGATGGCAAGGAGATCTGCCGCTGTACTATCCTCCTCTGCCCATTCATTCTCCATCAGGCCGGTTGGCTTAAGCTCCGCAACCCGCTGAGCGACCTGATCAAACCGGGCAACAAGACCCAGAGCCTCCGCTGTTAGCTCCTTGCTCTTGCTGTACATGGATGCGAAACCACGATGCGCGAATGAATCTCCCGGTGGGTTGGCCTCCGTAGATGGTGGCTGGAAGGGGGACGCCAAGCTATACGCAGCCTTGAACGCGTTGATGAAGTCGCCATCTTTCTTTGCACTACTGCGGTCAGCTCGCTCTTCCCCGTGAACTGTTAAACATGTACACACGCAGCGGCGCTCAGGTCCTGGAGGTTTGCCTTCAACGCCTGTTCTTCATCCCCTACCCTCTTCTTGAAGGCCTCCAGATACTGGATAGATTTCTTGGCAGCCTGTCTCTTCTTCTTGGATTCTAGCTCAACCAGAGCGAGGAACTGCCTAGATTCCGAAGAGTCAGCCGGAAGCAGCAAATCATGCCTGGTGAAAGTGCGTGTAGGGAGATGGCATAGAACGACCTACTGGGTTTCAGATCGTCCCGCATCTTCTTCGTACTCCTCGGTTCTACCCAGGCGTGCTGGCTCCGAATTTCGAAACTTGGGGTTGCTTTTCTTGACATGTTTCGCTGCGACAGGTTCATCGGGTACGAAAAGCTCATCGTTGGATTGCTCTTCCAATTCTGTGGAATCGGGAGCGTCTCCCCTAATGGATGCGAACTTTCTTCGCTGCTTCGCCTTGCCTGTGGGCAGAGCGCCTACACCGAATCAACATCCCGGCACTTTCAGTTTACAGGAGAATAAGAATTGTGGAGATGGCCAATGGTAAAACTTACTGTCCGACTTGCGCTTGCCCGCTGGTCTGGCCATGATGATTGTGATGGTGATGGTGGTGGTGGTGACGGTGAAGTTGGGAGGGTGCTCGAGATTCCAGAAGAGGAAACCCATCTGCCAGCCTGCCCACCAAGCTAAGTAGAATAATAAACAATCAACCACCGCACTCGTCGCCAATCTGTCACATATGGTAGATCACTATGAATTAAGGGTGTTTTGCCTGGGCGTTTGAGTAGACATCAGCAGAAATAGGAGACTATCTTGATTCTAATACCATCGAGTACCCTTTACAAAGCGGAAGATGTGAAGAAAAGCATTTTGAGTATGTGTACGCCTATTGAGAGGAGTTCCAGTATCCATTCCACCCATCCAGCCTGATTAGCCAAGCCCGCTTCTTTTATGTGGTTGTTTAATCCCCCCCAGAGACACCTCCCGAATTTGTGCAAATCTATCTATCAGTCTCGAAAACCCTACCAGGTCCATGTGCAATTCATGAAATTCGTAAGTGGAAAACAGACCTTAGCCCGAGTCTTAATGTGCTGAACGTTGAAAATCTCCCTAAGAAATAGAAATGAAATCAAATAGAGCAACCTAGAGCGATCTACCAAGCCAGTTGCTGATCTGTACTGAGGTCGTCTTGGTTTGCCCAACCTGGTCCTGTGACACAAAATGGCATACGCCATATATCTATAGCAGGAACGGGCCCTCAAACAACAAGTGGCCTTGCTGACAAGGCTCTAGTAAACGGTCTAACTTTGCCATCGAGCATACATGTTGTGCAATGCTTGAATTTGGAAATAAGAACTCCGAACCCAAAAGAAGGAAATAAGCTCGCGATTCGATGGCCGTGGTTCTGAGGCGAGCGAAATATAACGGAACTGTGTCATTCAACCAGGACAGAACTAGCTAGTGACAAGCCCCCTTCGACTTTCCGAGGTGGGATCGTAAGCTGAGGGTTCTAAGACTGCAGGTACCCTTCACGTCGAAACCTGAAAATGGCGGGGGGATATTTGTCGATGGAACGAAGCCCAGGTTGATCTAGAGATTCAGAGGGGAAATCTCTAAAGTCGGATAAGGACTATTCATGAGTCTCTTCCTGACATCGAGATTTATGGAACCCAGCCGTGAATCTGACACTCGAGACGTGTATCAACTGAGTGGTGATGGTCGACGAAGGGGGAAGAAGTCGGTCTGGTTTGGTATCTAACGAGTGTTCAGAGAGAGGCCCTGGAAAGCTCCGAGCCATGTCTCGTTTGGAGACCCGAGTCCAGAAGATTGGCGGCCATAATCGTTGGCATCATTATTCGACGTAGAACCGGGCGGGGAAGGGAACCGGCCAGGGGGTCCCTGATAATCGTTTGAGGCAGGGAAGCCGCCAAAAGGATCAGTCATGGGGGTGTAGCCACTCGCTGAGGCCCCGGCATTACGAGGGGCGGCGTTAAATGGAGAATAACCATAGGTGTAGCCCGATGGTGGGAGCCCGTTCGGTGGCATTGCTCCCCTATTTAGAGCGGAAGCGAACGGTTGCGCAAAAGCTCCTGTATAGCCACGACTAGGCTGAGAAACGCCAAATGAGTATTGTTTTGGTTGTGGGCGTCTCTCACCCTGCGTGTTCTGACCCACTTCAACGGCGCCCGGACCGATGCCAGAAGGAGCTTGAAGGCCGAGTGACGGGCTAGCAAATGAAGCTGGATTGATAGCGCTCATCCATATTCTGGTCTTGTAGACCTTAAAGAGGTCCGTAACCAAGGAGTTGAAGTTTATGTACGCATCGGCAAAGTAGTAGAAGGTTAACTTCTTCCAGTCCCTAGCAATTCCTCTGTTAGCTGGGATCTTCCCCGTATATACACGGACTTGGGTGACTTACATCTGAAATTCGGCGTCGAGAATTTCCATATGAAGACCATGCTCTTTCACCTTCTGCATACATACTCGCTTTGCTTTCGCCTCGTTACCTTCCTTGTCCCGCAGAGCCTGAATCTCATGGTTCTGTGCAAGGCGCTTAATGATCTTCGGCTTGATCTCGCCAGGGTTCGGTTCTTGCATCCCGTGCTGGTTTGGAGGTCCCATTCCGCCCACCGCACTGCCTTGAAGGCCATTTGAAGCGGCCATCAGACCAGCACCGGTCCCATCAGAATTTCCGGCCGCACCCTGTGAATACATCATAAGCCACTTGTAGTGTTCCTCCGCATAGTGCTCCTTCAGCTCCTTTGCAGTGGCCCAATCGATATTGTCCCTTGCGACAGTTCCGAGATCAGTTCCACGATCTGCCTCAACAATCACAAGATCTCCCGGCTTCACTGACAGTCCTGTCCCCTCTTGAACATAGAAAACATCGGCGCGCGAGCATTTGAACAGAACGATGTAGAGAAGTTGGTTATGGATCGGTTGTGGAACACCGTACATGCTGCGATGAGGCGATGCAGGCCGGCCCCCACCATATTGGCCCGGCACACCATGGGCTGGATAGGCGGAGGGATAGGCTGAAGGATATGATTCGGTGTTCCGCGGCGGAGCCGTAAGGCTGCCGAAATATGAAGCTGCTGCCGGACGATCTTGTGAATATAACGTTCTGAAAGAAGCTTCCTCCGAAATTTGACCATTCTTCTGGTTACGGGGATATGATAGTGCGAAATTGTTAGGAGGTTGCTCACCATGATCATTGAGTGAGTAGCCAGCCCCATCTTGATATCGGCTTTGGTATTCATTTGGCGGCATACTCTCTTGCAAATTACTCTCATGTGGGGAGAGAGGTTCGCCAACGGAGCTCACCGACCCGTGTCTAGTTGGGACATCAGCAAAAGAGTGGCGTCTGCTCTGCGGTATGTCAGCCAATCCGCCAAAGCCAAGAGAGCTTTGCCAGTAAGCTTTCTTGACATTCTCCAGCTTCCTATTCTCTAGGGAGGTATATGGAGAGACCCGGCTTTGGCCGGCTCCATACTCGCTAAGTCTGCGTCCTGACAAACCCTTCGATGACATTTCTTGAAGTTCGTTGATCTCGTCAAGCTCATCAATGGCATAGTCGGATTCCTCGGGTACAGACTCCTGCAGGCCGTACCCGCTGCCTAGGGAGAATGCATTGGAGGTGGATGAGCGAGGCCGGATACGTGAGTTATGGTATTGCTGTTGGCGTAGAATGGCATTTTCCCTCGCCAGCAGCTCGATTGTCTTTGCTTCCGCTGATTGATGCTGCACCCCATGGTTCGATCCGTTCGTGCTATCGTCGTCATCATCTTCCACTTCTTTAAGCTTGCTAAGGCCTCCCTCGCTTGACATCTCGCTGAGCATACTGGGCCGTGAAGGTCTATGTTGCAGACCAGAATGTTGCAGAGGTCTACCCCGGCCTGTCAATGCAGTACTTGTGCCTGTCAATGCGGAAGATCCTGCCGGTGTGTCTGGATCAAGTTGTCCAACGGAATAGGATTGGGACCGATAGGTCTTTGGAGTCGGATGAAGTGGAATTGCGAACGGAATGGTAGTATTTGCCGACTGATCTCGAGCATAGTTGCCATCATTGAAATATCCATTTCCCACTGGACCAGGAGGATGGGTAGACGTTGGTGAAGGTAAGACTTCCGTCAATCGAGAAGGAGGCTCCTTCCGCGACTCAGTATTCCAGATGCCACTACTCCAGGGGAATGAACTTGAGCCAGCGTGCCCACGACCGACACCGGAGCCAGCCTGAGTGTGGGCATTCCAATTGCGAGACTCGGTAGAGGGAGTGTTTGGATGAGATGCGGTGGGCGACATTGAGTTGCTTGGAAATGAACCCTTGCGTGGTTGCGCTCCGGGTTGCGTTGGGTCATTCAACCATGAGGCTCTTCGTGCTGGCTTCTGGGCTTGGACGGCGGGTTGAGGATGCTCTTGCCTATCAGCCTCGTCATCGGAACTTGCCAAAGCCTCAGAATCAGGTGTTGATCGTCTTCCATTGAATTTGTCAAGTAAGAGGGAGGGGTTGCTGGAGGCCATCGAGGAAGGGTTTGGTTGAGCGGTCCTTCCAGCTCCACTCTTTCCGTTGTTGGAAGTCATCCTGCAAGGGGCCGGTCCGCACGAGTGTCTTGTTAGTTATTAAAGACCGGAGGCGAAGTGTAAGAGGTTGTCGAGTATAGCGACCAGACGTGAGTATCAGGATAGATCCGATGTAGTAATGACCCGGTGTCAGGATGCCACTTTGTTGGAGTAGAAGAGGAATGCAAGAATGTCTATTTGGGGGGCGAAAACCTGGGTCCAGACTTATGCTGTCAGAGGCTGGATGTTACACAGAGATACTCCAAGCTGAGTAATAACACAGCGCTCGAACCAGTTCGAGACACTATTACAGTGATGAGAGGGGTATATTTTAATCAATAAGCCTGGCGCGTTGTGACTTGGAAAGTGCGAAAAGCGCCAGAGAGTGTCCGGGTGATGAGGGAGGGGTATCGAGTGTTGTGACAGGTCTCGCGAAGCTGGCGAGAATCGACGGGGTTGGTGGCAACCGGTGTAGAGAAGGGGTGAATAAGGCGGTCGTCCTAACACTGGCCTAACAGTAGAGAGTCTAGGAGATCTGTAGATAAGTCAGTGCCTGGATTTCAAGTCCTCGTCGCAATTTTTCGCAGAATGTCTAGCTGTCTTGCTGTGAGGCTTCCAAGATAATCTGATATCTAGGTACTTGTCGAGCAGACACAACGTAGTTGGAGGGCCACTATGTTTCTGCTTGCAAGAACAGAGCTCAGACTTCTGGCTCTCTGGCAATTATATCAGTTTACGAACAGCGACGGATGACAGCGACGGATGACAGCGACTCAAAGCTGCCCAGTCATTTCGCCATTCGATGACAGACCAAACGCGCCATTGCAAACTGCCCAGGTTCAAGAAGAATCACGATAGCTCACCCCTTCTCAAACTGAGGGCGATCTGGTCTGGCGGGATTGTGGCTACCGTGGTCCAATTCACCTTTCTTGGATCCTCAAGCTCTTGTATTTGATGGCGATCGGGGAGATGGATAGACAGAGAGGCGCGACTCACCGCCGCAAGGATATGATGTCCTCTGAGAAGGAGGGAGAGGTTTCGAGGCAGAGACGAGAGCTTGATATCTAATATCGCATGTGGTGTCAGCCACGGCCCAACCTAGCATGTACAGATCTGCCCACTTCGCGAGTGGGCAGATCGGGGGGGTCCTAAACGAACCTCGAGTAGCCGCAATCGCGATGCGGGAAATGTATAATAACTCTTCTGTCGAATACCTGTTCCCTGTCTCTTCTTCTCCAGATTATGCCTCCAGCGCGGTGTCGCCTAGAAATCGCCGCCGACTAAACTGAGTGTAAAAGAAAATTGAGAAACTCGCGGCGCATGCGACTGAGGTTTCAAGGCTTGGCTCGCCTCGACTATTCGTGGCCCATGGTCGAGTCCGTCGGAGAGGCGATGGCCCTGCGGTTAGGCGTTGCCTTTCGAACGGGAGGAGGACTGCGGGGGGAAATGTGGGAAGCAGAAGAGAGGCGGGCGAGAGAGAGAAATCGGTGGTGGGACTCGAGATGTAGTGAGGCGCAAGGGGAGGGGGAATGCGGGGAAGGATGCGACGAGTCGCAGCCAGATTGGAGGTGCGCGGCAGAAACCGAGACAGCGGACCACAGCTACCAGGGTCTCGAGGCTCGTGACGGAGTTAGATGGGGAGGGGCGGAGGAGAGTGGCGCGTCAGGAAGACAAGCAGAAGAGAGCTTTTGGGAGTTGGAGCTGCAGCGGGGAGCTGGGGGGGAGGAGGGATGTGTGGTCTTGGTGGAGAGGTCGTGTGTGGAGAGGGAAGAAAGAAGAGAAATGGAGATTGGGAGGGAGAGCTCTTCCTTTCAAGTGGTGAGATGCCAGTTGTGGGGGGCGGCGGCGCGCGCAAAGGGCCTCCGTAGACGAGTTGGGGTACGGATAACTAGGCCTATTCCGCACTAAGGTGAGCCAGCCCGCGCAAAAGCCTTGTCTTTCTTTTCCCTTTTCCCTTTTCCCAGGCCAGCTCGCCGCTCTGCTTTGCCAGGGAAGACGGCCCACAGTGGACAGGATTGTATGCTGCTGCATCTGTCCTCAGTTGGGCGGTTAGGCAAGGAAGCTGGGGCGGAGGGGGGCTGGCTCGCAGAAGTGGAATGGAGAGAGGAGGGGAGGGGAGGGGAGAGGACTCAGGGGAGAGCCAGAGTGCGGAGAGAGAGAGGCCAAAATAAGGTAACTAGAGAGCCAAGAGAGCGTTCTGCCCCGAGGGATAATAGGTAGGTAAGGTAGGTGGGTATATTGAGGACATTCACTGATATATCGATACATAGATACCTCCATGTGTCGGCAACAAGGAGCACAAGAGGCCAGTTGCCTTGATGAAAAGCGCTGCAAACCTTACAGCTACCTCTACCGATACCTATACCTATAGCTATAGCTATAGCTATACCAAGGTCCTATGTCCCTATTCGCACTCCATCATACCTTACCTAGGAAGAGAGCAGCGGATGGCGCGGCTTCACATGGTGGCTGAAAGCCCCTCTTTCATTCTTTGCATTTTGCAGACGTCCATCCTACAGGTCCCTGGAAACTCTAAACTGATCGCGATGATTGGGAGACAGTCTTTGTTGGAACAGTAGTCGTCCAGATTGACATCTTGTGTCAAGGTTGTCAAGTTGTCGACTACTGTCTAGCCTCTCTACCTAGCCATCGTCTACCTTACCCATCGATTAGGCCCTCGCCCCTGGACTGCGCACTACTCTGCCCGCGGGGTTCTTGGATTCCGGCTGGTAAATGGGCTGATGTGCCTCTTCTTGTACCGTGGTTTGCCATCAACCATCTACCGTCCAGTCCACCGTCTACTGTTCTACTACTACCGTCCACCGTACGGGGCACTACTACCTTACCCCGGATTTTCGGCTGCGGAGTAGGACCACTCACTGTACATAAGACCTCACCTGTCTTACATCATTATGTGCAGAAAAGCATCTGGTGCCAGGGCTCTGATGTGTCTGTCAGACATTGGATATGCGATGCGACCTTGCCTCATATCGGGTGCTTATATATTATAGATCTGGCTTTTATATCCTCCAATCCCTCCGTTAATTAATTCCGGATGGACCCATCGCGCGCCACAAAACCCCCCCCAGTTCCAACGCCACCACTACCGAGGCTGATTGATGTCTTGTTTCTGTCAGCCAACCGGTCCAACAACAGAGGACACAAGACTCAAGCACAACTCGCCTTAGGTAATGTAGGCTCCGAGAACAGAAGCAGAGCATTTACCTTACCTACGACTCCGTATTCTACAGTATTGTATTGGTTAACCCAGGTAGTACGGTAACAGCCAGGCAAGGTGGCCAAGAATGATGACCCATCATGCTATCTACCTATATAAACCGGGTAACATAAAGTAAACTACTGGGGCACCGTAAAAATGTAAAGCGCCCCCCCTCCTCCTCTTCTCTTAGGTCCCGCATCTCCAATTACGCGCTTCCTGATTCGCTAGCGGATCGATCTCCCGCCCCCCGTGCGATCTGATTCCGTCGTCGACGGGTGAAATTCGAGCGCTTGAGAACTCGAGAGAAAGACTGCCTGAGCCAAATTCGCCCGGAGATTCGGAGATACGTTGGTGCGTAGGGGTAGGGATAGCGTGGTCGAGCTTTGCTTGTTTGTACAGAGGACTGTCGTAGCTCGTTGCGGAGTATAAAACATGACGCTCTGGGTGCAGCAGAAAGCAAAGGAGGTGGTGTGGCCACGAGATACCAATACACAAGGTAACCTCATTTTGAGATTAGCTATGATCCTACCTATAGGTAGGTGGTATATCTAGGTATATATATACATCTCCGTCTAGCCTAGGTATCTACGCCACGAAACATGAACGAATGCGGGTCATGCTTGCATCCTCATCGACCTCCCCATTGACCCTGTGAGGTACAGGTCTTCGTATCGTGCCACTTGGGGACCTTAAGCATCCACAGTATCTAATGATCCCTTCCCGACAGTCGAGGGAATCTCGTTGACGCCCTTCTGTTGCTTCAGCTTCTCCTCGAACTTAGCAAACTCCTTCATTGCAATCTCTTCTTCCTGGTCCATGACTTGGACCACGCCTTTCACTTCCTCGATCTGGAGATCGCGTTAGTTATTTGTAGCTCACTCTCGAATCGTGCGAGCTCTACTTACATAATGCATCAGCATCCCTTCGATGCCGTTCTTCAACGTGACGGTACTTGAATCACAGGTCCGGCAAGCCCCGCGGAGCTTTAACAGGACGTTGCCTCCCTCGAAACCCCGGTATTCAATATCTCCACCGTCTTCTTGAATTGCCGGTCTTATCCGGGTCTCTAGTAATTCTTTGATCATTCCCACCACCTCGCTGTCATTCTCGTTGTAGCTCAGGCTGTCTTCTTCGCTTCCTTCTTGGCCGCTCTCCCCGGGTTTGCTCTCTGTGATGTTGACAATCTGCGCACCAGATGTAACTGCCTCCGTAATCAGACTGAAGACTTCCGGCTTGATGTGTGCCCAGTTCGCATCTGCCGCTTTCGTGACGGTGATGAAATCCGCTCCGTAGAACACCGATGTGACCCCGTCAACATTCATCAAGGAAGCCGCAAGGGGAGATGGGTGAGGAGGCGCAACAGTCGACCGAGGATTCAGGTATTCGAGGAATGGGGATGATAGCCCCGGAGGTAGGATAGGGTGGTTAGGGAGGAATTTCAAAGCGTCGGGGTTGGGTGTATTTTCGGTCTGGATGAAGATGGACCTGCTGCCACCAACAGCTGCCGACGGCTTCAGCATGCTCATGGGTTGATGCAGAGGTTGTAGCGTCGGCCTGCTTCCTGCATTCGAGGCTGAGACAGCTGGTAGACGAGTACTTCGGTGTACGCATCTGGCAGCGTTCGGGTGATGAACGGGAAGTGATGGCTTCGCCGGTCTGGTTTTGGTAAACAGCGGGGCAGCTGCCCGGGAAATCCTTTTTGATGCCATTGTTCAATGGAAGTCGTGAATATATCTTGTAGTGTTAGTAGTTGAACATTGGAAACGGGTCTGGTGTGGTTGGATTAAATATAGGTAAAGCTGGCTGGTGAATAATCAATCGTTCGGAGTTTAAAGTTTCGCCTCCCGGATGACGCAAAATCTGCGGAGCAGATACGGTAAAATCGACCCTTGCAAACCTGCCGCGTCTTCTATCAGAACCGCGAATAGATAAATATTTCTTTCTTTCACCCGCGTGCCTTTCGCGGCACAATCGTCAATGACCAAAATGTCAATCCAAGATTTGGACACAGGCGATGATGCGCCAAAGTCGCAGGGACTGACTACATCAGATCTACCGGGTGGAGAGACCCAGACTGCTGCTAGTCAAGAAGCCTCCGAGGATCAATCAGCGCCCGCATCACAGAGCAGCGTCTCTAATGCAAAGCTGTGCGGTGTCTGCAACGAGAATGCATCGAAATACAAATGCACGCGCTGCTATCTTCCATAGTAAGTATCTCGCGGATATAAGGAGTCTTTACTTATCTGTTGAAGCTGTTCAATCGCATGCTCAAACCTTCACAAAGCCACTCACCCCGCCGTCGAGCCAACTCAGCCAGTGCAGCGACAAGAGATAACACAGCCTCAAGCAAATGCGGTTCAGCCTCATACAAATGGAACTGCCCCTCGGCCGGGTACCGTTGCAGCTGCTGGTTATAAGGGTCCTTTCTCGGCTTTGGACGATTCAAAAGAGTTACAGATGCTTTTCAAAATGTACCCGCGTCTTGCCTCACAGCTAGAAGAGATCAATGCTGCCACCCTCCCTCCTACACCAGGGCAGGAGAACGATGCACACTCGCAATACCCTAATGGAGGAAGCAAGGGGTTCCGAAGATCTGGAAAGGAACAACCTTGGAACCCGGATCGAGGACTTGAGAATGGAGTTCGAGCACTATGTCGCGCTCGGGAAGCATACGGAAAGGACGGAGAAGGGGTGAGGGAATACTCGAAACTCATCTTGCAGATCGTCGCCGGGGAAGAGGGTATTGATACGATCCGAAAGGAAATGGAAGAGGAGAATGTGAGGATTATTTCACAGTTGCTGAACGGCGAGACGTGAACTGCCGGATGGGCTCTAGGGGCTAGCATGTGAATTATCTCCAGCAATATTGGGAAGATTGCGGAACACAGGATAACGACGGGTAAGCAGGTATTGGGCCACATTTTATGTTTCATGCTAAGAACTTGCACCAGCAAGGGATCTCTCACGAGCACGATTTGGCAGGGTTGAGAGCATTGCACGATTTGGGGGAGACAGTCGGGTTGAAGTTTGGAATGTGATTAAGATACCCAGGCGTTATTTGAATTCCACGAGATACGACCCGAACAGCGCTGCATGTTAACTAGGACGACGCCTAAAGCGGGCAAGGAAGCTAGCTCTCCTACTTTTACTACCATCTGGTGAAGTAAAGTCTCCAATGCCCACTACTGCTTCATCCTTATCCGGCCTCCCTGGCTTCTCCCTCCTCCCTTTCAATATCCAGATCGAGTCGCGTTTTTTTAGGGCTGGGCTCGCTGGCTCTTCTATGGTCGGTCTTCCATCCCTTCCATCTTCCTCCTGTGCCCAGTCATTGCGCCCATCAAACGCCGGGGCTCGCCTTGATCTGGCCCTCTTAAGTGCCTGGGGCTCATCTTCCTCTAAGAAGTCCCCTGTACTCAATGGACGTTGGATACTCCGTTCGGACCGATCCATCAAGTGCGCAAATTCCGGAATGAAACTCCTCCGAGCTGGTTTATACACACGTCGTTCGATGTCTACCTCTGCAGCCCCTTCCATAGCGCGAGTCCACTGGAACTGATTTCTATTACTTAACATCTCTCTCTCTAGCATTGCTTGGTCCATAGCCTGGGCCCTTTGAAGGCTTGTAACCTGAGGGTGTGATTCCTTGAGGCGGAGACCCTCCAAGTGCTGCTTCAGAGCTGGACGCGACAACTCATGAATTTGACGCGTCACGTCAGGGGTGGCGGTCCGCGCGAACGCCGCTGCTGCAACCTTTGGGACGTGGTGGTACCCAGCATTCTGCTGAGCGGCAGCGACCTCAGCAGCCTTGGCGGCCCTCGCATCACGTCGAAGCTCAGCCGTCGACTTCTGTTCCGCGAGGAGGCGTGCGAGTCGGCGACTCAGTTCTTCTGGGTCGAAGGGCTCGCCCTGCTTGACTTGACGCCTGGCATCGCTGCCCTGGGGGTCGCGCAGAGGGTGCGGCATTGATCGTGTAGGCTTGCTCTGTGGGCGGGGTCAGGATTGCCGCATATCAAAACATCCCGGACATACTCACCGCAGGCCTTTCCTTGGCCGGGATTCCTGAAATCGTAGCCATGAGAATCGCGGCCGTATAAGAACAGTGCGTTCGACAGGCGGGGGGAGCGAAACGGAAGGTCGAGGGGTGCGAATCACATCTGGTGCAGGCGTTCGGGATACATATCAGGTCCGTCACAGGTCGCACGCGGACCGAGACGTCTCAGATGCCAGGAAGCCGAAAAGACCTGGTCATGAGCCGGGCGAGGTTTCACTCGGTGTACGGGAAGTGTGTATGTACGTGTAAAGGGGGACGAGGCGGAGGGCATACATATGTATACCTTGGTACAGGCACAACAGAGACAAGAGGTTGAGATATTGAGATATTGAGATATTGAAAGATTGAAAGATTGAAATTTAGACCGATGCGGGGAACCCTTACATGGGGATGCATGGCGCTCGGTTGAATGCTCTGCACAGTACAGATATCAGATATCTCGGCAGAACCAGATGTATGTAGACCGAAGACATGTGGACGAATGATACGGTTGTCTATCCTATTTAAGAGATTTATTGATTATAGTTGGCGGGTTGCGTCGTCCCTGACAAGAACAGGAACAAAATCTAGAACGAGTGCCAAGAAGCGGTCTATACATAAAGTACCTTATATACGGTACATATATGTATATACACATATCTAACAGATGATCAGCCTCTCTATTCTGTCTCTGTCTCTGATTCTCTTTCTCTGTCTCTTGGCATTCCTCTGAGCGGGATGATGAAGAATACGAGAGTCCTGTAACTCTATCCAGATGACATCCCGTCTGTGTAGAGACGATCGTCCGTCAAGAATCAAGAACCAATGGCCATCTCACGTGCGGCCAGCCAAAGGGTTCGAGGCGCGACTCTGCCGCCCCATCTGGCTTTTCCTGTCCCCCATTATTATCCCATCTAGCTGCTCCAGACACACAATCGTCCTCTTCTGGCCGCTTCTCTTGGGTTATATCTCTTAAAAATTTATTATATTCAACCCTCCCGCGGCCCTCTCTCCCTCTCCCTCTCCCTCTCCCTCTCTCCCTCCATCCCTCGCTCCCCTCCTTCGTTCCCCCATTATGCCTCCCTCCGGACGCCCTTCATGCCTCCCTCTGCTGCAATGATCTGCTCATAAACACCATCCTGCCGGTATGCTCCAGCACCACTGCTATCGCTGCCAGTTGCCGACCACTTGACAGGGTGTTGGTGTTGGGAACGTATCGAGCCCGAGTGCCCCCCCAGGTGTCCCGACCAGGGCTGACGCTGTAACTCCAAATCCCAAACCCCTGGAACCTCGTCATGGATGATGCCAGAAACCTCCCAACCCGCAGCAAATCCAAGCGTATACGTTCCG